GGGGTATTAAACAAATATGAATTTAGTAATTATTAAAAAAAACAGAGTGAGGAAGACACTCTATAGGATTAGGCAGAAAGAGGCTAAGCAAGTTATAAGAGCTTCCAAATCACACACAGAAGAGAAAATAGCACAGTCAGTTAAAAAGGGGGACAAAACATTTTTTAGATACAGAAAAGGAAAGTAAAACAAGGATTAGTTCGATTAAAAACAAAAGAAGGAATGTAGAAGAGGATAAAAGTCTAGCTAGTTGCCTCACTGAATATTTTTGTTCAGTAATTTACAGATGAAAATTAAGCAAGGGGCCTCAGTTAGGAAAAAGGACAAATGAGTAATTTGTTACATGTGAATTTCTACATGATCGGTTCTATTTCAACTGTCAAAAGTAAAGACAAATAAGTCAATGGGACCTGATGAAATACACCCAAAGTTATAAAAAGAGCTTAGTGGTGTACTAGCAAAACCATTAACCGATTTATTTAACCAATCATTGTTAACATGAGTAGTCCCAGAAGATTGGAAGTTAGCGATTGTTGTGCCCATTCACAAGAAAGGTAGTAAGGAGGAGTTGGGAAACTATAGACCAATAAGCCTTTCTTCAGTAGTGGGGAAAGTAATGGAAACCATGTTAAAGGATAGGATTGTTGAACATCTAAAATCACATGGATTTCACGATCAGAGACAACATGGGTTTACTTCAGGGAGACCATGCCAAACTAATCTTATTGCTTTTTTTCATTGGGTAACTAAAGTAATAGATTAGGGTGGTGCAGTAGACATTGCTTACCTAGATTTCAGTAAGGCTTTTGACACTGTTGCACATAGAAGGCTTATCAATAAACTGCAATCTTTAAGTTTGGATTCCAATATTGTTGAATGGGTAAGGCAGTGGCTGAGTGACAGGCGACAGAGGGTTGTAGTCAATGGAGTATATTTGAAGCATGGGCTTGTCACCAGTGGGGTACCTCAGGTATCTGTACTTGGACCCATTCTCTTTAATATTTTCTTAGTGATATTGCAGAAGGTCTTGATGGTGATACTAAGATATGTAACAGGGTTGAAGTTCCAGGAGGGACAAGCCAAATGGCAAATGATTTAGGTAAACTAGAAATATGGTTAGAGTTGTGGCAACTGCAATTTAATGTGGATAAATGCAAGATAATGCATCTTGGACGTAAAAACCCAAGGGCAGAGTACAGAATATTTGATAGAGTCCTAACCTCAACATCTGAGGAAAGGGATTTAAGGGTTATTATTTCTGATGACTTAAAGGTAAGCAGACAATGTAATACAGTAGCAGGAAATGCAAGCAGAATGCTTGGTTGTATAGGGAGAGGATTAGCAGTAGAAAGAGGGAAGTGCTCATGCCATTGTACAGAACACCGGTGAGACCTCACTTGGAGTATTGTACGCAGTACTGGGGGCCGTATCTCCAGAAGGATATTGATATCTTAGAGAGAGTTTAGAGAAAGGCTACTAAGCTGGTTCATGGATTGCAGGTTAAAACTTACAAGGAAAGGTTAAAGGAACTTAACATGTATAGCTTGGAGATAAGACGAGACAGGGGGTATATGATAGAAACATTTAAATACATAAAGGGAATCAACACAATAAAGGAGGAGACTATATATAAATGAAAAAAAAACCTACCACAACAAGAGGACATAGTCTTAAAATAGAGGGGCAAAGGTTTAAAAATAATATCAGGAAGTATTACTTTACTGAGAGGGTAGTGGATGCATGGAACAGCCTTCCAGCTGAAGTAGAGGTTAACACAGTAAAGACGTTTAAGCATGCGTGGGATAGGCATAAGGCTATTAGACATGTGCAATTAGTTTCGGCCCAAATATGAATTCGCACATATTTTGGGCAATTCGGACATTCGGATACTTCCGTATGTCCGAATAGCCGAAGTACCGAATTGCCGAAGTGCCGAATTACCGAGGTCCCGAAGTTACGAAATTACAGAATATCCGAAGTGTCAAAGTGCTGAAGTGCCTAAGTTGCCGAAGTGCCGAAATGACGGAGTTCCGAAGCACAGTTTTGCCTAAGTACTAATATACTTACCCAGTGGAAGAAGAAGAATTTTACACTGTATACAATTTTAAATAAAAAGTATACAAACATAGCCAGGATTCAGCTGTAAGCATTTGCAACACTTACAACAATCAAGTAACATATAAAATGTAAGTTACTTAGCCTGTCAATGTAATGACAGGAATGAATAAGTAGATAACTTCCTAATTCCCACGGTATTAGGGAGCTATCTACTAAAAGGCTGAAAGACCTAAATTGGTCTTTCAGACAAATTTATTAATACTAAATTACTTAGTATTAGTAAATTATGCCCCTACTCGCTATACCGCGAGTAGGGGCATGTCTATTAAACAGTGAGCAGCCTATGGCAAACAAACAAAAAAAAAACATCCCCCCACCTAACCTGGAGGGGGGAACCTATTGCGCCCCCCCCGGCCCCCACCCATGAGCGGCGGGTGGGGGCCCTAAAGTAAAATATTTGGCGTTGACCTAATGTCCTCCCCCCTGAGCAGTGGGTGGGGGCCCTAAATACTAATGGGGGGACCTAATGTCCTACCCCTGGCCCCCACTCCTGAGCGGTGGGTGGGGGCCCTAAAATACTACTTAGGTGGGGACCTAATGTCCTCCCCCCTGGCCCCCGGGCCCTAAAATACTAATTAGGGGGGGACCTAATGTCCTCCCCCCTGGCCCCCACCCCTGAGCAGTGGGGGCCCTAAAATACTAATTGGAGGGGGACCTAATGTCCTCCCACCTCGCCCCCACCCCTGAGCAGTGGGTGGGGGCCCTAAAATACTAATTGGGGGGGACCTAATGTCCTCCCCCCTGCCCCCCACCCCTGAACGGTGGGTGGGGACCCTAAATAAAAAAAATAACCCCACCTCCACCGGGTGACTAGGGGTCCCCAATCCCCTAGTTACCCCACTCCCCCAAAAAATTAACCCCTACCTACCCTCTCACCCTAAAAACAATGAGGGGGGGCCATTTAACTAAGTACCTGAAAAAATAAAACTTACCATTTGATGTTTTCTTTCTTCTAAAATCTTATTTTTTCAGCCCCAAAAGAGGCCAAAGAAAAAGCCATAATAACCGAAGCACTTAAAAAAAAAAAAAAAAAAGCGCAAAAAAAAAAATCCATCTTCACCCATGGAGGGCTCCGCGCAGACTGAGCTCTGCAAGGCGGGGGAAGGCATATAAAGCCTTGCCCCGCCCTGCAATTAGGCGCAGAGCACTCTGATTGGTGGGTTTAAGCCATCCAAACAGAATGCTCTGACAGGTAAATGAAGAGACTGACAGGTAAGTCTCTACATTTACATGTCACAGCACTCTGATTGGTTGGTTTGAAATCCACCAATCAGAGTGCTCTGTGTCATTTTACACAGTGTGGGAAAGATCTTTGGAATTTTCCCACGCTGTGTAATTTGACTCATAATACTCTGATTGGTGGATTAAGTAACCAAGTTTTATTATTTTTTTTCCAGGTACTTAGTTAAATGGTCCCCCCCATTAATTTTAGGGTGAGGGGGGTAGGTAGGGGTTAATTTTTTGGGTGAGGGGGTGACTAGGGGTTTGGGGACCCCTAGTCACACGGGGGAGGGTTTTTTTTTTTATTTAGGGCCACCACCCACCGATCAGGGGTGGGGGCCAGGGGGGAGGACATTAGGTCCCCCCCAATTAGTAGTTTAGGGCCCCCACCCACTGCTCAGGCGTGGGGGCCAGGGGGGAGGACATTAGGTCCCCCCCCCAATTAGTATTTTAGGGCCCCCACCGCTCAGGGGTGGGGGCCAGGGGGAGGCCATTAGGCCCCCCCATTCTAATCTAGGGCGCCCACCCACCGCTCAGGCGTGGGGGTCAGGGGGGAGGACATTAGGTCCATTATTTTACTTTTGGGCCCCCACCCGCCGCTCAGGGGTGGGGGCCAGAGAAGGAGGAGATTAGGTCCCCCCTAATTAGTTTTTAGGGCCCCCACCCACCGCTCAGGGGTGGGGGCCAGGGGGAGGACATTAGGTCCCCCCCTAATTAGTTTTTAGGGCCCCCACCCACCGCTCAGGGGTGGGGGCCAGGGTGGAGGACATTAGGTCCCCCCCATTCTAATTTAGGGCTCCCACCCACCGCTCAGGGGTGGGGGCATTGGTCCCCCCATTATTTTACTTTAGGGCCCCCACACACCGCTCAGGGGTGGGGGCCGGGGGGGCAATAGGCCCCCCTGGGCTCTTATATTCTTTTTTTGAACAGTGAGCAGCCACTGGCCGCTCACTGTTTAATAGACATACCCCTACTCGCGGTATAGCGAGTAGCGGCACAATTTACCAATACTAAGTAATTTTTACTTAGTAAATTTAGGTCTTTCAGCCTTTTGGGACATAACTACCTAATACTGTGGGAATTAGGGAGTTATCTACCAAGTGGCTGCAAGAGATGTTCCGAAATTCCGAAGTCCCGAAGTGTCGAAGTTACCGAATTTCCAAAGTGTCGAAGTTGCGAATTACCGAAGCCCCAAATTTCGGAATGCCGAACCGAAATTTTTTCCCATGCACAAAATTTGAAATCACAACCTATAGACTGTAAGCACGTTTGAGAAGGGCCCTCTTCAACCTATTGTTCCTGTAAATTTTTGTAATTGTCTCATTTATTGTTAAATCTCCCCCTTTGATAATATTGTAAAGCGCTACGGAATATGTTGGCGCCATATAAATACCAATAATAATAATAAACACCTGCAGCAATAGTCATCACAACCTAAACAAATCATCAGTTTCACCCACTGCAGGGATAGCTCAATGTGCACTGCAGATACAGAGCTTTTTTTTAGCCTGCAAACTTGTCCTGCAGGGGGAGCCATTACCATCTGTAAACATGCCCTGCAGATAGAGTCACTGTAAACATGCCCTGCGGAGGGAGCCATTATCTCCAACACTATCAGGACCCCGCGAGCCGAGCCTGGTCTCCATGGTGACGCCCCCTCCCCTCATTCCATCCCTGTGAGGCTGCGCGGCCGGCTGCTCCCTGCGCCTGCGCGGGTTGAGGCTCAGTCACACCGTGTGTCCCGGGCTTCGCCGGCAGAGTCTCCTCAGGACATTGAACGAACCGAGCTGGGAGCCCGAGGCCCGGAGCCACCAAGATGGCGCAGATTTTGCCTATCCGCTTCCAGGAGCACCTCCAGGTAACGGAGACATGTCCTCCCTGCCCGGGGTCCCCGGCATTGGATGGGGGGGGAGAAGAATGCTGGGAGCCCGTGTGGGGGTAGCTAATAGCACCATCATTACTGGCTGTGTGTACTGCCAAGGGTATCACATCATATTATAGAGAGTGGGGGTCATAGAGCCAGCCTGTCCCTCCCTGTGCCCTGTGTGAGCAATTAGGGGTCAATCATGTAGCATAGGGCGGGGTAGCATAGGGCGGGGCTAAGCTGTGTATTAGGGATAGCAGTGTGATGGCAGTATACTGGCTTCGTACCCTGTGCTGGTGTATTAGGATGCGGCGGATGGCAGTATACCGGCTGTGCCCCCGTATGGTGTATTAGGGGATAGCAGTGTGATGGCAGTATACCGGCTGCAATTCCCCTGTGGCGCTGGTGTATTAGGGATAGCAGTGTGATGGCAGTATACTGGCTGTACTCCCCTGTATGGTGTATTAGGGGATAGTAGTGTGATGGCAGTATACTTGCTGTACTCCCCTGTATGGTGTATTAGGGATAAGTGGTGCGTGATGGTGTATACTGCTGTGCCCCCTGTATGGTGTATTGTGGAATAGTAGTGTGATGGCAGTATACTGGCTGTACTCGTATGGTGTATTAGGGATAGCAGTGTGATGGCAGTATACTGGCTGTCCTCCCCCTGTATGGTGTATTAGGGATAGCAGTGTGATGGCAGTATACTGGCTGTACTCCCCCTGTATGGTGTAATAGGGATAGCAGTGTGATGGCAGTATACTGGCTGTACTCCCCCCTGTATGGTGTATTAGGGATAGCAGTGTGATGGCAGTATACTGGCTGTACTCCCCCCTGTATGGTGTATTAGGAATAGCAGTGTGATGGCAGTATACTGGCTGCGCTCCCCCTGTATGGTGTATTAGGGATAGCAGTGTGATGGCAGTATACTGGCTGTACTCTCCCTGTATGGTGTATTAGGGATAGCAGTGTGATGGCAGTATACTGATAGCAGTGTGAGGGCAGTATACTGGCTGTGCCCCCCCCCTGTATAGTGTATTAGGGATAGCAATGTGAGGGCAGTATACTGGCTGTACTCCCCCCTGTATGGTGTATTAGGGATAGCAGTGTGATGGCAGTATACTGGCTGTACTCCCCCCTGTATGGTGTATTAGGGATAGCAATGTGAGGGCAGTATACTGGCTGTACTCCCCCCTGTATGGTGTATTAGGGATAGCAGTGTGATGGCAGTATACTGGCTGTACTCCCCCTGTATGGTGTAATAGGGATAGCAGTGTGATGGCAGTATACTGGCTGTACTCCCCCCTGTATGGTGTATTAGGGATAGCAGTGTGATGGCAGTATACTGGCTGTACTCCCCCCTGTATGGTGTATTAGGAATAGCAGTGTGATGGCAGTATACTGGCTGCGCTCCCCCTGTATGGTGTATTAGGGATAGCAGTGTGATGGCAGTATACTGGCTGTACTCTCCCTGTATGGTGTATTAGGGATAGCAGTGTGATGGCAGTATACTGGCTGTATTCCCCCCTGTATGGTGTATTAGGGATAGCAGTGTGATGGCAGTATACTGGCTGTACTCCCCCTGTATTGTGTATTAGGGATAGCAGTGTGATGGCAGTATACTGGCTGCCCCCCCCTGTATGGTGTATTAGGGATAGCAGTGTGATGGCAGTATACCGGCTGCACTCACCCTGTATGGTGTATTAGGGATAGCAGTGTGATGGCAGTATACTGTCCGTACTCTCTCTATATTAGGGATGGCAGTATACTGTATGTACTCCCTCTATGGTGTATAAGGAATAGCAGTGTGATGGTAGTATCTGTTTGTACTCCCTCTATATGGTGTTTTAGGGATAGCAGTGTGATGGCAGTATACTGGCTGTACTCCCCCTGTATGGTGTATTGGGGATAGCAGTGTGATGGCAGTATACTGGCTGTACTCCCTCTTATTAGGGAGAGCAGTGTGATGGCAGTATACTCTGTTTCAATGATGGCTAACCTGCCCCCTCCCACTCCAGATGTTAATGCACTACATTTTCTGTGATGCTTAGCCAACCTCCACAGTGTTTATAATAGTCCAGTGATGCAGGCTGTCCCTATGACAAGGAATCCAGTATGGTTATATAAGACCTTGCTAAGGATGCAGCTTCCTTGTCACAGGTCCTTCACAATAAATATTGCTCGCTGTGTGTGCAATATTGTGTTAGCATGCTTCATTAATCCAGCCATTTATTAGTAAGTGTGAATACACTGATTGTGGAATACCCTGATTGTGTGCTGTGTGAGGTCCCTTTTAATACTGCAATGCTGGTTTGGTGCTGTCATATGATGCACTCAGTGCCTGCAACCTTTGCTTTATTATATATATTTATTTATGTGATGTTGTGTGCCAGTCCCTACACTTGGCCCGAGCAGGTTGTGGGGGAGCTGCTGGTATTGCAGATGTGCGTTTTTCCCTCTCACCCCCTCCTTTTCAGGGTTATTGATTTCAGGCAGTGAGAAGGATGGAGGGGGCGCTGTGAGTAGGGATGGCCCAGCTCTGCCATCTCTGAGTACCAGTGGGGGTAGCAGAGAGTTTTGGACTGTGTCATCCTTTGCACATCACGATACAGTTGTCAAATGCCAGGATCTTTCCTTTCACAGTGCTAAAGCTGAGCATCTATGGATTGTGCTGGAGGGAGATCTCTCTCTCTCTCTCTCTCTCTCTATCTCTCCTGATATCATTTTACATTGTATCTGACAGATAATAAGTTGGACTGTAGTGATTTTAACACTGTATGTAAAGTAATCTGACTTAACCAATTAAAAACCCTCTTAATCCTAATGTTGGCACATATTAATTATACATGTATTAATAATGAGATTAAAACTAGGCATTAAAGGAATGTGTTAAACAAATGAATTTAGAACAGGAAGTGCTGACTGTGCTGTCTCCCCCCACCTTCATTGTAAGATGGGCTGGGAGTGTCAGCTGGCCTAGCCTTCCTCCTCTCACTATTTGGAAGATGTGAATTAGCTGGCAACCGCATATAGCCCTTTAAACATGTTTGGAGATAAGTTGCGCCCACGTTTACACTACTCATCGATCCTTACAGTGCCCTGACAGTGCAGATTTGAATGCTAGTATATACTAGACTGGTCCTTACTGCATAACAAATTTCAGAAATTTTTGGGTAGTTGAGCCAATGGGAGGGATGTCTCCAAGGTCACAGCACTGCCAGCTTCCTTATAACTGTAAAGTAGGTTGTGTAAATGGTCGTGTTTGTGTGCATGCAGGTGGTGTATTTGAATAGAAGCTTCTATTTGTATTTTTCTAATATTCACGTGCTTGGATAGATGCAGTTGATGTAGTTTATAGCACTGCAAAATGAACCTTTGTTTTCCATTTCCATTTTTTAAAATACATTTTTAAATCACTTTACTTCCTGTAGAGAGAGATCCTTTTTATAAAGCTGCTTTTCTTCAACTGACCATTGGATTGGTATCTGTATATATATGTGTAGCATACCACAATCTAAAACAGAACAGTTTATAAATGTTTAGAATAGACGTAAAAATACAGTACACAGCATCATATTTTATTTTTTTTTAAATCAAAAGCCTGAGTTTTACCACAGTTTCACTACATTTATTTATTTTTTCTCATTTATGGATTTTCGGGTAACTGACAAAAACTGCATTTCTAGTATATTTTGTTTGGCTGGAAGCCCCAACCATCAAATAAAAAAAAAAAAACATTCTCCATACAACCTCTCAAAATGAATGTCCTTTTGAAGTATTAAATCCCTTGACATCATATATCATTTGCAGACATGTTTGAATTGTTCAGTGTACTGTTTCTTATAAATACCATTTACTTTGAACTGCTAGTGACTTTTATATGTGAGGCACTTTTTATCGCATCCAGTTAAGTTCTTCTGTTGGCTTAACATATTCTTTGCACAGTTGTGCGAAACCTCTAAAAATCTTATTTTTAGGCAAATATTTCATTTTCAGCTAATGCACACCCTTCTAACTTGGCTGCACCTGACTCAGCCTCTGTAATTTCAACTTCAAAAGATTCTTTACTTTGTCCATTTGTTCATTTCTATATAGATCACCTATGCGTCATCCCATTACAAACATGTGAATTGCAAGTTTTGTAATAGTGTACATCTACATTTTATCTCTTGTTTCTAGAAATTCTCGAACACTCAATCATTGCTTTACTTTTGGCCTGACTTTTTCCAAGACTTCCCAGCTATTATTCCTCAAATCTCTTCCTTACATATAAAATTTTCAATTTTTTAGTGTTCAACACCCACCTGTTCCCTTGAACACTTACTTCTGAGAATAGAGTTTATCTACCCATCTTCATACCTACATCATAATGGTTTGTGGGAGTACTTGACAACTTGACCGTGTATTGGTGCACAGCATTTTGATGACTCTGCAATGAATCACTATACTGCAAAGAATTGTGATGGATGTGTAATGTAACACACCATCAGACTCTTGGACATTTTGGCAATTTATGTATAGCGGTGTCTCCAAAATCAGTCCTTGTGTCCCCCCTACCAGTTTGGGAACCACTGTTGTATAGTGTTCACCAGAACATTCATCAACTCGGGATGCAATTACTTAAAGTGGAATTGACATGTCTTTTTTACATCACTGAATATAACATTGGAAATTACTTATAACTTGTGTTAACCTCTTTTCATCGGGTTCTTCAATTTCCTTTTAAATTTATATCAAATGAATACTTCAAGCAGCTCCAAGATTGTGAGAATTAAGCAGCGAGACTTCAGAGGCATGATCTATACACTAAAACTGCTTTATTAAGCTAAAGTTGTTTTGGTTACTGTAGTGTCCTTTTAAATTAAATGTTGCATGCACAAATATGGATTACCAATTGAAAAAGCCCACTGTGGGTGAAACACGTTGTGGATAATATATTTTACATTTTAATTGTCAAAGTAAAGGTTTTTGGTATCTTTTATTACTAATATTTGTACCGTATACCTTGGCTTTTTCTTTTTTTTTTTTTACCTGGCATCAAGTTTTTATTTTCCCAGTGAGGACCTCACAAAGCATCCTTGGTGGGTATTATACCACCCACGCTGATTATAATGAGCGGGATATCTGCTCAGGTAAATGTGAGTATTACTCTTTTTTTTATTTCTCCTACTGGCTATATTTTACAGAGAACACTATCTGATGTACCTTTGTTTTTACTTTCACATATTCCGCTGACAAGAAACATTTTGGTCTATACCTCCCATCATATCCCTGAAGTGGGGGAATAATACCACTACAAGCATTTCACACTAGAGCTTGTTTTAAACTCTATTCCATGTGAGTAGGCCATTTGGATTTGATTTTACTCTAACCTTTACACTTTTGGAACATATTGCACTATTGGATCTCTTTTCTTCTTTTATGTACCTGGACCTCAATTATTTGGAAGAACATACTTACCTGGAGATAAAGGCAAACTCTTATAGACTTACCTATATACCTTATTGTGGACTGTGTTGGCCTGTTTGCTTTTATGTAGTACTGATTTTATACTATCCTACTGACCACGTATTATTGTTTTTACTTCAGTTGTTTTTAGTATCACGTCATCCCCTGGCGCACCCTACCGTTTTGTATTGTTGTTAGTTCTTTTTTAGGAGAGATTTACCCATTTAGGTGTGCTGCCTGCCTGTCCTTTGACTTAGCGCTATTCCACTCTTTGTTTTTGTTAACAAATATGGCACTGACTGCACTAAATGCTTGTGTATGGCATTAAATACATGAGATGCATTATGAGAAGGCAAAGTGACCCTGAAGATGAAAGTGCAGTGGAGGTGTTCTCTGTTGCATTATTATTATTTATAAAGCGCCTACAAATTCCGCAGCGCTGTACAATGGATGGACTAACAGACATGTATTTGTAACCAGTTTTACGCACATGAACAGAAGGGTTTGAGGGCCCTGCTCAATGAGCTTATATGCTAGAAGGTGTGGGGTATAGTAACACAAAAGGTAAGGGTAGGGTAGAAAAGTAGGTTGCTAGAATAGTATTCACTGACGGCTTAGTGGTTTTTTGTTTTGTTTTTTGAAGAAAAAAAGTATTGAAGGTGGGCATAATTATAGACTGTAACAGGGCACATTGGGAACATGCAAGACCACTGAAAAGCGGGTTGCAGTATCAAGGCAAGAGACTATAGGGGCATTGGCCAGCACCCTAGCTTATCTGCCTTTGGCATTAAATAGGGATGCACGCTATGTTTTTGAGATGGAAGCAGCAGGATTTGGCGATCGACTGGACATTTGGGGTGGAGGAGAGGTTGGAGTCAAAAAGAACACCTGGAGTAATGATTAGGGTGTTAAAAATTCATCATTTGGGGGGGCGGAGCCTGACAACCAAGATGGCCGGCCGTGTTTTCTAAGAGCTCCAGCACCGGTGGGCCAATAAACACTAATCCTGGCTAAACTACTGACGCTACCGACTCACAGTGACCAGAGAGGGACAAAGGAACAACCGAGTTCCCCCGGGACCACTGCTGTGAGAGCTCCTGGTCGACTCAGGGAGAGTACAGAGAAACCTGCAGAATGCCACTCAGAGCAAGCTGACTATACAGCAAGGCTGGAAGCAATATTTACAGATTTTTGGCAGAAGTTTGAAAGGTGCAGGCAACAGCACGCCGATGCCACACACGGATTTCGTCCATCAAAGCGACCACGAGGAGAACACAAAATGGCTACCGCATACTCACCTCAGCACTCACAACTCTGGCGCAGACTAGCAAGTAAGCAGCACCAGCCTGTCCGGAACCACCCAGGTTTTCACTCGTGGCACAAGCCGACCCCAGCTACAAAGCAAACGACCGCAGTGACGACACCCAGCCGAGCTCTATCAGGGCGGCGAGGCGCACATAGCCACCCGGTAGATTCCCAGAGGGGTTAAGCCTGCCTTGGGGTTACCCCCCAACATCAGCAATGGTACCAGGGGGAGCAGGTTCATCGTGGGGACGCAACATCCATAATGTCCTGCACAAGCCCAAGAGCAGTGCAAGGGTGTCAAATATTGACAAGGGTGGCCCAAGCGGACTCTCCTCCACCCTACAGGGACACCGACACTCACAACACAAGAGGTACCTCAGCCGAAACAGAGGCATACAGACACCATCCGCCCACCGCACCGCCGGCTCCACCAAGACAGCCCTGAGTGACAGAGATACACAGCCACCCGATACTCTTACAGCCAAAGATGGATCCTTGCTACAGCCTGGACCAGAGATGCCACAGCCGAAAAGTACCCGCATGTACAAGGTCCAACACCGGCAGCAGATTCATACGATAGCGAAGGAGATCACAGCTGCACCTCCCACATACCAGAGGCTCCTGCCGAAAGCCGGAGTCGGGTGAACCCCCGAGACTTTGGGTCCCAGAGACTGTAAGCACCAACCACTGTGGACTCACGATGCGACTTACTAACGATACTACCCTCCTCTTTGCTTCTTAGCCTAGGGTGTATTTCCCTCTAATCTTGCAGAGTTATTCCTGTACCTAATCAGTGTAGCAGGTCTTAAATATTTAAATATTTCCTATATATCTCTCATTACAGACAGCTACAGATGTCCACTTACTGTATAGGTGCCATATACCAACCAGCTACTGCCATACTGCAAAACTTGCAATTGCGCTACAATAACCTAGTATTGTCAAGCATCAATCATTTTAGTTTTGTACTTCACCTGTATACCCTCATACAAGTACAAAAAAAAGTTTTCTTAGCGTTAGAAATATAAGTTTCAACTGACATGCCATTATACTGTTGCCCCTGCAGTTTTTTTTTTTTTTTTTTTAATTCTTTATTTTTGGTTGTGTCAGGGTTACAGAGCATCGTATAATATCATAACAGCATGTATGAACACAATTTTAATACTTTGGATCACAAACATAACATAGAAAAACATAGAAAAAGCCACCCCCTCTGGAGTTGCAAGCAATAGCGGTAGGCGAAATGAGGTGTCAGGGGGATGACCACAGTCCAGCCTCAAATTTAGTCGTCACCCGCGGACCCCCTGCCCTACCACAGTGACAAGGCTGCCCATTACAAGCCGAGTGTTAACTACTTCTTATTGTCTGTACAAATCTCCTGGGGTCGTCCTCTTATGGGAGGTCAGCGTAGTCTCCGGTGAAAGGCGTCCCCTGCCGGGCATTGAGGGTCGGTTTACTTGTCATTGAGGTCTCCCCAACACCTCAGGTGGGGTTTTACAGTGATTAAATAAACGTCTGCTTGGGTGGTCTGTCCATTTATCAGATGGTTACCGGTGTATTTGGCACTATTTGCTCAATCCCTGATGACTGTAGCCTGGGCTGCTAGCTTCTACCATGAATTGGTCATCTAAGGGGTTGTGTTAGTATCTCCTTGTCTGGTGTTTTACTCTCTGAAGATTGCGACCCGCCCACCCCGGGAAGTGCCGCAAAAGGCAGGCAGCCACCCAGAGTCAGGGGTATTGTGTAAACCCGACTTGGTGGGGGTTCCAGAGTGCCAGCAGCTGTATTGTCTCAGAGAAGCTTCCCTGCGTCGCGTGCTGTGGCACACGCTAGGAGTATCTGTAGTCAGGTACGTGGGGATACCCTGTTCCTACTGGGCATGGGGGGCCCCCTGGCTTGCCCACCAGCTCTCTTTATGGTTGGGATCTTGATAACACCTGCCTTTCTACCATTCCCCTCTCGCTTACTATTATGTTGACCTTAAGGTACTTGAACCAAGCACCGCAGCTCAACCTCGGGGGGGGGAGGGCAAAGCGAGCAGGGTGGGAAAGGGCGGCAGCTGGGGACTAGGAGGGGGGGGGGTAGAGAAAGAAGAGATCACTTACCACAGCCGGGGGTGGGGGGGGACGTCCTTGCCACCGCAGCACTCGCTCAGCGATTGGAATAGTCTTCCCATTTCTCCCAGGTCTTAAGGAAGAGTGGATAGGTGTCCCTCACCTGTGCCGTCAGCTTGTCCATGAGGCACGCCTCCTTAATGTAGTGTATCACTCTGTCCATGTGGGGCATGTCAATCTGAAGCCAGGCCTGCGCGAGCGCCCTTCTGGCTGCCAAATTGATTTTATCTACTAATTTTTGTTCCCTATGGGTAAAATTGTCAAGTGGTTTTGCTATGAGAAAAGTCCAGGGGTCAGGTTTGATCAGTTTCCCCATCACCTCTGTCAGTAGCGCTGCTACCCTGTCCCAGTATGTCACTACCTTAGGACACGTCCACCACATGTGTAGATATGTGCCTTTTTCTCCGCAGCCACGCCAGCATGTGTCAGAGGGCGACTTCCCCATTCTGCAGAGTTTGACTGGGGTAGTGTACCAACGCATGAGCGTCTTGTAGCACTGTTCCTGATGCAGAACACATATGGAAGCTTTTGTCGCCGCCTCCCATATGTCCTGCCATTCCCCGCTTTCTAGCGTCTGATTAAGTTCTTTCTCCCATTGTGTGACATATGCGGGAGTTTGATCGGCCCCTGCCGGGGCAGTCAAGTGCGTGTAAAGGCGTGTAATGAGGCCGCTACGCGGACCTTCAGCAATACATAGTGTCTCAAAGAAAGCCCCTGCTGCCGCTCGGATAACTGAGCTTTTGGCGAAGTCTCTAAGCTGCAGGTACCTGAAGTGGTCCCTTGTGGTGAGTGTGGCTAACGTCCTAAAGTTGTCATAGGTGCGGAAGGCGCCCTCGTGATATAGGTGACCATAGCGTTGGATCCCTGTGTCTTCTAAACCCCTAAAGTCTCTAGGGGCCCCTGCAGTTTTGAAGTGACAGAATACCCTTGATACCTACACTTTCTTCCCATCTGCCGCCTATACAAACTACAGGACTAAACAGGATGCTAATTACTGTTGTCTTTATTTCGATATTTTTTTTTTTTTTTTTACTTTTTATGAATCTTGCTGTTGTGGCCAGTATAGCGAGGGGAACAGAATTATTCATAGTCCTTTGCATTGTTCTTGCAGAAACACTAGCCTACACACTAAATCTATGTGGCATTAACACATCTTGCTTAAGACTACCTATATATGACTAGATTTGATGCCTATGAGAATATATTGCTATGTCAGACCTACTGTCTGTGTTTGGCGGTATTGGCTACGGGGGAACACACTGGGCTTTACTCATGTCAGCTCATGCTGATAATGGGCTAGCCCAGTTAAGAGACCATCACCCTTTCTCACTATTGCTAACATGTCAGTATCTAATAGCATTTATGTCATAGCAACGCTCATACACCTACTCAGCCCTAGAGGCAATACTACTCTTGTAGGCTCGAACCATGATTAATGCTTAATTTCTATACACATATTCCTGATAGTATTCAAATCGTCTACTCTACTCCTCGTGGCTACCGACTTGGTTGCAGCTAATGTTGAAGCAAATGTTATAGATCTCTTTAAAAAAATCTCTTAAAAATTGTGCTGTTAATTCTTGCCATGTTACTGATTATCTTGTGTTGTTCCATCAGCTTGTATCAGCTGTCGTGGCGATATAAACTTGTCTGTAATTCTTAACACAACAAAAATAAAGAATTAAAAAAAAAAAAAAACACACCTGGTCCGCAAGCCTGTGAGGTAGGGTAGTGGTAGTGCCGTTGGTTGGATTGAGACAGACATGGTAGTAGCAACACTTGAGGGAAGAAAGACCAGAAGTTATGTTTTGGGCAAGTTAAGTTTAAGGAAGTGAGCAGCTAGAAATGGCAGAGGGGCAGTCAGAGATAAGAGTCAGGAGAGGACAGATAGATTTGCGTGTCATCAGCATAGAAATTATATTGGAAGCTAAAGGAGCTGTTTACCAAGTGAAGCAGAATAGATCGAGAACAGTAGGGGACCAAAGACAGAACCTTGGGGAGAAGAGGCAGAGCCAGAGAAAGAAACATTGAAAGAGTGCTTGGAGAGGTATGAGGAGCACCAGGAGAGCAGTAACTCGCATACTGAGATTATGGAAGAGGAGAAGAATAAGCTGTTGATGATCAGCAGTGTCAAAAGCAGCAGAAAGGTCAAGGAGAATAAGGATAGAATAGTGACCACAATATTTTGTAGCAATTAAATCATTGGATACTTTGGGCAGAGCTGTTTCGACAGAATGATGAACACAGAATCCAGACTGAAGAGGGTCAAGCAGAGAATTTGATTTGAGGAAGTCTGTGAATCTTGCATATACAACTTTCTCAAGGATCTTGAAGGCAAACGGCAGTAGTGAGATAGGGCGATAGTTGCATGAGGAGTTAGGATCAAAGTTGTTTTTTTTCAGAGTTTGGGTTACAACTTTGAAGGATGAAGGAAATATGTCAGAGGAGAGGGAGAGATTGAATATTTTAGTGAGAGGCAGAGCAAGGGAAGGAGACAGTGCTGGTGAGATACAAAAGAATAGGATCGAGGAAACAGGTGGGGGGGCCGGAGGATGGAGCAGAGAAGAAACCTCTTCTGTTGTAGCCGGTGCGAATGAGCATAGAACAGCGGAGGGAGAGGGGTTGTTGAGAAGTATTGGTAGGGGAAAGAGAGAGATGAGAGATCTTCGTTGCTGATTCACCCCCAGTAAACACTTTAATATGGTTTACTGAGGTTGAAGAACACTTAAATAGAATTTACAATTTAAATAATACTTGACTTATTTGTGTACTGGACATAGATGTGTCAGTCTTTCCATTCCTGTATAGTCTCTTACATAAAACATATATATTAAAAACAAAAATGGGAAATACAGCTAGAATCTCCAAAAATAAATAAAAATAAATCCCAATACTGTAACACCGTTTAGTAGATGCATGAATATAAACTCACAAGATATAAGTAAAAGCAGACCTATCGGGAGGGCCTCCCCTGGTGATATTGAGGGGCTGAATACTCTCTCAGCATTTCAGGATTCTTCTTGTTTCAGCAGAAAGGATTCAATACAAAACAAACTCTTAAAAAAAAAATAAAAAAAAATTAAATTTATATATATATATATATATATATATATATATATATAATAATTTTCACTTTATGTGGAATAGGATTTTTTATAAAAAAATTTTTTTATAGTAACAGTTCTTCATTCTATCATCCAAATAAAAGGTGTTGATGCATTTATGGAAGTGAGGAGTACTGCAGACATAAGTATAAAGCACACTGACCTCTGCAGCACATCCTCACATCATGCGCTAGGAATGCTCAGACTCGGCATATGTGCCTTCAAAGTGCCTTATGAGAGCATGTGCGTTCAGGCATTCCTTCCATAGTGCCATATGGATGCATCCACACATGGAGCTCGCATGCACAGCACCATGGTAGTGTAAGAAATTTCCATTGCCCTCACAGCTTGGTGTACAATTTAAGTTAAAGAAATAGCTAACTTTTAGTTGGCTAATGAGTTGTACGAATACTTTTTATGTGATAAACATAAACATATATATATATATATAAGCTGAATAAAAACTTTATTTTGTTTCGTCTTGACCTGCCTTTTTTACTGTTGCATCAGTACTCTACCATAGACTGGGTTTAACACGTGGTTCAATAGCTACAGTTATAAACCTATTCCTAGTTTGAGATCTGCACAAGGTCTAGTGTGTGCTGTTTATTCTCTGGAGTTTGTTTCTGTAATTAATTTTGAGGAATGATGGAGTGCCACTAGAAAGGGACAACACTGATACCCTTTTTATGAATAAGGAGTTACTGATACTTCATCTTCTAGTCATGTTCTTCTTATATACATTTGCAAGAAAAAGTATGTGAACCCTTTGGAATGATATGGATTTCAGCACAAATTGGTCATAAAATGTGATCTGATCATCATCTAAGTCACAACAATAGACAATCACAGTCTGCTTAAACTAATAACACACAAAGAATGAAATGTTGCCATGTTTTTATTGAACACACCATGTAAACATTCACAGTGCAGGTGGAAAAAAGTATGTGAACCCCTAGACTAATGACATCTCCAAGAGCTAATTGGAGTGAGATGTCAGCTAACTGGAGTCCAATCAATGAGATGAGATTGGAGGTGTTGGTTACAGCTGCCCTGCCCTATAAAAACACACACCAGTTCTGGGTTTGCTTTTCACAAGAAGCATTGCCTGATGTGAATGATGCCTCGCACAAAAGAGCTCTCAGAAGACCTACGATTAAGAATTGTTGACTTGCATAAAGCTGGAAAGGGTTATAAAAGTATCTCCAAAAGCCTTGCTGTTCATCAGTCCACGGTAAGACAAATTGTCTATAAATAGAGAAAGTTCAGCACTGCTGCTACTCTCCCTAGGAGTGGCCGTCCTGTAAAGATGACTGCAAGAGCACAGCGCAGACTGTTCAATGAGGTGAAGAAGAATCCTAGAGTGTCAGCTAAAGACTTACAAAAGTCACTGGCAAATGCTCACATCCCTGTTAGCGAATCTACAATACGTAAAACACTAAACAAGAATGGATTTCATGGGAGGATATCACACAGGAAGCCACTGCTGTCCAAACAAAACATTGCTGCACGTTTACAGTTTGCACAAGAGCACCTGGATGTTCCACAGCAGTACTGGCAAAATATTCTGTGAACAGATGAAACCAAAGTTGAGTTGTTTGGAAGAAACACACAACACTATGTGTGGCGAAAAAAAGGCACAGCACACCAACATCAAAACCTCATCCCAACTGTGAAGTATGGTGGTGGGGGCATCATGGTTTGGGGCTGCTTTGCTGCGTCAGGGCCTGGACGGATTGCTATCATCGAAGGAAAAATGAATTCCCAAGTTTACCAAGACATTTTGCAGGAGAACTTAAGGCCATCTGTCTACCAGCTGAAGCTTAACAGAAGATGGGTGTTGCAACAGGACAATGACCCAAAGCATAGAAGTAAATCAACAACAGAATGGCTTAAACAGAAGAAAATAAGCCTTCTGAAGTGGCCCAGTCAGAGCCCTGACCTCAACCCGATTGAGATGCTGTGGCATGACCTCAAGAAAGCGATTCACACCAGACATCCCATGAATATAGCTGAACTGAAACAGTTCTGTAAAGAGGAATGGTCAAGAATTACTCCTGACCCTCGTGCACGTCTGATCTGCAACTACAGGAAACGTTTGGTTGAAGTTATTGCTGCCAATGGAGGTTCAACCAGTTATTAAATCCAAGGGTTCACATACTTTTTCCACATGCACTGTGAATGTTTACATGGTGTGTTCAATAAAAACATGGCAACATTTCATTCTTTGTGTGTTATTAGTTTAAGCAGACTGTGATTGTTTATTGTTGAGACTTAGATGATGATCAGATCACATTTTATGACCAATTTGTGCAGAAATCCGTATCATTCCAAAGGGTTCACATACTTTTTCTTGCAACTGTATGTACTGTTCATCTGTTTACCAACAACCTTCTTAGCAAAAATCAGCATTTAGATTTAATTTCCTCTTCAGTTTTAGTTGTAAACCATTTTTAAAAATTGTTATGAAAAGTTATTTCTAAAATGAACCTTTTCCTGTATATGCATAATCAGGTTGGTTGTATTTATCAGTTCACCAGTCCTTAACCATGCTTCGACTGTAGTCTTTCCAGAACAAAAAGGGAAGTGATTTATATCCTCTGTGAAATCCAGCCTGCTTTTGCAGAACAGCTAGCTGCATGATACAGCAAAATCTGCAAGGCGGTCATCCTCTGTTTTAATACCTTGAGCTAATCTCTTTATGTTAAGAAGGGAACCCTTCAAGGCAATTTTGTATCTGAATTTTAAAAATGTATAGGAGTTGATTTAAAATGCAAAATATCTAGAATACCGTGATGCTCTTTTGATGCAGGCCTCGTGAACAGGCATGTCTCTATGGCTTACATGGCAGAAAAAGCTCTGTTAATTTGAGAGAAACAATTTCCTAGCCATTTTGCAGTGCTGTCCGTTTGCAGACCTCCCTCTGGGAGTAAAATGTTTTGGCAGTGATCACACCAAAGAACCTTATGTCAGGCATATGTAAGCGACATTCCTTAGGTTTGAAAATAAATCATTTCCCGCTATAAAAGATCATTTTTTTCTAAGTGCTTGATAATTACTCAAAACATCTTTATTCATGCATTTACATTATCATTACAATGCAAATAGTATCAGTCTCCAATATTTGGAAGAAAAGCTGCATCTTTAAACTTTTTTCTGTTTAGTTTCAGTGTACAGATTTTTTGCGAGTTGAGAAACCAAATGATCTATTCTGAAGAATTATTTCTGTTTTTGCAATATGTTATTGGGGGCTTGAGCTGCTTGTTTATCGCCTAATTAGGAGATGTTTTTGCTGTCAAACCGTTCCTTTCACCCTGTCATGGAATAGATTACTGTTATTGGAGATCTGATGTAGCATATGCATGAGAAGAATGGACATAAAGCTGTACTAGGAGTCTCATGCAGTGGTGTGAGATCCTTATGAGTGTCATGCAGCGGTGTGAATCCTTATGATTTGGTATAACCGTGATGGAATCTATTCTAGATTTAAATATATTGGGACTAGTGTGAATGGCAACTCCCACTTTTAGTCCTATACAGTGCCATCTTAACAACATTATGGGTCCCCGGGAAAAGTAGTGCACTGGAGCCCTGCCTACACAAAACTCACAGGAATAAAAATTTAAATTATAGATAAAATTAAGCTTATATTTATTAGTACCTCCAACAAATGCATATACAATACTGTAAGGAAACCTAGTATATTCAATCCTCCTTCGGTAGTTTCCTCCCGAGCCGCCAGAGCATCAGTGAGTATAGCTCTCCGTTCGGTAGATAGAATAGACTACATACGAATACAAATCACTTTACAAGATAATTCCCTTAATAAAGCATATGAATCCCCAAACATCAGCCGAAGTCAAGAAGAAGGGTACAACAGAACTGGCTTTTAATGACCACACACAGGCTTTTATGCAAGTCTCCATGCAAGGGGACATCCCACAGGGAGGGACACAGTATAACACACCCAGCACAAACATACAATTCCCTCCCCTAGTTCTGGAGATAATCAAGTCTGATAAAGTAATAACTTGATTATCTCCAGGCAGAAAAATCACAATTTTCCCCAATATCCAGAACACCCCTTTAGACATGGGGTATCCCCACAAATAATATGTCCCCTGATAGCCCCGATCTGGGTGACCAACATATTCAAATTTCACCCAGATCGGTTTAGGGGTTCTCAAAAAGTGTGGAAGTCCTTTGTGACCGGGTGGTTTTGTCGGTCTATTCAGTTAAGTGGCAAAAACCGAATAATTCCAAGAATGGATTCCCCTGGCTCTTAGCAGCGATTGTTCTCCTCATTCGAATGCACAAAAGTACTGAATAGCGCTCTTTTAGCTATTCGGGAAATAGAGATCCAGCGTTCGCTTGTTGAGACCGGTGTTCGGGAAGTCGAGTGTCCGATTTTAGTTCCAGACACTCGACGACCAAGTCCCGCTGCCTTTGCTCGCCTGAAAAAAGATGGCCGCCGTTTTCTCAGCCACGTGGCGTTCGGTAGTACGAACGCTGGCTGCACAGATAGAGGGTTCAATTGAAGCATTCTTTGAAATTTAATGTGCCGGGGGGGGGGGGTAGATAGTTATATCTACCGAATGAATATGGAAGAAATAGTACACATAAAAAGGGATTTCTTCACAAATACATAAACACAAACTGCTGAATACCCATGCACACCGACCGACTGCTGAATACCCACGCACACCAACCGACTGCTGAATGCACACAGACTGCATTGAGGGGTGCAGTGTACGTGTTTGTGTGTACAGGTGGTGTGTGTGTGTGTGTGTGTGTGTGTGTGAGAGAGGTGCTGTGTGAGGAGTGCCGTGTGTGTGTATGTTGCAGAGTTTGAGGGGTTCATGTAGCAAATATGTTTTTTTTTTTTTTGTTTTTAAATAATGCTATACATTAATAAAGTCTTCATACCCCCTCCCTTTTTCTTACCATTGGTGACGGAGAGGGGACAGAGCCAGCCGTGGCGGTCCGGTGGTGGTGAGTTCTGTGTAGCTTGCAGGCTGTCTCCTGTCCTGCTTGCAGGAAGAGCGACCTGCCTTGCAGGTTCCTCCTCCCTTCCTTCGGTTCCTCCTGCCCTCTCTCCCTGATCGAAGGGCCCTTGGGCTGGTGAGGGAGATGTCTGTTCTCCTCGCAGGCCCGAGAGGGCCCACGGCCAGAAAATCTCCATGGGCCGGCAGAAGAGATCAAAGTATCTCCCCTGTCGGTCTGGGCAGGGCGGTAGGGTCCCCAGGCAACTGTTCAGCATGCCCAAGGGGAAAGATGGCCCTGGTCCTAAATAGTAGATCACAAAATAATATTTTCTGGATCTTCAACTTGTTATGCTGCTTAGCCCCTTTAACCCCTTTTGTGATTAAACTTTTCCCGGACACTGGATTTGTGACAGAGGCCTTTTTGAAGATCGTTGTATTTGTTCATTCCTCTGTGATGTAACCCTTTCTCTTGCACCCATACATTCTATATATTGTTTTTTCAGGGTACAATTTTTTTTTTTAGCCCTGTAATGTTGTTATTGCAGAGCTAAACACACCTTTACTTGCTGATTTTCTGATAGCCACTAGAGACACTTCTGCGTTGTCAACAGTCGACATCAGAGTCTAACTCTGTTTTGTAATGTTCGCACCATCAAATGCTGATCATAAGGAAGCAATGTGGTTTTGTAAGGGGCTGTGACAAAAGTAACCTCATCACTGGTTTTTGGAGGGGCCTGTTTGCCAGCCTCCTATCCTGTGATTATGGCCCTGTGACAAATTGAACCTCGTCAAGGGTTCTTGGAGGGGCCTGCAATATATCTTGCCCAATGCACCTTAAAAGGCTCTATACATGTGAAGTATGTACTTTTATACTCCAGACAGAGAGACCGATCGTTGGCCCTAATTCTCTGGAACTGTTTTGGGCATGGGACCATGTGCATGGTGGGTCAAAACTATGACTTCCAGGAAATTCCTAAACCGATCTGGGTGATTTTTGGATATGTGATTCACCCAGATTGGGGCTATCAGGTGATGTAACTTTTATGGGCGGAGGCTAGGGACACAATGTCTCCCCTGGTATAAAATTAGTGGCCTCACCCAATGTCCATGAGTGGGTGCATGGGGTAGACTAAGCCCTCTTTATTTTACAGGTTCCATCTCCAACGGATTGGGCTTTTTTTGGCACTTTTATGTGTTTTAATGCACTTTTTGGGGTTTCATAAAAGTGTGTTTTTCTGTGCTTGGAGATAATTGGGTTAGATTAGTACAGTTCCTGATTCAGTTATCTCCCAAGCACAGATGAAGGATTCTATTGTTTGTGTATGGGAGTGTCTCACTGTATGACTCTATTTTTATTGGTTTATTCACTTTGTGTCCCTGTGCCCAACAAGGTCCACCTGGGTGTCATCCTTGTTGGGAAACTTGCATAAAAGGCCAGTGTGCCTCCATTAAAACCTGTTCCTGCTTACCCTCAACATAGTCTCATCTCATGTGTGGGAGAAATGGCTGTATCTGTCCTGGGGATTGCTATATCACTATACTCACGTAATCAATATTTTCCTATTCTATTTCCTACAGCTTATTGAGAAAGAGGAAATGCTGGTGTGTGCTAGCCCAGCATCCCCAGTTGTTTCCTTTAGCTCTGTGTAGCAAACAAAAGCAGAAGAAACCTTCCTCACTTTCTGATTGACAGCCAGGGAAGCGTCTGCCTCTAATTATTGATATCCGCATTTTATAACGGTCACAAATATATGGCAGACTCCAGACACATAGCCCTTCAGCAAGCTAAAGTGCTTTAGGTTTCTGGATTGTTGCTTTAAACATAAAGACTCCTTAAAGGGACACTATAAGCACCCAGACCACTTCATCCTTTTGAAGTGGTCTGGGTGCAGTGTCCAGTCCCCTCAAGCCTGCAATGAAAAACATTGGCGTTTTAGAGAAATTGCAATGTTTCCTTGGCAGGGTTAAGACTGCAGACATCCCAACTTGCAAAAATGCATTTCAGGTAGGTGGCTTCACCAGCTACAGCCAATGTTTACTACTCTAATGTTTTTCATTGCAGGCTTAAGGGGACTGGACACTGCACACAGACACACACAACCTGCAAACATGTTTGAGCATCTTTACACACAGATATATGCACTGGCACATAAACACTCAGATATACACGTTGAAACACACACCCAGATACGCTCTGACACATACGCTCAGGTGCCCACACTGGTGGGTACGCTCAGGTGCCCACACTGGCGGGTACGCTCAGGTGCCCACACTGGCGGGTACGCTCAGGTGCCCACACTGGCGGGTACGCTCAGGTGCCCACACTGGCGGGTACGCTCAGGTGCCCACACCCTCAGATACGCACACTGACGCCAACACTCAGATACGCACACTGACGCCAACACTCAGATACGCACACTGACGCCAACACTCAGATACGCACACTGAGATACACACACTCAGACGCACTGGCACATACTTTATATACATTTTCCGCCACCCTCTAGTTACCTTAAATTTCCTTGTCCTGGAGGGTGGCTTTCTTGGAGCTCTGTCTGAGGCTGATGGGAGTGAGCTTGCAGTAGCATCTCTCTTCTGCCTCACTGGTGCTGACTCCACGCTGCCTCCTTCCTCCATTCCTCCCGTGCTGGCAGTCTGTGAAGCAGGGAGGAAATGACGGACTGTCATCACTTCCTCCTTTCTGGCTGATACTACAGAGGCACGGTCGGCTCTTAAAGGGCTGGCACCTGACCAGGCCCCATTTAGTGACTAGTATGAGGGAGGGGGTCACAAATCATGTATAATATCCTGGTAATCCATACACACAATCTTATATACATTGTATGTCAGATTGTTTGTGTGATTTCCGGGATATTATACATGATGTGCGGGTGTCAGCAAGCCACATGCAAAATGAGGGAGTTTTCTGGAACTATCGCGAGACTTGGGATGTCTGGGACTGCCTCATGTGGCTGTCTCCGAGACAGCCCTTACAGGCGCTTTCTGCAGTTTCACGGAGTTTAACTCCATGAAACACTGCTGGATATCCTCGTGTTGTGCACGATGACATACAGCATCAAGCAAAACCCCATAGGAAAGCATTGAGCATTGCTCTCCACGCATTGCGCATTAGGTTCCAGATCATGCTGATGTTGGAAGAAGAGGAGGAGACTAATACAGCATTGAGGGACCTCAGCGCTGGAATCGGTTAAGTGTTTAAAGGTTGTTTGTTTTTTTGAATTCTTTATTTTTTTGGTGTGCAGAAATACACAGACAACTGCAATGCCACAACAGTCAGTTCAAGCTTAGTAAAATCAGGCAAAATATAAAACATGCATGGCATTTGAAGAGTCTGCGCATGTGTGTGGTTTTTTGTTTTTTTTTTAATAATTATAACCGGTAAAAGAATAAACAGGTCTAAGAGTGCAAGGGAAACATATATAGACCTGAAAGTAAGGTATCACAGAAGGGGAGAAAAAACACAGATTTAAGGTACACAGAGTATGCATATACACCTTGATAGTGTCATCAGGATACGAGGGAGAACCATAGTGTAATTGACTGGTGTACTTTCCTCTCTGTTAAGCTTGAGGTTAATTTATACCTAGGACCGGAATACACATGCGAAGCCAAAGTCAGTAACTAGAAGTAAATGCTCACAAACACACTCTCGGACAACCACTAGGAAAACCACGACAGGGCAATGATTAAAAGGCACAATGAGTTTAAATAAGCCTACTTAAGCTCGGATTGGCTGGAAATCGGCCTTTGACCCCGGAACGTCCGCACGCGTTTCCCGCGTGACGTCGCACACTGACGTCGTCATCAACATGGGCGGAGGTAGGGCTATAATCCTAACGGGGTTCCGCAGCGTCATTCCTTCCTGGGCTACAGGGCCTCGGTGTTACGAGGATAGTACATGGACGCCATCTTGTAGAGCAGGTTATTTTCCAAGTTGGAGCCGGTATAGTAGCCAAGGTCTTCGCTGGAGTGTGGTAGTGGTTAGTGGGCACAGGGATAGCTCGCACCGGTCGGGGGGTAGGGGAGAAACCGGATAAGACAGTCCTGTGAGAAAGCCGTTTTGCTTTGAATGAGAGTGGCTGCCTCACCGTCCGGCAGATCCACTTGGCCTCACTGGAACTTCTGAGAAAAGCCACAGTTACACTTAACTAAAATGCTGCTGCCTTCCACCAATCTACAGCTTCATTATAAAAAGTATTGGACGCATTCAGCAGCATCATGCTGTATGTGAAGACCTTCGTAAATCAGACTGATTGCCACAGGAGGTTTGTTTTTTGGACAAATGTAAATAATGCCATTTCTCTGAAATAAGTGTTGTACTTTGAAATGTACTGGTTTTGGTGTGTGTGTGTGTTGAAAATAATAGCAATAATAATTTCATTTTTTTATTTGCTGTAATCAGATTTGTTTGATAATATTGTTCCTCTCTGCCAGTAAAACAGTTTCTTAAAATTTGTACATCTAATATAATTTATCCTATCAAAATATACAATATCTTTCATTAGACCAAATGTAAGTATAACAAGGATATATATATATGTTTTAAATATAATCTTAGTATACGTTTAAGTTTACCAACATATATTGTGTTTTGACCCAGCACATTACAGTAACATGCAGTGTTTGTGTATGCCCAGATCCTCTTATTTTTTTTTTCCTGTACATTGTTCACCCTTAGGGCCTTTGCTAGAGATTTCTCTGGGGAAACCACCTGTCTATGCTCTGCTTCACTGGCTCTCTCTAGTAGTTTCTCCCTTTTAAATTTGATCTGAAGTTGCAATTAATATTTTTTATATATATATATATATATATATATATATATATATATATATATATTTAAACCATTTTTGTCTACTGAGCTGCGTATTTGTTTTATTGTTTGTGTGTGAGAATTTTTTTTTTCCTGTCTAGATATTCTTCTTAGCCTTGCGAAATACAGTATTAATCCCTTAAAGCTATACTTTAAGCACCAAAACAGGTTTTATGTATAGACCATGCCCCTGCGGTCTCAATTCTTGGCCATTTAGGATTTGAAGTACTTTGTTTTTGTATCCCTGGCCCCATCTCCCTTGGTTGTAAACCATACAATATTCCTGAGGGGAAAAAAAGGTTTTACTTTCACATCATAGTTTGTTTACTTTAGAAATTAATATCTCCTGCTTGTTTTTTTTCTTTTCTTTATTTTTGCAGTGCATTGTGTACACAAGATAGTAAAAATGAGAAAGACCTGAAAATATGAGTTATGCGTGATGAAAACAATGTACTTGAAAAATGTAAAAAGAGAGAAACCAAAACATTGCCTGCCTGTGGACAAATGGATAATAGGCCATTTTTCCCGGGTGCTGGATTATGTATATTCTTTTAGGTACAGTGTGGAAGTTATTTGCGTAGCTACAGATAGTGACAAATGCATGGGAGCACTAAACCTACAAGGTAGTGTTCCTAAACTAGGTTGGTTGGTTGCCACCTACTGATTGCCTATCTGCTTAAACTAACTGCTTTGCATTGTGAGTGGTTTCCTCTAACCATGGGGCTTGCGGGGTGTGGGATGTAAACGTAGGTGTCGCCAGTTAGTGATAACTGCAGGATTCTTGATACTAAATGGTGCTATAACACTCCGGTCTGAGTGGCTCTAATGAGTGTTCATGATAGTTATCGGTAGGTCTGAGCCTTTTGAAGTCACAAATTAACATATAAAACACAAAACTAGAAAAATAAAGAAAATAATACATTTTGTGTCTAACTTGTGAGTTGCCTTATTGAAATGGGAGCATCCGACAGGGACCTGCATTGTGATGGGTCAAGAAAGTCATCTTTCCTATTCGTGGCACTGGGGCTCTGGTGGTGATTGGCTTCAGGATAAAAGGGACAATATTATTAGGGTTCCTAGATTTCATTGAGGGTCCTGCTGCAGGGCAGGCGTTTGAAACTTACAGGGTTCCCAGAAGTGTAGCATCTTCTGCTGCTGATTAGAGAGTATGGCACATCCTGTAATGGGTTGTGTTCAAGGAGCCGTTTGCCCACTATCTGTAGGCCAAGCCTGCTACCTACCTTTAGTTGCTTATATCTAAGCCAAATGATTTACGCCAAATTACAGTGGGCTTAACCTGTCCTAAAAGAATGTTAAGGATGAATCCTCGAAGGTGAAGGGTGTTTTACCTTTGTTTCTGTGTATCTCTTGACTGGATTGGAATTTCAGTGAAATTCAAAGACAGTCAAAATGAGTCATTAAAGGGACATAATTGTCACCAGAACAACTAGAGCTTATTGTATTCTGGTGAGTATAATCATTCCCTTCACACTTTTTGCAGTAAACACAGTTTTTTTTTCATAGAAAAGACAGTGTTTACATTACAGCCTAGGGATACCTCCACTGATCACTCCTCAGATGGCTGCTAGAGGTACTTCCTGGAGCAGTGCAGCACTGACAGTCAATGTCTCCACCCTCTGCATGGAGACTCAACACTTTCCTCATAGAGATGCATCTCTATGAGTAGATGCTGATTGTACAGGGCTGTGTTTGGCGTGTGCTGGCTCTGCCCCTGAAATGCCTCCTTGAGAGTATCAGCCAATCCAATGCTTTCCTGTGTCAAAGCATTGGGATTGGCCCAGATCACGACTTCTGATAATGACAGCCAAGCAGGCAGATAGGGGCAGAGCCAGCAACAGACTGGAATAAAAGTAAGACTTTGCTATATTTAGGGGGGCAAGTGTGGGCCAGAGGGACTAGATGGTGGTTTTAACACTATAGGGTCAGGCATACATGCTTGTGTTCCTGACCCTATAGTGTTCCTTTAAGATTTTATCTTTATGAATACTGATTCTTTGGCAAGGTGGGTAAAGGTATCCTGGCTACAGGCAGGACACGATTGTTGGGCATGCTATGCTGCCCTAACGGCATTTAAGCCCTCCTTTTGTAAGACTGCATAACAAGACCTAATGTTGAAAAAGGACTAAAGCTTCACTCACTCATGTATACTCTAGGAATGATCACCAGCCTGTGTAGAGGAATACCATCATCTACCAGAAATCACTAGTCCCTTATATAGGCCTTTAAATTTGCTGAAATTTACAGCTTACTCCCTGCTCGCCAACTGTGCAGGAAGTTTAATTGGATCATTTTATTTCTACAGGCAGAGATTGATAATGATTGCTATAGCAGTATCAAATACCATTTTTGAGAACTGTTTGATTGAACTGTGTTTACTGTATGTGGGCATTGTGCTCAATGCAGACATTATTTTTACACTCTGTTGGCATTTTCAATAAGCTGCACTATTAGTAATGCCTTCACAGTCCTTACAAAGAACTACAAACAAGGCATTTGACCATTTTTATTTCTATGTTTTTGTCACACCTAATGTATGTGAGAAACATTGCATTTTTTCCGTTATTCTAACTGTTATTATTATTATTATTATTATTATTATTATTATTATTTATATAGCGCCATCAGATTCCGTAGCGCTCTACAAAGGGTGGCCTAACAGACATTTAATTGTAACCAGACAACTCGACGTACAGGAACAGAGAGGTGGAGGGCCCTGCTCAATGAGCTTACATTCTAGAAGGAGTGGGGTATAGTGACACAAAGGGTAAAAGTAGGGGTACGAAGTAAGTTGCTAGAGTATTCGCTGAGGGCTTGTTAGGTAATTTTTGACAGTTGCAGGAGAGGAGTCATGGAGGGTGGGGGATAAAAATCTGCTAACCGTTTAATTGATATGCTTTCTTGAAGAAGTGAATTTTCAATGATTTTTTTTTTTTTTTTTTAATGAGTGGAGACTGGGTGAAATTCTTACGGAGGAGGGAAGGAAGTTCCACAGAAGAGGTGCAGCCCTGGAAAAGTCTTGGAGGCGAGCGTTAGAGGTGGGAGTACGGACAGAGGATATACGTAGGTCTTTGGCAGAGCATAGGGGCCTCGACGGGACATACTTGTGTATTAGGGAGGATAGGTAGGTTGGAACAGCATTATGTAGGGACTTGTAAGCAAGCACCAGAATTTTAAATTGAGCCCTATATCTAACTGGAAGCCAATGCAGGGACTGACAGAGCGGTGAGGTGTGGGAGGTGCGAGTGGACAGGAAAATGAGCCTTGCCGCCGCATTCATTATAGATTGCAATGGTGCAATCTGAGAACACGTAAGACCACTGAGAAGAGTATTGCAGTAGTCCAGGCGAGAGAGAACAAGAGCATGGAGCAGCACCTTAGCCGCATCCGGGGTTAAATAGGGGTGCTATGTTTTTTAGATGGAAGCGACAGGATTTGGCGATTGATTGGACATGAGAGGTGAAAGAGAGGTTGGAGTCAAAAAGAACATCCAGGCAGCGTGCCTGCGAGGTAGAGGTGATGGTAACGCCGTTGACTTGGAGGGAGACAGACACTGGAGTAGTAACACTTAAAGATGGAAAGACCAGAAGTTCTGTTTTGGACAGGTTGAGTTTAAGAAAGTGAGCAACCATCCATTTGGAAATCGAAGAGAGGCAGTCAGACACGAGTCAAGATGGGCGGAGAGAGATCAGGAGAGGACAGGTAGATTTGCGTGTCATCAGCATAGAAATAATAATGGAAGCCAAACGAGCTGATGAGTTTGCCAAGGGAGGCAGTGTAGATAGAGAACAGTAGGGAACCAAGGACAGAACCTGGGGGGAAGAGGCAGAGTCAGAGAAAGAAACGCTGAAAGAGCGCTGGGAGAGGTAGGAGGAGCACCAGGAGAGAGCAGTATCCCGTAGACCTAAATTACAGAAAATGCAAAGAAGCTGTTGATGATCAGCAGTGTCAAAGGCAGCAGAAACATCTCAGATCCTGTGTGAAATATATAGATAAAGGGCACTGTGTGCTTTCTGAGAATTTTTGTTTCCCAAATATTTTTATAATGGCTAAATGAATAAGTGAAATATAAAAATTGCGTAACTTGCCTGTTGCATAGCAAATTTAACCAGCCAGTTCAGATATTATTGATTGGCTTAGTGTGTCAATCCTGGCATATATTTTTTTATTCTACAGCAACTATCTATCGAGCATTATATTGAAATAGGTTCAACTTTACCTTGTTTCTCAAATAAAAAAATAAAAAACAGTCCAGTTAACTCTCTAAATTTCATATTCCTGTTGTATTCATGCATTGGTAAATGCCATCTTGTGAAATGTTTATACATGCCTGTTAAACTATGCACTGCAGAAATAAAGAATTAAAAAATTAAACACAAAGAAATTGTGTAAATTTACATAATTCCAATTGTCGCATGTTATCTGCACAGCGATCCATACACAAAATTGGTGCTTTATAATATGTTCGTATGCTGGCTATGCATTCCTTGCTTCAATAAATGTTATTATATTTTTATTATTTATATAGCGCCATCAGATTCTGTAGCGCTGTACAATGGGTTATGCTAATCATTTTTTCAATCAAAATAGTTCTCAGTAGTGAAGTTGTTAAAGAAACAATATATAAAACAATTTTATATATTTTTGATGAATAATTTAGTACATCAAACCCCAAAGAGAAAAACATCATTTTTTTTTTTTTTTCTTTCTATTTATTCTTTTGCATGCTTTATATGGTAGTATGCAAAAAAAAAAAACTCTTGCAAAAGCTGAAGAAATGTCCTCTCCTCTTTCCCTGGCAGAGGCTTTCTGCTACACCAATCAGAGCTTTCCTATTAGGAAGCTTCTGTGCTGAAGCAGAGTGTGCACATATGATTGCAGCTTTCCAATACTTATCATTTAGCTGTAGTGCTGCTCATCGAGAAGGGGGGAGACAGGTGCTCACAAGCCCAGTGTGCCTGCTGCTATCGTTGGCTCTATGGAGCTAATGGAAGAGGAAGAAAACCTCTCCGGCATGCTGACAGCTAGGGAGGCAAACGTTTTATAAAAGTTCTGATTCCTAATCGAAATTGGTACGTTTATTAACGGTCACAAATTAAAGACCGTTAGCAAGCTGAAGTGCTTTATGTGTCTGGAGTGTTCCTTTAAAGGCACAGTATGCACTAACATTTCACAACGTTTGTGCCCTGAATAATTAACTGTAGTTATTTATTTTGCTCAATGTTTTTTATAGTTTTCTTGGAAAATAAAATTTTTGGCAGCGTAACACTGATATCTGTGAATGTTGTATTGCGAAAAAGTCCATTCCTGTGTACTTGCATGCATGGCCAAAAGTTGCCAGGACACCCCTGGATATTTTCTTGTTTGTTGCTAGACCTATTGCCAACCAGATTCTATCCTGTATACCATTTGATACTCCATTTATCTGGGGATTGAACCAGTTGGAAATGCTACAGTTACGTGAATACTGTAAAGTAATGTCACCACACAATTTCCAAGACGGCTGCGGAGCTATAACAATTTATACCCGTGTGGCAACTGATTTGATGTGAATACTTTGTAGAAAAGCAGATGTTACTTCCTTGTAAAAAAATAAATGCCAACCTCTTCACTCACTCAAACTCTGGTAGGGAGGGCAGTCCATATATATCTTCGCTGAGAAAGGGTGTATATTTGTGACGTTTTATGAATATTTCCATAAAGTTTGTGTTTTGTTTTACAATAACATACCATGTACCTGCCAATTTACATTTTTACACACATAGTTACAGTAAATTGGAAACAAAATATTATATTAACTGCTATAGGCACCTAGACCACTTTATCTCAGTGAAATGGCAGATTAAAACTGTTTTTATCAGATGGTCTCAGAGCGGCCATCTGATTGGCGCAGTGCAGTATTTTGCAATGCATAAACAAGTTGTAGACAATCTTATTATAATAGGTGATGATTGCACAATTGTTTTTTTCCTTAAAAAGTATATAACTACTTATTAAGCCACTGTGAAAATAATTTGTTCTTCTTTTTATAGCTCCAGAATGTTGGCATCAATCCTGCTAACATTGGCTTCAGCACATTGACCATGGAGTCAGATAAGTTTATTTGTATCAGGGAGAAGGTTGGGGAGCAAGCCCAGGTGGTTATAATCGATATGGCTGATCCCAACAACCCACTGAGACGCCCAATTTCCGCTGAGAGTGCCATCATGAACCCTGCTTCTAAAGTCATTGCTCTGAAAGGTAAGTTTCCAAGAAGTACACAATGTGTAAATAATTATTGTAAGTCTAAAGTGATTGTCTCAATACATCTGCCAAGATCAATTAGTCGCCTCTTTTAAAAAATATTTTTATCATCCTGTGCCTCCGTCATGCACCACGGGAATCATGTATACTTGGTACAGCCAAAGGGTTCCCGTGAGCATAAGTTAAAGTAGGAACATGGGGTTGGAAGATGAAAGCCTTGTTAACTTTTAATCTGGCAGTTTTGTAAGTAGTACTGAAAGCAGTTCCTAATATAACCCTTGAACCTTTAAGAGTCACTGGAATGTTCAATGAGTTCACATTTTTGTGGAATAATTATAGTTTAATTTGGTCAACTATTGCATTAGAAATTGTGTTTTAAGTGAAAATATATGAATTAGTTGCTGGGAATTCTAGGTACATCATTTGTCACATACTGGCAAATACTCTCAAATTATCTCACTTTTAGAGTGGATTGAACTACATCATTTATTGGGTTACGGTTTACAATTTGTTAATGAAAATTGGATGGTAGGATCCACGTATTGCAGGTGTCTCTGTAATCTAAAGGCTATTGAATGTGGTTATATTGTAATCTTCTTAAATAATGCATGAATGTCCAAGGCTTTTTTTAGCTAGAATAATTCCGTATCTAGATTTAGAGACTCTCCAGTCATGTAAAGAATATAATTCGTAAGTGACCCAGAGTAGATAATGGAGGGCAGGACGGGACTTAATGTGCGTTACTGCAGTCTGCTTCATGTTATCCTGATCATTCCAATTTCAGAAATACCTCCTGAAAAGGGATTACATTCTTAGAGTGCTACAGAAAATATTTAAACAACCAACCAAGCCAAAATTCCATGGATCATGTTCTAGATTTTACAGGAGAACTCTTATATCATTTGGATGTTATAAACCATACCAACACATCTGTTCCATGATGAAAGCAAGGTGTTATTGAAAATATAAGTGAATGGCTCTATTTAAAGAAAAAATGTTTGTGTGACCTTTACTGAATTGCTCTTCTGTACGACTTCTTGCAGCCTCTAAGGGTTAATCTTGTAGGGTATGTAGGGTTTATGCCTAATGTTTTGCAATTACTGAAAAGAGCATTATTTTTCAGGGTCAATAGGTCAGTTTATTTACTAAATGCCATTCATAAGGAATGTCTATGCTTAACCGACCCTTCACCCACCTATTGTACATATGCTCCCCGTATTTAAAGGGACATTCCAGGCACATTGTTTACTAGCATGCAAAATGGGGAAAATGTTTAAGTATTTTTAGGAATAATTTGCCTACTTGTTCATTTCTATGTGGTGTTTTTTTATTTATTTATTTTATTCTTTCCCATGCTTAACCCCTTAAGGACCAAACCTCTGGAATAAAAGGGAATCATGACATGTCACATGTCGTGTCCTTAAGGTTTTAAAGGACCACTATAGGCACCCAGACCACTTCAGCTTAATGAAGTGGTTTGGGTGCCTGGTCCATCTAGGATTAACCCTTTCTGCTGTAAACATAGCAGTTTCAGAGAAACTGCTATCTTTACCTATGGGTTAATCTAGCCTCTAGTGGCTGTCTCATTGACAGCCGCTAGAGGCGCTTCCGCGCTTCTGTGTCAGGAAAACGAGTTTGTTTTTTTCTGGCACTATCACAGTGAGAAGACGCCAGCGTCCATAGGAAAGCATTGAGAATGCTTTCCTATGAGACTGGCTGAATGCGCATTCATCCGATGGCATCAGAAGAGGGAGGAGAGTCCCAGTGCCGAGGGAGCCCGGCACTGGGAAAAAAAGGTAAAGGATTAACCCCTTCCGCCCCCTTCAGTGCCACGGGAGTGGGACCCTGAGGATGGGGGCACCCTCAGGGCACTATAGTGCTAGGAAAACGAGTTTGTTTTCCTGGCACTCTAGTGGTCCTTTAAAGAGACACTATAGTCACCAGAACAACTACAACTGAATGTAGTTGTTCTGGTGAGTATAATAGCTCCCTTCAGGCATTTTCATGTAAACACTGCCTTTTCAGAGAGATTGCAGTGTTTACATTGCCTCTAGGGACACCTCTAAGTGGCCACTCCTTAGATGGCCACTGGAGGGGCTTCTTGGCTCAGTGCTGCACAGTAAGCAGTCCCGCCGTTCAGCGGGGATGCTGAATTTTTCTCATAGAGATGCATTGATTCAACGCATCTCTATGAGGAGGTGCTGATTGGCCAAAATGGTGTTTGGCCCCGCCCCTTGCCGGTTTTAGCCAATGCTTTCCCGATGGGGCGGGGGCAAGCCACCTAAATGGTGGGTTTTCACTATAGGGTCAGGAATACATGTTTGTTTTCCTGACCCTATAGTGATCCTTTAATCCTCAACCTACATATGTGACATGTAAGCTCCATAACCAAAATTAATATATAGCAAAGAATGTTTGGGTGTTATCCAACTTTGGGCAACAAAAATTGACTGAGAGGGTTGAGATAACATTTCTGTTATTGCTATCAAAGTTGGAAAGCCAACATGAAAACAATGAGTTGAAGTGGTTACAGAGCTTAGTGTTCCTTTAATTCTTTCAGACATTAATATGAGTGTGACAGACCGCCTGGTACCTCCGTCAATCTCGCTTCCTAGTAGTCGCCGAGTACTATAAGCACTGCACCAGACACCATAACCACCGTAGCACCCCCTTAGCTGCCGCAGTTCGGCTGGGGTCTCGCCGTCCCTTCCCACCCTGGACCAACACCTGGATCCAGCTCCCAGTGAGAAGATCTCTCCTCCAAGAGAGTATAATAATTCAAAGAGCAGTATAGCAATTCCCCCCACACATGAGCCAAGGCTTAAAGGACCACTACAGGCACCCAGACCACTTCAGTTCCATGAAATGGTCTGGGTGCCAGGTCCCTCTAGTGTTAACCCTGCAGCTGAAAACAAAGGTTTAGAGAAACTGCTATGTTTCACTGAGGGTTAATCCAGCCTCTAGTGGCTGTCTCACTGACAGCCGCTAGAGGTGCTTCTCACTGTGAAAATCACAGTGTGAAGACTCTGGACATCCATAGGAAAGCATTGAGAAATGCTTTCCTATGGGTGGTTTGAATGCACGGGCGGCTCTTGCCGCGCATGCGCAATCTGCGCTGACGTCGGCAGAGGGAGGAGAGTTCCTCAGTGCCGAGGGAGCCCAGCGCTGGAGAAAGGTAAGTGGCGGGAGTGGGACCCTGAGGGTGGGCGGGACCTAAAGACCCTATAGTGTCAGGAAAACGAATTTGTTTTCCTGGCACTATAGTGGTCCTTTAATGCTGGGAAGTCGTTTGTTTAATGGAAGCACAGTCATAGAATTTATAAAAGTTACAAATTCCTCCTCGGTGCCTGAGAGATAAGGAGTCAGGAACTGTACTAACTCAATTATCTCCAAGAACAGAAAAACACATTTTTCAAACACACCAAAAGTTCCCCCAAAACACATGAAAACCTCACAAAAGTTACATCCCCTGATCTGGGTGACCTACATATCCAAAAATCACCCAGATCGGTTCTGGGGATCGGGCTTTCTATGGAAGTCCTAATTTGACCGACCGTGCACATGGTCCTATGCCCAAAACCGTTCCATGAAATCGGTACTAATGGTCGGCCAAGTTCGGTAGTTTAAAAACTAACAAACTACCCAACGTAGTCTATAGTTCTACCGTGGAGCTTGTTCTCCTCATCCAGACGAACGAATCCACTGAACAGTGCCCTTCTAGGTGGTGTAGAATCCGAATGCAGGCGATGATGGAAGTCCAGCGGTGTTCAGGAGTTTCCGTGTCCGATGACCAAACACCGCTGCCTGCGTATGCGAAAAACCAGATGGGCACCACTTCATTGTCATTCATATGAATTGCAGCCACTCAGACGAACAATTAGAACACTGTGGTTAGAATCGTTAAGAGGTGTCAATTGAGCTTAACAAGCTCACGGGTATTCCCTGGTTCGTGCGCCTGTTCGGTTCCTGAACAGCATGGGAAAATGGCACAAACTAAGTCTTTTAACAGGGTTTTTGCAGGGCCCATAGTCTTTGTGCAGGAGGCTAGCCAGCAAACCACTCCAGGAACACTTCTGCCACAATGAACATATATTTAATTCACTTAATCTGTGCATGGCCAAATTTAATGAAAGTCATTGAGTATACACTGAGCAGCCACAACATTAAAACCACTGACAGGTGAAGTGAACAACATTGTTTATATCATTACAATGGAACCTGTCACCTGTGAAAGGGTGGGTTATATTAAGCAGCAAGCAGTTCTTGAATTTCATGTGCTGAAAGCGGGAACAATGGCAAGTAAAAATATCTGAATTACTTTAACAAGGGCCAAATAATGATGGCTAGATGACTGGGTCAGAGCATCTCCAACACGGCAAGTCTCGTGAGGGTGTTCCCGGTGTGCAGTGATTAGTACCTGCAAAAGTGGTGCAGGGAAGGACAACCAGTGAATCAGGGTAAGGATCATGAGCGCACAATGCTGATTGGGGAGTGTAGGCTGGCCTCTCTGGTCTTCTAACACAGAAGAGTTACTGTAGCTCAAATTGCTCAAACTTAATATGCTGGCCATGATAGAACACACAGTGCATCACAGTTAGCTGTGTGTGTGGCTGCGTAGCCGCAGTGTGCCCATAATGACCCCTGTCCACTGCCGAGAGCACCTTCAATGGAGGCGTGAGTGTCAGAACTGGACCATGGAGCAATGGAAGAAGGTGGCCTGGTCTCATTTTCTTTTAGATCAGGTGGATGGCCTGTTGAGTGTACATAGTTTACATGAGGAAGAGATTGCACTATGGGAAGAAGGCAAGCCGGCTGAGGCAGTGTCATGCTCTGGGCAATGTTCTGATGGGAATCCTTGGAGCCTTGCATTCATGTGGATGTTACTTTGACTAGTACCATCTACCTAGAAAATGTTGCAGACCATGTACACCGCTTCATGGTATTCCCTGTTGTGACTTCTTTCAGCAGGATAAGTCAAAAATTAAGGAATGGTTTGAGGAACGTGACAAGTCCAAATTACCCAGATCTCAGTCCGATTTGAGCATCTGTGGGATGTGCTGGAACAGGAACTCTCAACCATGAAGGCCCCACCTCGCAACTTGCCGAACTTTGCAGCTAATGTCTTGGTGCCAGATATCACAGGACACATTCAGAAGTCTTGTGGAGTCCATGTCTCAACGCATCTGAGCTGTTTTGACAGAGATGTATTCTGAGGTAAGTATTTATTGTAAATGCTGTTTTACTGCATTACACAAAAGGATATTAAAATCCACCCTGGAGTGTTCCTTTAAAGGGAACTTTACTCACCCAGGCTACTTCCACTTATTGAAGTGGTGTCTGTGCAGTGTTTCTGTCCCCTTAATCCTGCAATGTGGAACATTGCGGTTTTAGAGAAACTGCATGTTTACATTGCAGGGTTAAAGCTTCCTCTAGTGCTTGCTGCAGTTTAACTCTGTGAAACAACACTGGACGTCCTAATGCTGGGAGTCCTCTGCGCTAGAATCAGGTAAGTGGTTAAATGGTGTTTATTGCAGCAGCCGGGGGCGGGTGCAAAGGGACACTGTAGTGTTAGTAGTACAGTTTTATATTCCCAATGATGTTGGGCACACCCCAGGATCATATTGCATTAATGGAGATTTATCAAATTGATCTGGAAAGTGTCTCCAATCTGTTCTAAAATGATTGAAGAGTGTCTGCATTTCTCTACCTAATTTCCAATTTTTTGCAGATAAGTGAGCTGAATTTGTCTACCAGGAGTGATGGAAAGATTGATAAATATATATATTAACAAATAGGGTGTAATAGTAGGAACAGATAACAAAAAAGAAAAAACTTACATATTTAAATGGACACTATAGTCACCAAAACAACTACAGCTTAATGTAGTTGATCTGGCAAGTATAATCATTCCCTGCAGGCATTTTCCTGCAAGCACTGCATTTTCACTGCCCCCTTGGGACACCTCCAGTGGCTACTCCTCAGATGGCGGTTCTGGCGGATTGGAGGTTCTTCCTGTGGCACTGCCGTTCAGAGTCTCCACGCTCTGCATGGAGACACTGAACTTTCCTCATAGAGATGCCTTGATTCAATGGATCTCTATTAAGAGGTGTTGATTTGGCTAAGCTGGCATTTAGACCTGCCTCTTTGATGATTGCAGGTTAAAATCATAAATTCTGATGTCTGCAAGGAGGCAGATCAGAGGCGGGGCCAGTTCCGGTGGACCTGCGTGGCGCTGGACATAAAGTCAGTTTTATTACCTTTTAAGGGGGCAAGCCACCTAAGTGGTGGTTTAACACTATAGTGCCAGGGACATAGATGGGTATTCCCTATATTTTTCCTTTAAAAAATGTTTTAAAGGAAAAAAAACAAGGTGTGAAACTTTGATAAATCTACCCCATTGTTTAATTTCTCCTCTTCTTTGTATGCTTTCTCCTTCCTGCCTGCCAGATACAAAGGGCAGAGCTTATAACAGTGATTAATGAAGGCACTCGGTTTCATAGCAGTGTGGTTTTGGAAGTTTGTTTTATTTTCAGACCTCACAATAACATTTTTGCGAAATCTAGGATAAAATAAACCTAATATTCAAAATAAAGTTGGTGACTGTTCCTTTTTAAAGGGAAAGTGCTTGTTATTGTAACATATTCTACAGCAATAATGGGGATCTAAATTTCTTATTTTAATTAAACCAGCTGAAAACCAGATAGTTGTGTGGAATAAAAAATACCACAATTTTTCAGATTACAAAAATATGCAATTGAAGAGTGGCTAGATAATTAGAATTAGCAAGTTAACAAATTGTGCAGGGTGTACTCTGAGCTCGATTTCCTCATTCAGCTAATTAATTGATCATCAGCCACATCAATAATACTCACGGCTTACTTTCTCCTGGAGCCAGCCGTGGTGCCCCAGATCTGCTACCCGCGGGTGCATGGTACATCTAATTTCACCCCCAACTTGCAAAACAAAGCTGAAGTTACCTGGCAAGCTCGGCAGCAATAGGCAGTAAAAACAAAAAGCAAAAACTGGCACAAGTATTGCTGAGCTATGGCGGCGGGCACATGGCGCCCTTGAGACCAACATGGCCGCCTATATCGACTCTGTTAAACAACCCTCGGACCCCGTAGAGACCTGCCTACCCACAACGCTGATACCACCGCAGCCCAAACCGCAGCCGGACTCAGCCCTGGTCACGAAGGCAGTCATGCAAGAACTGCTGGCGGACATACGAAAGGATATCCAGGGCCTGACAGGCTGCATGGGAACCTTTTGAACTCCCGCAGCCACACACAGCAAATAACAGTGATACAACCGGAGCTAAAGTCGCTACAACAACAGCGCTTAATTATGGAACAAAAGATGGCGGCACTGGAGGACTCGCGCCACACTCAAAATATCAAGATAATTGGCATAGCAGACTCGGTCCCGGACACTGAACTGCCTCAGCTCCTGAGGCGCCTGGTGAGTGAAATACTCCCACCGAAGCAGGCTAAGATAGTATGCCTAGATTGCGTGTTTAGAATCCCCAAACCAACGACGGCCCCAGCAGCACCATGGGACCTAATTTCAGAAGCGACAGGACAAAGAGGCAGTCATGACCGCCATCAGGGCCCTTACATTTTATACGGACTTATCCAGAGGAACTATGGCCTGGCGCACAGCCCTCGGGCCCTTTACCTCCCTGCTCCAGGCACACAATATTAAGTACCATTGGTACTAATCACACAAGCTCCAAGTAATCCACGGAGAAGCTATGTACTTAATAGCATACCTGCAGGAAGCGAGGACGCACCTATCAACCTTTGGCCTACCAGAAGACTCTATACGGCAATCCCGCTCAACTCCTAAGCCCTTTGAGTGGAATCCAGCTACCTCTGAGACATTTGTCCCAAGGGGGTCCAACCACACTGCACAGGGGACGGCCCCTGCCTGAGCACCCCTTGTGGGCCTGCAGGACCACACCAACCACTCTTACTGCAGCCTCAGTGCTGTCAGAGGACTGAAAATGTTTTACGGTTAAATTTTCTGTTTGCACCTTCTTCACAGAGGTACTCACACACTATATGAGACACCCCTGCTACTAAACAGCAATTAGTTACACACAGTCCCCCTGCAACCATGAACCCCCATGACATCAAGGCAGCGGATTCTTACACACCACCCTCACCTAGCGACACTGGTTCCCGCTGCCATGACACGGAGATAAAATCTTGGGGGCACACTGTACTTACACATGGAGTGTCACTGACCCCGAAACATGCCATCCCCGGCCCCAGCATAGTTTTGTCCACTCTTAATTATGCTTTAAGTAACTAGCACGCTTATCCGGGCGGTTCAGAAATCAATTTCTGTAGTGCAAACCGGACGACCCTACCCACTAAAGTACCACTCGCCCTACGTATACCGTGGCCATAAACCAGGCCACCCTAGAACGCAATATACAGGCATTAGGGATCGCATCCCCCAGGAGCACCTAACATCATGCCGACTATTTGGTCGCAGAAGACATAAGAACCCACTAACCTCCCGCACAAGCCACAACTCACAACCAGGTTTACACTAAGAGAGGACCACACATGTTGCTAAATATATTAACCTGCACCCGACACCTTTTTCAATGTCATTGTTCCCCAGTGCCACTGATATGCCCTATTCACTTAATTGCTTACTCTTTTTATCCCTCACTGTAGAACTGACTCAAACTTTACTATCTACTGAAGTTAACTTAAAGCGCTTGAACTAACCTTGCAAATCTCCATATATAAAAACAAAAGTGCAATGTTCTCGATATTTCTGTTATGTGAATTCAAATCTTTTCGCACCTACTGTTGTGGCGGTGCAAATCTGCATGTCCAATATTTGCACAAATAAAATAAAGAATAAAAAAAAAAATAAAAAAAAATAGCGGCTCAAAATCTACAACAGAACTTCAACCCTCAGCAACCTGAGACGGAACATCTCTACCCTGTAAAGTTAACTCTGAGGAGGCTGGATGAAATCTTTGACCGCTTCTGGGCCTCGTTGGAGGCATGCCAAACAGCCGCAATGCCTCAACATCAGGAGGAGGACAGGGAGGATGAGAGCTGGGATGAGAGCTGGGTGGTGAGTGGGCCCCCTTCGTTCACTTACATCTCTAAAGCACATACACCTCCTTTTAAAGGCTAAGGGCCAACAGAGGCAGAGCCCCACGGCATCGTCCACACAGACGGGGACCATCCGCTATCAACGGTTACCTACCACCAAGGCCTTCTGTTTATCCCCTACAGGGAAGGACTGGGATCCCAGGAGCCCCCAAGTCCGTGGATTGAAGATGCTGGCCTGTCAACCGGCCTGGGGCTGGAGGGATGTCCCACAGAGCCATCAGAGTGTTGCAGCCTCCTTAACCCTTTGTCTGCAGGACTCACATTTCCCATCTTCAGGGATAGGCTGAATGCAGGCTTGCTACCCAGAGCCGTGTCACCAGTCGCATTATGGGACTAACCGTAAACGGCAACTGTCACTGTTGGGATTTCCTCACTTAACCCATACATTCCAGCCCAATTGTGCTCCCTATATGCATGCATATCTCGGCTGTTTGATTTTTTTATTTTCTTGTTTTTTGTTTTCTTTTCTTTTCATGTCTTAAGTATTAATCGTATCTACGCTTTACCTACTATAATGCTACATAGATACAAAGCCAGTGGTTTCTACCGCCACCATATCAACTCATGTCTTGAAACAACCTGTTAACTGTTTAACTATTTTTTGCTTAGTGTTTAGACATGTTTGCCATCCTGAGCATATATCTACACAACAACGTGCCTATGTCTTTTTATGCATGCAAAACGTATTATTACTCAAAAATGTGCTGTAATATCGACTGCTCTTCACTGTTTAACTATGTGTACTAAATCACTTGCCACTGCTGTCGGGGCAGCACAAGACTGTTTGTTTGTTTCTCTGATGCACAATAAAAATAAATGTAACACGTTATTTGTGACCAGATGACTGTTTTAAATCTACCGTATATACTCGAGTATAAGTCGACCCGAATATAAGCCGAGGCCCCTAATTTTACCACAAAAAACTGGGAAAACTTATTGACTCGAGTATAAGCCTAGGGTGGGAAATGCAGCAGCTACTGGTAAATTTCTAAATAAAATTAGATCCCAATAAAATTACATTAATTGGATATTTATTTACAGTGTGGGTATTTAATGAATGCAGTGTGTGTTTGTGTGTAGTGTGTCTATAATGCAGTGTGTGTATATAATGCAGTGTGTGTGTTGTGTGTAAACTGGGTGAGGGGAGGGCATTTAAATTTTTTAATTTTAAGATTTTAATATTATTATTTTATTTTAATATTTGTATTTTTTTTTTTCCCCTCCCTGCTTGTTGTTAATCCCTGGTGGTCCAGTGTGGGGGCTGGCAGAGAGCTGTTACTTACCTTTCCTGCAGCTCCTGTCAGCTCCCTTCTCCTCCGTGCAGCTCCCCTGTCAGCTCTGCTTACAGTGTAAGTCTCGCGTTCTGCGCGGAGCGTTGTCACAGTAAGCCGTGGCAACGCTCTGACTCCCGTGGGTGTCGCGAGACTTACACTGTAAGCAGAACGGAGCTGACAGGGGAGCTGCTCGGAGGAGAGGGGAGCTGACAGGAGCTGCAGGAAGGTAAGTAACAGCTCTCTGCCAGCCTTCAACAGGACCGCCGGGCTTGTAATGAGCCCGGCGGTCCTGGTCTGTATTATGGCAATGTAAGTTGCCATAATACAGACATTGACTCGAGTATAAGCCGAGTGGGGGGTTTTCAGCACACAAAATGTGCCGGAAAACTCGGCTTATACTCGAGTATATACGGTATATTAAGATTTCTCATCAGTTAGCAGTTATTAACGTAGGGGTAAACAGAAATTATGTCTTCTCTCCCCTCTTCACTTCTAATAGCTTTTTAAGATTTGTGTTTTGATCCATTGAATTATATTTACTTACTATACAAATAAACACTGCCCTACTACTATGCATTTTAAATTGGTGTAATCTCTTTGCATGACACACAACATCCATTTTTAAAATTTAATTTATTAATTTTTTTCATGCATTTTTCACATAAACTGTCTCCACTATCATTTATATTTTATTTTTATATTTTCACGAAGTCACTTCATTACCAGTGAAAAACCTCATTTTCACGAAGTCACTTCATTACCAGTGAAAAACCTCATTCGGATTTACCCAACCCAGCAATATGCATCTGTTTAATATTCAATTTTTTAGCTTGTATGTCTTTATTATTATTGGTATTGATATAGCGCCAACTTATTCCGCAGCTATTTACGATATTATAAAGGAGGAAAATTTAATAAAATATGAGTAGTGATGTCGCGAACGGTTTGCCGCGAACGGTTTGCCGCGGATTCATCATTGAGAAATCTTTGACCCTGTACCTCACAGTCAGCAGCAGACCCTCCCTCCCAGACCCTCCCACCTCCTGGACAGCTCACTAAGAATGCAGCTTCACAATGAATGTAAAATGGATGCTGTCCAGGGTCTGGGAGGGAGGGTCTGCTGCTGATTGGCTGGAATGTGTCTGCTGACTGTGAGGTACAGGGTCAAAGTTTACTCAATGATGAGTCCGTGGCGAACCGTTCGGGACATCACTAAATATGAGACATTTACAAAGTGATGCAGAAACATTATATTTTTATATTTTCACTGTCACTTCATTACCAGAGATCATGAAAAAAAAATCTTATATCCAAGATTAATGACCAAGATTGACCCTACGTATCTTCCATGTTGAATCATGGTAATGCTGAACATCCCTTGATATTTCCCACATTTGAAAATATCATGACGCTACTTTGCTTTTAATTTAATTTATTTCCTTTTAAATACTATGTTGCAATATAATGTGTTTGTAAAAATGTCAAGTTTCCCTGCTGTGCGCTCTCTATAACTTTACCCTTCCCGTTTTATGAATCGCAGTGCTTTTTCTCTCTTGTTTTACATTTGTTATTTATGCTTTCTGTTTTCTTTCTTCCTGCTTTCTCCTCTCAAACAGACGGTGAGTTACTTTATCCTGTCTCTTTTGCTGTGTCTGTGTCAGAACATTCCACGAATATTGGGACTGAAATAAGGAATTGGAATTTTCTACTTGAGTATACTTTCAGGAAATGGTTCATTATAATATGTGTTTTATAATTTACATATATGTTTTAGAATATGCAGTGAAATACACCTGTGACCTTCAGACATCATTACACTTCTAGATAGAGCATAAAAACAGCCTGTATTGGATCTTATTCGATCAATTGTTTGGCAGTTCCAAAAGTAGAACAGCCTTGGAAACCAATAGAATGTTCCTTCTGATTGTACCAACTTTGCAAAATTATATCATATCTCTTTATACATAGGCTCCATTGGGTCTAACTTTTTTATTTTTAAACTTCGAGTTTATAATATTTGCCCCCCCCCCCCTTTTTTTAATTTTTTTTATTTTAATGTTCAGACTATTTATTTTTTATTTTTTTTACATTTAGAAATATCAGGAAGTATTACTTTACTGAGAGGGTAGTAAATACATGTAATAACCTCTACCACTTCAACTGGAAGGCTAACACACAGTGAATGAGTTTGCATGGTAGGACAGGCATAAGGCTATCCTTGACTTAAGATAAGGCCAGGGACTAATGAAAGTATTTAGAAGATTGGGCAGACTAGATGGGCCGAATGGTTCTTACCTGCCGTCACATTCTATGTTTCTGATACTTTGTTTGATGAAATGAAGAAAATTGTTTTGTTTTGCGTTTTTCTTTCTTACTCTTTCTGATTTGAATGTAATCCTGCAGTGGACTACAAATTTCTCCTAAACAAATTATAAAAAAGATTATACTTTAGTACATTTGCTTTTTTTCCCTTAGCAACTCAATTTGTACACTACTCAACACTACAAGTGTTGCTGTTGATAAAACAGAGCAACTTTGGCAGACACCTTATTTAAAGGAACACTCCAAACACCCTACCTTCTACAGCATATTGTAGTGGTCATGGTGCCAGGAGTGCGCTGGTAAGTAGTTAAACCATTTGCAGATGTCTTAAAAACTGACCTGTGGTCAGCCAGATGCCGTTCACAGCCTTTGGGAATTCTTGAAGCTCCTGCATGAAACTTCTGTAAGCTTCCCTGAGCTAAATGCAGCCTCATGTTCGCAGTGAGCTTCTGGCTGTCCTGCAGGAGGTGACCGGCAGCCTACAGACCCCGAGTAAGTTGTAAAACAGTTTGCCGCTATAGGGGTTATGGTGCTTTGTGTGTTCCTTTAAGTTTAATAATTCATTTAGCTAAATGTTATGTTGAACTATTGATCCTTCTAAGATTTACCAAATGGCCATATATATATTTTTTTATATTAAAGGCATAAACTCTTGCCATTTTTTGGGAGAGTGGTCCTTTGCCACAAGGTCCAATCAAAGGCTTCTGTATGAGAAGCCTTTGATTGAAGGATTTGACCGGCTCAAAGTCCATGCATGCTGGGTGGTGGGGGGGTGGATTTAAAAAAAAATATATATATTAATGGGTGGAGGGAGGGCTTCCATCTGTGTGGGAGGGAGGGAAGACAAGAGCTTGCAAAGGAGAAGCAGTTACTGTCACCAGTGTGTAGTGCCTGCTGATTATAGACTTAATTTATGCACAGATTTGACATTAGGCAGACTGCCTAAATCATGTATGCTGGGTGTGCAACAGCACACATTTAAAATATCTCTGGATGTGCAGCGAAACACTCCTTCTTTATTAAACAAAATGTTTGATTCTTGCCTGTTAAATCTGTTGCTGATTTTGCTGGTCCCTGAATATTTTACATGTCTGCTGAGATTATTCATGTTTCTTACTAGTCTGTTCTTAAATTATTTCATATAACTGTTAATTTATTGATGAGTTATCAAGAGACACCACCTTCTATATTTGCGCATGAAATCAGGTCCAGTTGGGCAAAAAAAGAAAACTGTTACCCCAAGAACAGGCCAGTTTTTCTCTTACTGTTGGTCATCTAGGGTCAGATTCTGTTGAACTGTGTTTTTTTTTTCGTTTTTTTCTTTTATTGCATGAGAACCCTGAAAGTTCATAGAAGCTTGTGTCACATGTAGTCAGTTCAAGAATTCCGTTTTATTTCTGAAACGTCGAGTCAATCCATGTTGATCTCTGAATATCAAGGTCTACCTAAGTTTGAGTGTTATAATTGGTTTGTGAACTGCTGTACAAGCCATCACATTGGCTTCCTCTAAACCCTTTACTATTGTGGATCGCAGATGTTTCTTTTGAAGGGCACAGACGTTTGATTTTTGTGAAGACTCATCTTGCGCGGGAAGAACTGCCTCTGATTGCAAGACAGACTATTATGTTTCAATATACAGCATGTTCTTATGTCAAAAGGGCATAAATGGTCCGTCACAAAATTAAGAAAAACCCAGCAATATGTATCTGTTTAATATTCAATTTCTAACTTGTATATCTTTATTATTATTGGAATTTATATAGCACCAACATATTCCGCAGCTATTTACGATATTATAAAGGATGAAAATTTTATAAAATATGAGACATTTACAAAATGATGCAGAAACAATAGGCAGATGAGTATCCTGTTCAAACACGCTTACAGCCTAGAGGAGGCTGGGTGTAAAAACACAATAGGGCAGCAAGAGGGACGGCAACCAAACAAGGTGGGAAAGTAGCCAAACTGGAGGTATAAGTGGAGTGTGGCTCTTTAGAGAGCCAGATATGGGAGAGAGAAGTTACTCTAGGAGGGACTTCTTAAATAATTGAAGACTAGAGGAGAGTCTGATGGGGTAGGCAGGCTGTTCCAAAGGAAAGGAGCTGCCTGTGAAAAGTCCTGTAAGTATGAGTTAACAGTAAGGGCATGAGCAGCGGACAGGAGAAGGTCACAGGCAGAGACCGAGAATGGACATATCTATGAATCAGCGAAGAAATGTAACTTGCTAGAGTTGCTTAGAGCGTTGTAGGTAACGGGGGCTGATAAAACTAACTAAAACAGTTCTCAACAAATCCTGGGTCACCATGGCGACTAGGAATTTTGTCCTGGAGCCTGGGATTTGTCGAGCCCTGTTTAGTTATAATGCAATCTTTTAAAATCTTTGGTAATGGCAGACCCTAAACAAGTGTCCATTTTGTTTGCTAATCGTGTACCCACAACGTATGAGTCAAAAGAACTCCAGAAATGGGAAAACTGCAGACAAAGGAGAAAGAACTGGGGGTGCCAGGGTATTAAGAAGGGGGGGAGGGGGGAGAACACAAAAAAGCAAAACAGTGATGCATGTTAATTAAGGCAAGGAGTATAATAATCATTACGATACAAGGTGCACAGGGAAATTAAATCTGAAAAAAAACAAAACACCATGGCGGTTGTTTTTAAATGGTTCTACAAAATAGAATATAGTAACATAGAATGTAGGCAAACTGTCAGGATTACAGTATGATCCAGCAGGTAGAATTGTGTAACACAGCGGACTGATAGGTAGCGTACACCGGACCTTAGAATGGCCGGACTAACGTACCAAAGAATAGTCTGGAATAGCCGAGGTCAAGGGATACAGAAAGAGACACAACGATAAGGAAAAGCCGGGGTCAGGGATGCCAGAAAACAGGGAAGTCAAAATCAATGCCAAAGATAAATAACCAAAATCAATAACCCTCTCTCGGACAACCACAAGAGAAACCACGACAGGGCACTGAGCAAGAGGAGAACTTGGCCTAAATACCCCGCCTGTGGATCCGATTGGTTGTAACTGGCCTTTGACCCCAAAGGCAGTTACCAGGCTCCTATTTGCATGATTGCTGCTCAGCACAAACCCTCCTGTGGATTGATTGCTGCTCGGCACAACTTTTCCTGGCAGGACAGCAATGCTGCTCGGCACAACTTTTCCTGTCAGAACAGTAAATGCCATTAATACCATTTTTACGTGTGGATGAATACGTGACACAAACATCATGCATTACCCAAGATCCCTGGTTATGTAGCCACTGTGGTAATGATGATGGCTGCTGAGCTGGAGAAATATCCGTGTTGAACAGCGGTGGAAACACCATGTAGCTCACATTAGAACATCACTGCTCCATTTTTCAAAGTGTGAGAGCTTTATTTACTAAATGCCATAAGTAGACTGAATCAAAATCAGTCTACCTTACTTGTTTTGCAACTGTGATTAATAATACGGTAGTGATTAAACACAGGAACAAAACATGGAAGGTAGTACAACCCTGATTACAGCCTTGTGCGCCCAGCTGCTTACCAATATGTTCCTGCTTTTCAAGTAAATTAAATTCTTATGGTTTGAAAATCAAGGCAGCATTATGTGTGTGTTTTCCCCTGAAGGATCCTTGGATATTTGTTTCATAGAGAAGTTCTCCTCTGAGAAGCATCTGATTGCTGACCTTTCATAAGTAGAATTGGGCTGCAGTGAAGTGTCCCAGTGCTAAAAACAGGCAAAATTGGAAAAATAATTTATTTTAAACACGGTCATCTTTTTTGTGGGGACTCCAGTTGTGGACTATTCAGTCTTTTCTATTAAGATTTGAGGAGAATATTTTAATTCTGAACATGTAACATAGAAACATAGAATGTGACGGCAGATAACCATTCGGCCCATCTAGTCTGCCCAATTTCTAAATACTTTCATTAGTCCCTGGCCTTATGTTATATCTAGGATAGCCTTATGTCTATCCCACGCATGCTTAAACTCCTTTACTGTGTTAACCTCTACCACTTCAGCTGGAAGGCTATTCCATGCATCCACTACCCTCTCAGTAAAGTAATACTTCATGATATTATTTTTAAACCTTTGCCCCTCTAATTTAAGACTGTCCTCTTGTTGTGGTAGTTTTTCTTCTATTAAATATAGTCTCCTCCTTTACTGTGTTGATTCCCTTTATGTATTTAAATGTTCCTATCATATCCCTGTGTCTCGTCTTTCCTCCAAGCTATACATGTTAAGATCCTTTAACCTCTCCTGGTTAAAGTGATTTTTTTTGACAGTTTTAGATACAACTCAGTAACTAATTCAAAGTGTTTTTTTGTTGTGGTTTATTTTTTTTATTTTAAATCCGGTGCGTTTGTGCATTGTCATTTTAAACTATTCCTGGTTGTTTGTATCAGTTCTGCCATTAGCATTGGATTGCATTCATGTCCTCATGACCCCAGTTCTGGTATAAACCATGATCTTTTTCAGGTTCTGTTGTGGAGTTGGGCTTAAAAGAGGAAAATTGACTGCACTATGTTGCTGTTCCTTCTTTGCCAGCAGTTTTGTTGCAGCCCAGTAGTATTCCTCTGAAATCTTTTCCAAGAGGACTTATAAATATATAAGATGTGGAAAGATAGTGATAGCGATAGCATTCACAGACTTTCTTGTAATGTGCCACTGCCATAATTGCCTACCCTGCTCTATGCCATGGAACTTGTTTTAGTCAATGTTCTCTTAAACCAAATTCTAGTGATTTTTTGTTTTTTTTTAATTTTTTTTAAATCTTATCTGAGCATAATAAACGTACAAAATAATAAGCATCATACTGACTGAAGAAGAGCATCAAAATGCATGGTTCCGCTTGCTCAAGGAATTAAGTAAGTGTTTGTGCTCGTTCCCCATGCACTATGGAAAAAAAATGAAAAGGATTTGTAGAGGTAGTCAAGATGTGGGTGTAGGGCACAATTGTACAAAAGGGGCAACATGCCATGGTAGCAGTATGCAAATTAAGGGCAAAAGAGTTTTAGAATGCTACTGATTGAGGTACACTATGTTCTTAAGAAGTAGGGAACTATTGCTCTTCTCGACTTCCGCCTTGTTGGACCTCCATTTTCCGCATCCATTAAGTTGGGTTTAGTGCCTAGAGCTGGATATTTTTTTTTTTAAAACAAATAAAATATCATATTTGTTGTGATTTGATGAAGAGTAAGACAGGTGTAAAAAGTACAAGTACATCATCATAAACCAACAAGACTATGTATGCAGATACAAATTTCTTTGCAGGACATTTTAAAAAAAAAAACAACAATTTTTTTGTTTATTATTTTAACATCATGAACACTAAATAAACTAAACAAAAACATGGTCTCACACACTTCATTTCAAAATTAGGATAAATATGTAGAAAATATTTTATTTATTGCCATTGTAGGTCGGATTAAGTTGAGGGTATTAAAAAGGAGTGGCCCATCTATAGGATCCCATTTCATTGTTTGACAGGTGGTTTATCCGCTATTACTCTAGTTAAGATACCAGTCTGTGAATTCAATAATGGATTTTATTTTGGACTGGAGTGATCTATCTAAAGAAGTAATGTAATTGATATATGTTGCCATTTTCACACGTTTGTAATGAAGCTTCAGTATTTGTGAAGCAGTGACACACCATGTCCACATATGCTATTATCTGGCCTCACGTTAGACATTTGCCACAACGACATTGGGTCATTCAAATGGTCCAAATTGTCGTCTTTGTAGCTGGAGCAGGCCTCCTCCAACAAGTTCCTAAAGGAGTTGTGCGTATTCTCTATTGAGGAGTAAATGGGCTAGAATAGATGAAAAACAATGTATATGGGGATATAGTCCGAAACAAGTATGCTGTAGATTTCAGCATGTATTAGTTTTGGAATTAGTTCAGGGGAGAAATCTATCCTAGATTGGGTATTGTAGGCTCTGGATGTGTGTGTGTGAGAGAGTGTGATTGCTGACCTCAATGTTCTAAATGTGCCAGACATCTGTGAGGCAAAGCTTCCTCTGAAAGTGGAGAAGGCCCTGGTCTTCCTGGGAGAGGGTTGATGGAGCAGAGCCAGATTTATTCACCCATCTATCACCACATTAAATTCTCCAATTATCAAATTTGAACCTCTAAAAGAAAGTAAGAGATTAAAGGAACGCTATAGTGTTAAGAATAGAAAGCATTGACTCAATGCTTTGCTAAGGGGTTTTTCAACTTGTGAGTATGTCCATTGTTGTTTCACAAAGTCAAACTCTTTAAAACTGTAGGAAATGCTTCTAGTGGCTGCCTGGCAGATGGCCAGCGCTGCGGAATTTGTTGGTGCTTTATATATAATAATACTAGAGGCAGTCTTAACTCTGCAATGAAAACACTGCAGTTTCTCTAAAATTATCTAAAAATGTTAGCGGTAACTATCTAGTGCTAAAAGGAACCCGTTCTTTCCTAATCTTACCAGCAAATACAACTCTCCAGGGTTCATTTATGCTACTTTTTGTGCATGCTACATTCAAACAAAATGTTACATTTTTAAAAAATTATTTAGGTCTTCCTTTTATTTTTTTTTCAAGCTGTTCCTAGGCTTTAAACCAAAAAGGGTCTAGTGTCCCTCAGTCAATATTGGTTTTTGAAGCATGCATATATCCTGAACACTTCTGCCACTGAATTATGGGTGCTATAGTGTGCACCCTTGAATGGCTACCATTAATGGCTGTGGGGAATGCATAGTCATAGTAGTGAGTGTTTAGCTTTCTGTTCACTACAGCCCCTCTGATGAAATCGAAATGCCCAACAATCAATACGAGCAATAATGGTGGAAATATAAGATCTTCCCTCCCCCTCTCCAATTGTAAAATATTTTTTTAAAAAGGGGCACACAGCAGTGGGAGGGTGTAATAGAAAAGTAAATGAACTGTTATGAACTGTGAATTTTGCGCTTTTTGTTTTTATTTTTTTGTTTAAATCTCAGCTGGGAAAACCCTTCAGATCTTCAACATTGAGATGAAGAGCAAAATGAAAGCTCACACTATGTCAGAGGAAGTCATTTTCTGGAAGTGGATATCTGTGAATACTGTGGCCCTTGTGACAGAGACAGCAGTATACCATTGGAGCATGGAGGGTGACTCCCAACCTCAAAAAATGTTTGATCGTCATGCCAGTCTGGCCGGATGCCAGGTCATCAATTACAGAACAGATGAGCAGCAGAAATGGCTTCTTCTGATTGGCATTTCTGCTCAGGTAATAAAAAAATAGAATTAAAAAAATCCTTTTATTTATTTATTTATTTTTTAAAATTCCGCAGAGAGAATTAAACGTGCTCTGAGTTAAATGAACAGTCTTTAAATCAACTGTAGAGAAATGCCTTTATGTTCACTGGCCACTCTATGTTTATTATAAAGGGGATATTAAAATACTGGATATCTCCTCCTTGTAGTGGCGAGTCTGTGATAAATTTGGCCTCTGTTTTGACATAAACTGGTATTTTGGCTTCATAGCGTATTATCATCATATTTAAGGCACCAAAGTATTGTGCAGAGCTGTACGTTGAGTGGACATGCAAGTCCATTAACAAGGATATGTTTGACTAACATATACAGTTGGTTGTGAAGGGATTGATGCATTATCCGTAATGTCTTCTGTAAGGTTCAGACAATGCTTTTGGTTTAGAACTTAGTGTCTTGTAAGTACATAATGAAACCCTGGTTACTTATCTACTTTTGTTAGTGTGACCATATTGGTGTATTGGTTGCCATGTTGGTAGAGATTAGTAGCTCGTAGGGATTAGTCATATTCTCTTGGGTCCTTGATGTGTTGTGGGATGTCATCCCATTTTGTAGCATTTTGTATCAGTGTCCCTCCATCTTCTCCATAATTACCCCATATGATTAGTATACAGTCAACTAAATGATCAGTCTTGGCAGGCTCCATGCAGTAATTAATACTGTTCTGTTTACAAAGATATGCTTTGCATTAATTATTTATGTTCGGAATTTAAGTTTGCTTGGGATGTTTTTTTTTGTTTTTGTTATTTTTAATGGTTTTCTTTAATGATTTTTGTTTATTTTGTATTTTTTGGCAAACTACTCAATTTGAAAGAATTTTGAAAGCCTTTTCTCTTCTTCATCATCGTCATTTCTTGTTAACACATGTATTCTGGACATGCATTCCGTACCATAGGGCTGTCCATTTGTTGTTTGACAGCAGTTCCATGTTAACTGATTGAGATGTGGTTCTTACTGGCTTATTGTTCTGTATGCCATATTACCCATACTTCCATCTTGTTTCCTGCATACTCTTTTTTTTTTCAACTAATCTTTTTCAATTATATATATTTACATACACACATGACAAAATTATAAATGTAGGACTTTTGTTTTTGCTCCCATTTCTCATGAACTGAACTCAAAGATCGAAGACTTTTTCTATGTACACAAAAGGCCTATTTCTCTCAATGGCACATTTTAGAGTGGCCTTTTATTTTGGCCAGCCTAAGGCACACCTGTGCAATAATCATGCTGTCTAATCAGCATCTTGATATGCCTGTGAGGTGGATGGATTATCTCGGCAAAGGAGAAGTGCTCACTAAGACAGATTTAGACAGATTTGTGAACAATATTTGAGAGAAATAGGCCTTTTGTGTACATAGAAAGTCTTAGATCTTTGAGTTCAGCTCATGAAAAAGGGGGCAAAAACATAGTGTTGCGTTTATTATTTTGTTCAGTGTGTGTATGTATATATATAATTTTTTACATTTTGTTTTAAATATATATTTACTTCTTTAATCCTTGTAGCAAAACCGTGTTGTGGGAGCAATGCAGTTATATTCTGTGGACAGGAAGGTCTCCCAGCCTATAGAAGGCCATGCTGCAGCATTTGCTGAATTCAAGATTGAAAGAAACTCAAAACCTTCAACTCTGTTCTGCTTTGCTGTGCGTGGGCAGGCTGGTGGCAAGGTAAGTCCTGGTTCTCTACTAAAGATACTAGAAAGTATAGTCTGTGTATGCAGGACACTTGACAGCAGTTCTAGTGCTGCGCAGATTATCAAGGATACTCTTATAAATAACCAGGTATAGTTCTTATAGTACATTGGAGAATGAGGAAGTAAACCATTAAAGGGACACTATAGTCACCAGAACAACTACAGTTTATTGAATTTGTTCTGGTGAGTAGAATCATGACCTTCAGGCTTTTTGCTGTAAACACGGTCTTTTCAAAGAAAATGCAGTGTTTACATTACAGCCTAGTGATAACTTCACTGGCCACTCCTCAGATAGCTGTTAGAGATCCTTCCTGGGTCGTGGCTGCTTAAATGCATCCAAACATTCAGTGTTAGACACTGAACTTTCCTCATAGAGATTCATTGATTCAATTCATCTCTATGAGGAAATGCTGATTGGCCAGGGCTGTGTTTGAATCATGCTGGCTCTGCCTCTGATTTGCCTCGTTGTCAGTCTCAGCCAGTCCTATGGGGAAGCACTGTGATTGGATCAGGCTACCACTTCTGATGTCAGCAGACTGCTTGTTTTTTTTTTTGGCAAACAGCATGCAGAGCTACAGCTTCATGTTTGAATACAGTAAGATTTTACCATATTTATGGAGGCATGAGGGGCCCAGGGGGGCTAGATGGTGGTGTTAACACTATAGGGTCAGGAATACATGTTTCTGTTCCTGACCCTATAGTGATCCTTTAAATGATTTAATGCACCAACTGTAAAATCTTGACCTGTTTAAGGTAAATAATAAGGTTTAAAATATTTAACCTCTGTGATGGTTTTGTTTATATATTTTTTTGTTTTCTGAGATATTTAATTTCTCTGTCATCCTTTCTGATATTCTGTAGAACATGTGATAGAGCTTGACTAATATGTCAGTAGTTGGCCACTAATATATGAACACATGCTTTAGCCTGGCTGCTGTAATAACATTCTAAATCTTAAAATTTTACAGTGCGTTGCATAGTATTTTTACCATTTGATTTATACATGGTATCTAACTTAGAAGATTATTTTTTTTTCTTCCCTCTAATGCAAATATGTATTATTAAAAACACAAAACAAACTGGAACATTGGCGGCATAAAGTAATTACCCTATGAAACCCTTACGTTCTTGGACAACAAACTGCTTTCTGGAATAACATATAAAGTTGAACGGAGTCCATCTGTGTGCAATGAAAATGCCACTATGTCAAAATAATACATTACAATATTATTTATAAACTGCCAACATATTTCACAGTGCTGGATACATCTAGATGTACCTGAGTGGCCCCAGTGTTTTAAAGACAACTTATCTAAACAAACTGCATCACGGTCACCAAGTTGCTATTGTAGGAAGTGAACTTTGAACATCCCAATGGTACCGTTAAAGGGATACTCTAAGTATCATAACGTCTAAAGTCTATTGAACAGGTTGAATTTATGAGCAGTTTTTCTCTACTTATATTTTAGAGTAGTTTGACCAAAACGTGGGCATTCATATCTTTTACAGACTAGCACTCACTACCTACTTTAAATTTGGGCAATGATAAGCCTGGGACTGGTTAGCCCTGTGCTCCCAACCTATGATTGCCATCCTACGTTGGATGGACTAATGCTGAAGTTCACTTTCAAATTCATCCAGCTCCAGGAGAACCTTGTTTTTGTCAAACTGCTCCATACCAAACCATGTGGACTAGCCAAAGACTTTTTGCGTCATGACCATGACATTAAGATTTAGTCATTACTATTCTTTGAATGCTCCCTTAAATCTGTTGTTTGACAAAACAAACAAACCTGAAAGGGTTACTCCAAGTACCATGACGATTTTAGTGATTTGAAGTGTTCATGGTGCCTGGAGTCTATATCTGCATGTTGAAACATTTTGCTTTGCACACACAGTTTAAAGCATGCTTTCCCAGCCAATTACACTGGGATTGGTGCTGATTAGCTGGCAATGCCCAGCACCGATTACAATCGCTTGTGAACAATGCCAGTGAGCATGATGGCTCAGCCATCATGTTCGTAATAAATTTAAAATGCTGTATGCAGCACTGACATTCAGCTCACCTGTCCGTCTCGGGCCACTGAAAAAGCCCAAGCTGACATAGGGGAGCACCATGTATCTACTGACACCTGGCTCTCCTGCTGTGAACAGGGATTTAACCCTGCTCATACCACATTGCAGCAATAGGCATTTAAATGCCTACTTAAAATGTTTGAGCACAGCATACAGCTCACCTGTCACTCTGGGATCACTAAAACGGCCCCAGCTGACAAAGGGGTGCCCCATGTATCAATTGATACCGAACAGACTCTGGTGTGAGTGAGAATTTAACACTACTAACACTAAAATGTAAGGATGTGTCAATATGTCCTAATGGTGTTATAGCCCAGTGTAGTTAGGACATTTTGACAATTCCTAACTTTGTTAAAGTGATTAAACACATATGTAAGATACTGTATGAGTGAGGTCTCACATACTGAAGCAGTAGGTGATGTAACCTCCACATGCACACATTTTCCTAACTCTACAGAATTTGTTAGAGAAAGTTGGAAGATTAAAAACAGATCTCAGATATAAGTTCTGATATGTACTTAATGTATCTCCAGCTGCATATCATTGAGGTCGGACAGCCTGCGAATGGGAACCAGCCTTTTACCAAGAAAGCCGTCGATGTTTTCTTTCCTCCTGAAGCTCAGACTGACTTCCCGGTGGCAATGCAGGTAATAAATACTGTACAGTAAGGGGGTTCAGCAGCTCAGTTTGATTCCTGTTTGCTCTCTTAGTAAATTTTGTTATTATTATATCAATACGTTTCTGTGTAGGTGATATGTATATAAATTGATTTGACATTTAGAGATTAACAAATATTATGATCATTCCAAAAAAAACAATTAGAAAGTTTTTCCTCTTCATGAGTAGGTGTACCGTGTGATATTTCTGTTTATGATTGGAAATACCTTTTTTTTCAATTGCCCAAATGTATCAACTGTTTATCCAAATGTGGGCTGTTCAGAAACTTAAATTGATCACAGATGGCTACCCACTTACTAAATCCAGACTGCTGCAAATAACTCTAAGAACATTACACAAACTTCAGTCCTTTCAGGAACTGAAATACTGGCTTATGCCGAGTTTACAAACTTCTGTACGTCAACGGAGCTCTCTTTAACCATCTGGTTTAATTTTTTCACGCAAAGAGGCAAAACAGCCCTAGACTAGCTGTGAGAAATAGTATTTAACCACTACGTAGAAACTAATTATTTGAGTTCTCCATGCATTTCTCAGTAAAGAGCACAGTATCTTACCACGTCAGCGTCCCTGTTTTTTTTTTTTTTTAAGGAGATGTTTTTGTTTAAATCTTCCACTGCTCACCTGATAATGGATTTTAAATTGAAATAATCAATTTTATTTTATTTGCAGTCCATTGTGAAATTCTTTCTAAATGTGTATAGTCACTGTTGCAATATGTCGGTGTAGCCTTTTTTTTTCTTCTTCTTCGTCTTCAGAAGAGATATCTGCAGGGCTTTCTTTCTCTTTTAACATTACAGGAAATAATATGCAACCTAACCTGTCTATTTGCAGTTCACCAGTTACCCGAGTAAATAAGAAATAGCTCTGAACAAAGTTGGCATTTGGAGACACAAGTGGCAATACATATAAATAAATGTTAGTCAAAGCAATTCAATTCAATGAAAATTAAGAAGAATCCATGTGTAAATTTATTAGAGTGGAGATCACTTCATTTTACTACAGAAAATTATTCTGTATGTTGGAAAGAGACCTGTTTATTTTATTTTTTTTATAATCTCTTGGGGTAGGTAAGCCATGAAAGTGGGCCATTTACCACATACTTTTCTGGACAACTTGCTCTAATGAGAGTTGTCATGACTGATGAATTGTATCATTTTTGGCTGAATTTTGAAAGGCCTGAGAAGAGGAAGATATAGTAATTTTCACGAATTCACCATGCTATACACCTGGTGTGCATTAAATGACTGTCTTTTATATGTTTAAACAGATAATGTGGAGGTAAATGTAGACAACATTTTAATTTAAAGATTAAAAGCTCTTTAATTTAAAGCTCTTTCTCTAGCACTTGTGGTTCTTCATTTTCATTGTGTTTTTTTTTTTTTTTTCCTCCTACAGATTGGTACTAAGCATGGAGTTATATATCTGATCACAAAATATGGCTATATACACATGTATGATCTGGAATCCGGTGCCTGTATCTATATGAACCGCATCAGTGCTGATACCATCTTTGTCACTGCTCCTTATGAGCCGACCTCTGGTATTATTGGTGTCAACAAGAAAGGGCAGGTAGGTATTCATTTTCCATTTAGGATGTCCATTACAATTATATGTGCTTACCTTATGTACACATACAAGCATTATTTAAAAATAACAGAACATTCAGGATTTCACTGTATATAGTGACTACTTTATTATATGCAGTTAAGTCAATGCACCTTTCCTCTACAACTTAAAAGACTAACCTATAGTCCATCTGATGTGAAACTAATTTGATATGCTGAAAGCTTTCAAAGACTACTGGCACCATCCCATGGTAAGTATTGAGACCATTATTTGTACGGTTTAATTACTTACCTGGGTCCCCGACAGGTGTCCGCAGCAGCCTCTGTCTGTCTACTCCTATAGGAGATCTGGGTATTTCTACTTGGCTGTAGTGGTTGGGATGTTCCTTCAATACATTTTTCTAGAATTTTAAAGAATTGACCAAAAATTAAAATCCAGGAAAACTTTCATTAACCACAAACTCCTACACGTTAGTGCTTTCTGCCTTTTTACTCGCATGCAAACGATAATCATAACTAGTGATGTCCCGAACGGTTCGCCGCGGACTCATCATTGAGTAAACTTTGACCCTGTACCTCACAGTCAGCAGTCACATTCCAACCAATCAGCCGCAGACCCTCCCTCCCAGACCCTCCCACCTCCTGGACAGCATCTATTTTACATTCATTGTGAAGCTGCATTCTTAGTGAGCTGTCCAGGAGGTGGGAGGGTCTGCTGCTCATTGTCTGGAATGTGTCTGCTGACTGTGAGGTACAGGGTCAAAGTTTACTCAATGATGAGTCCACGGCGAACCGTTCGTGAACCTTTCGGCGAACCGTTCGGGACATCACTAATCATAACACATCAGCTACTTTTAGAAGGTTATCCCGAAGTGCCTATACTCACACTCATGTAACACACTACATTATGCTCAAGATGTGTCACATTTAAAAATCTGTTTCTACATTCACATTTTCAGAAACATAGACCCAATAAATTCTATAGTTTTACTCTTTCCTCTTATTTTAAAATATTGAAAAGGAGTATATTAAAGTAAATTCTATAGCAAATACTACTGTAGTGATTTATTTTTTATTTTTATATAACTTGATACAGGATATGTACACTCAATTACAGATATATATGTTTTTCTCGATTCTAAATCCATTTATTGTACCACTCCCCTGTTAGGTGCTCTCAGTCTGTGTTGAGGAAGACAACATTGTGAATTATGCCACCAATGTGCTGCAAAATCCAGACCTGGGTCTTCGCATGGCCATCCGTAGCAATCTTGCAGGGGCCGAGGAGCTGTTTGCAAGGAAGTTCAACACAATGTTCGCCCAAGGAAATTACTCAGAGGCAGCAAAGGTGGCAGCATCTGCTCCAAAGGTATCCTTCTCTTTTCAGTATAGTACACATCCCGTGATGCTTATTATACATTTTCCCTGAAATTATTATCTATGTTTCCAGGGAATCCTGCGCACAGCAGACACAATCAGGAAGTTCCAGACTGTTCCTGCTCAGCCTGGGCAAGCATCACCTCTGCTCCAGTATTTTGGTATACTATTGGATCAAGGGCAGCTAAACAAGCTGGAGTCACTAGAGCTTTGTAGGCCTGTTTTGCAGCAAGGGCGCAAGCAGCTCTTGGAAAAGTGGCTGAAGGAAGATAAGGTAAGCTACATGCAATTTAATTACCTATTCGTTCAATTGATCATGCTATTAGACCACCCAAGTTATTTCAAACAAACAGTGGGCTTAACAAATTATCCAAAGATAAAGTGGAAATAATGTGTACCCAAAGCAAGTGAAGCTTGTTAATGCTTATCAAGTTGCAAGCCATCTTACTTGTTGTTAGCTGTGACAGCTCCTATGTTTCTCCATGCTGCATTATGTTCCCTTTATTTGCCATGCCCTCTATGTGGACCAGCTTAGCCATCACTTCCTTATTTTCCAAACAGATACATGTTTTGATTGTGATGCATATGTAGGGAATAATGGATTAATTTATCACCGTTCATTAATAATAATCCAGATTTGCAGTTTTGAGTCTTAAACTGTTACTATTATTATTACTGGAATTTATAAAGCACCAACACATTCTGCAGTGCTGTTTGATTGTGAATTTTTACCGAGTGTTCAACTAAAGCAAATAGTTCGCATACACGTCTTCCTACTTTGAATGTTACTGTATGATACAAAAAAAGCTATATTTCTTTCCTAACACAAGATGGCAGTGCCAGATCATGTACTGGAGACAATTCGTGAAATAATGTTCAGCTTACAAGATTCAGTTAGTTGAAACTTTCAAGTGAAACAAGGTCACCCAAGGGTTTATTCCTTACGTTTTAAATACATTAATTTTTTTTAATTTTTTTAAATTCTTTATTTTTGTTGTGGAAAATTTCCACAAGTTTTGGTGATAACATACATTCTTCCAGTTCAGAAAGATAAAAGACAAACATAACAGTAATTAGTGACATACAAGAGTTAATTGTGACTTAACAGATGGGTCCCCTGTTGGTTAAGTTTGGATCTCCTGACATGTCCCTGTGAGGTGCTCTCCTTTCTCTCTCTTGAGTCGTACGTGCCGTCTCTATCCCGCTTTTCACTTGATGCCTCCCTTAGTCTACGATATGGCACATGTGCACAGCGTCCAAACCTTTTAAATACATTCTTAAATCTGAACTGAAATTTTATTTAAACTTTCTTATTATAATCAAAGTTATTTTTAGCCATAAATATCAAAACAAGACAACATTGATTATAAGATGCTCATCTTATTTTTTTTCATTCTTTATTTTCGTACTGCATTGCATAATAAACATGTATTCATAGACAGTTCACAATAATATGAGCAACAGTAAACAATGTAAGTGGGTGCTCATCTAGAATTGTATTGAAATAAAACACCTTTATCTCCCCTTCTTGATATTTTTTAATGTTCTGTACTGTGCAGATAGTATAGAGACATTCTAGTCCCTGTCATTAATTCTCTAGCTCTCATTTCCAGAAAATTAGAACAGTAAGTGCAGACAAGTGGATACGTCTGTATCAGCTGGTTCCTGTGAATTAAAAACAAAAGTGTAAATGTACTAAATATTGTCAAAGAGTAGAGTAAATCTTGAAAGATAAATTGTTTAAATATTGTGTTGACTGTGGCCATATTTTGAAGGATACATTTATGGCAATCTTTATAGGGATTTTCATTGTGAATTTTAGTGTGTGACCAATACTCTATTTTTCGGTTCAGCTGGAGTGTTCCGAGGAGCTTGGAGACCTGGTGAAGGCTGTTGATCCGACTCTTGCTCTAAGTGTTTACCTACGTGCTAGTGTGCCAAATAAAGTGATCCAGTGCTTTGCAGAGACGGGACAGTTCCAAAAAATAGTGTTGTATGCCAAAAAAGTAAGACCTCCCCCAATATATGTCGTGTTATACTTTACAATGATTCATGTTAGGGATCGACCGATATTGTTTTTTCAGAGCCGATACCGATAATCTGTGAACTTTCAGACCGGTAGACGATAACTTACCGATATTCTGTACATTTACGATTTTGAAAAAATAAACAATTTCTAAAGGTAAATGCACAAAATATACATGCCACATGTAGTGGATGCAGTGTGTTTAGACAGGGGAGATGTGTTTGTTTGTGTAGTGGATGCAGTGTGTGTTTGTGTAGTGTGTGTATATAATGAATGCATGGTGTGTTGTGTAGTGGGTGCAGTGAGTGTTTGTGTAGTGTGTGTGTGTGTATATATAGTAAATGCAGAGTGTTTGTGTGTGCGTTTGTGTAGTGTGTGTATAGAATGCAGTGTGTGTGTATAGAATGCAGTGTGTGTGTGTAAAATGCAGTGTGTGTGTGTGTGTAGAATGCAGTGTGTGTGTGTGTGTGTGTGTGTAGAATGCAGAATGCAGTGTCTGTGTGTGTGTAGAATGCAGTGTCTGTGTGTGTGTAGAATGCAGTGTGTGTGTGTGTGTGTGTATAATGTAGTGTGCATTATATACACACACACACTCTGCATTATATACACAGTGAGTGTGTGTATTGTGTGTATATAATGCAGAGTGTGTGTATATAATGCAGTGTGTGTGTGTATAATGCAGAGTGTGTTTATAATTTAGTGTGTGTGTAGTGTGCATTATACACACACACACTGCATTATATACACAGTGTTTGTGTAGTGTGTGTGTATATATAGTGTAGTGTGTGTGTATAATGCAGTGTGTGTGTAAAATGCAGTGTGTGCATATAATGCAGTGTGTGTGTGTGTAGTGTGCATTATATACACACACTGCATTATATACAGTGTTTGTGTAGTGTGTGTATATATAATGCAGTGTGTGTGGTGTGTGTGTATATAATGTAGTGTGCATTATATACACAGTGTTTGTGTAGTGTGTGTATATAATGCAGTGTGTAGTGTGCATTATATACACACACTGCATTATATACAGTGTGTGTGTGTGTGTGTGTGTGTGTGTGTGTGTATATAATGCAGAGTGTGTTTATAATGTAGTGTGTGTGTAGTGTGCATTATATACAGTGTTTGTGTAGTGTGTGTGTGTATATAATGCAGTGTGTGTGTGTATGTAGTGTAGTGTGTGTGTGTGTGGATATAGTGTAGTGTGTGTGTAGTGTGCATTATATACACACACTCTGCATTATATACACAGTGTTTGTGTAGTGTGTGTAGTGTGTGTGTGTGTATGTAGTGTAGTGTGTGTAGTGTGCATTATATACACACACACACACTCTGCATTATATACACAGTGTTTGTGTAGTGTGTGTGTGTGTATATAATGCAGTGTGTGTGTGTTTCTGAAGGGATGGAATTTGTGTAAAATGGGGGGAGGAGGGAATTATTTATTTTAATATTTGTTTTATTTATTTTTGTCCCCCCTCCCTGCTTGTTGCCTGGCCAGGGAGGGGGATATGGCATTTAGCCTTTAGCTCCCCTGTGTAAATCTCGCAGTCTGCGTGCCGTGCGGAGCATTGCCATGGTAACACGTGGCAACGCTCTGACGGCCGCAAGACTCGCCAGATGTACACAGGGAGCTGAAGGTAGCTGCTGGGTATGTAACAGCTTGCTGCCGGCCCTCCAGGACCGCCGGGCTTGTAATGGGCCCGGCAGTCCTGGTATGTATTATTGGCAATATCGTTATCTCTCTTGGCCGATACCGATATTGCCGAAAATACTGAATATCAGCCGATAATATCGGTAAAACATATAATCGGTTGATCCCTAATTCATATTGTACTTGTCTAGTTAAAAGAAAAGTTCATATATTTCATTATTGTGGATAACCATGTTACCATGTTAGGTTGGCTACACTCCAGACTGGATCTTCCTCCTTCGGAGTGTCATGCGGATAAGTCCAGAGCAAGGCCTCCAGTTCTCCCAAATGCTAGTGCAAGATGAGGAACCTTTAGCAAACATCAACCAGGTAAGGAGTTCATTTTAACTGGGGAAAAGTGTGTGTTTTTTTTATATAGCAACTTTAATCTTTCCTATTTACCCAAAAGACAAGAAAAGAGATAAAAGAAAAATGTAAACTTGTTGGATGTTGTATTAGGTTTATCGCCCTATCAATAACACAAATGCCCAAAAATCGGTAATGCGTACTTATGTAATTATTTGTAGGCTATTTAGTCTAGTCCCTAGTTTGAAAGCAAGAGATTTCTGTACTAGACAAGGCTAGTCTTTGGCTGCCTCAAAGTATATGAGGAATGTTTTTTTTGAGCCTAGAGGGAGAGATTGATTATGTATACTGTTGAGCTGAGGTATTCATTTGTTGTTTTTTTTATTTTAATGCAAGTGGACAGTGTTTCACACATATTTGCAACATTAGACATTGAACAGAGATTCAGCACCTCTGGGTCTAATATGATTGATTCTGATTAGTTACTAACACCTCAGTTGTTCTCTCCCTCTAACATCTTCCTTTTTAGCTGAACCCCTTTAACTGTATCACTGATTATTTGGATGTTTGGGTTATTGAAAGCAGGGCGATATACCTACTACAACATTTAACTAGCTTTACCTTTTTTACCCCATCGAAATACTGAGAACGCCTTGTTTTTGTTTTTGGTAAAGCAATTTTTTCTTATTTAGGGTTCTGTTTTGCTACAACCAAAAAAAAAGTTTTACACGATTTACTGTTCAGGGTGTTCTGTAAAGATTTACCAAGCAGCACCTATTGTGTTCAGCAAATGTAAATTAAATGTAACTTAACTAAGTGCAGGATTAGAATGAATTTGGGCTATTTAATGAGTAAGAATGCAGGAAAGATGATATCCAGCTGGATCATTTAATGGTTCTTCATTCTATTTTTACATTAAATGGACCAATTATACGCCTATCAATAATTAGGCTGTAATTACATCTCTCTGGTGGAGAATACAGTATAAACCAATTATGGGTCAAGAGGTCTACACAATGTAATTAAGAATCCATGTATTACATGTAGCTAATCACATCTGCATTTATTTATTGATGTTCTTGTTCTGCAATGTCAGTATCATGTATAATATGATGTTTGGCCTTCAGTGACAGTGTTGCTACAGTAAACATATTAAAAATGCTTGTGATGTTCATAGACTGTCCTGGAAAACAACTAGAACAAGGTAAATAAATCAGTTTTGGTTGCATTTATTAATTGGATAACTATTTTTTTTTTTTTTAGCAGCGTTTCTAACTGCAGCCACAGTCTGTATATCTAAGTACAAGTTCTCAATCTCCTTTATTTAATCAAAAACTGCATTTGATTGTGCTTCGTGGTTCACTGCAAGCTTTGGTTTCAAGCAGTTCTAACATGCAATAAAACTATATATGGTATTGTACGACAATTAGTGGCTTATCATTGTAGTTGTTATGGTACCATCATCCTTTTTGATGACATCTCCCCATTTTTATTCACTCATTTATTGGATAAATGTTTTTTTTAGTTTTTTTTTTATAAAAGAACCTAAAACACACATGCACTTTGCAGCTGCTCTGGTAATATGGAAGATTCACTTATGTATTTTGCATCCTAAACCTTCCAGCCATGAATGGCAGTGAAATGGTAGGGAGGGCTAGCCTTGCACTCCCAGCCTTTTTTTACCATCCGAGGAGATTTTAAATGGACAATGTAGAAATAAGGTTTCCGTATTATCTGGGCCAATGCAGAAGGACAAACTTTGGCTGGGGTTGTGTTTTTTTTTTAAATTTATTTATTTATTTTTAATATTCTACAGAGAACAAGTATCATTTAGTTTGCAACTTGTCTTCAGCATCACATATACTACTCTGTCCTTAGATTGTGGATGTCTTTATGGAGAACAGTCTGATCCAGCAGTGCACATCATTCCTGCTTGATGCATTGAAGAATAACAGACCAACTGAGGGTCATTTGCAGACTCGCCTGCTTGAGATGAACCTTATCCATGCTCCACAGGTATGCCCTTGGGCCTCCTGCTTATTTTAGCAATGGAACCTGACTTATTAAGTTAATATTCTAGGTACGATTATGCATTAAAAATGATTCACATTTTGCATTAAAAATTTTGGCAAATAATAATAAAATTACCTTTTAAAAGTGTTCATTTGATGCACTGCTTAGTGTTCTCCTACACCAGGATGAGAAGCTTGAATCAAGGTTATTTCATTTTGGTCTGTGTGGACTGATCATATCCCCCTAATAATAATGTTTGCTCCAGCAGAGAATTGTGTAATAAAAAGTTTAGCCCAAAAGAGCCATTCCAGTTACCACGTAGACGGACTTCAACTTCTCAATAAACTGATAAAAGCCATACTGCTACAACTACTATTCATTTATACACTTCCCAGTTTACTGTGTTTTGCTATGACCTGCGAGTATAGGAGGGTGAGATTGACCCTGACCACCTGGAACAAATCTTTCCGGGCTCTCTCATTTATAGGTGTGGTGTGCTCATTTTATTTATTTTTAAACTGTTGTGCTGGATTAAGAAAATAGGTTGGGTGTTTTTAATTGTGTACTATAGTGTACTAATGTTTGTACCAAAATGCATTTTATATAGATCTGTTGCTGAACTGAACTTTGTGTTTAATTTTACACATGTAAAACTACACTGGTGGGGGAAAAAAGCTCCAGTAGTTTTGTCTGGGTCTTTTCCCTGACTGATCCAATTCATTATATACCCTTGCGATGGAGTATGGGGATGAGAGAGAAACAGATTGGCAATGTTGTCTCCTATGGACTACATAGACTGTGCACTTCTTAACTATGACTAAAGCTTCAGGGGAATATAACCGAATGGTGGAGAGATAAACCGTGCATAGGGGTAGATATATATATGGTAGGCGATATTCATATAAATAAAATGAGACCACACAATAACCACAGACAACGTTTAATTACTTTTCAATGGGCTTGGCTGTGGTGTTTATTTAAACCATAACTTTGTAACCATAGCCATATAACATATGGTTCACCAACTTTTAAAACTTTTAACTTTATTAACCACCATATTGCCAGTCAGTCATAACTAACATGACCGCCTTTTATTTAAAACCATTTACCACCATATCCCTCCTTAGAACTTGACCCTGAGAATGACTTTTGCCCCACCGCCTCAACGGAGGTAGACACTACCCCAGCGGAGACCCCCCCCCCATCCAAGAATCTTCCATCATGTTTTGTAACTCCAACTTAAGTATATTAACTCCAATATATATATATTAACTTGCCAAATGAACTTGAACCTTACTATATAGGTATATGTAAAACACCCAGCTTAATGCTCAATTTTTTCAACACCATTACTCATTAAACAGTGCCGTAAATGAAGAGATTTAACAAAATCTACACTACTCCCTATTTGCCCTATTTTATAGCTGTAGTTGTCCATCTTGCTCTCTGATCAAGCTAAAACGGTTACAGGAAATAATTCCTTAATGATCCAATAACTCAAACCATGCAATAAACAGACTTCACTAAACCTACAATGTTACCACTATGTGAATGATTAAAAAACTGCTGTAGCTGGCCATGTAGAACAATCCAACCTAATGACCATAATTCCAAAATCTCAGATAAACTATATTTGTACATTGCCCTGATTGAAGTTCTGGTTACGTCCATATATGCTGGCTCTTGCTCTTTGCATGGCCTGCCAGACCCCTTGAGTGACCTAGAATCCAAACATTTTTTTATGGTACCTGAAAATAAAAGAATGACAAGAGGAAGAGACAGCATTAAATTAAATCAAATCATCACACACGTATAACTGAAAACTAGTCTGATTACATTTCCCAATCTTCTTGATTGCATTTGCACCAATCCAATATAGCCGCTTTGCCAAAGCCCAAACCTGAAAGAATCGCATGTTATTTATCTTCACAACCAAGTATTCAAAGCGTAACTGTAATACCCGCTAGATTTTACATGTTTTAATGGACAATCTTAATTATAAACAAAAAAGGGGGCCAGTATCAGAAGGTGCAACAGCAAAATAAACTTGTAAAGTTTCGACTGAACAAAACAAATCCCTCACTGATGCAGTACAAATGAATCCATTTACTCTTCCTATCAGAAATGTATTTATTTATATATTTTTTGCAAACTAATACCTGCTTGAAAATTTATAGGGAAAGTAATTAAAATCCTAAAACTACAATTCTGACACTCTAAATCTACTAAACAAAACTAACCAATTCTCAATTTAGCAAAGAAAGCTAAAGAAAGGCTACTAAAAATAAAAATACTTCAAAAAGAAAAATTAGAACATTCACAAAAAGTAATATGCTAACATATAAGGTATAGGACGCTTCACATCCTTTAACTACAAAATAATCCATCAACAACTGTTTAATTATAAACTCTTTCACCGTTGTCTTTTACCAAACCACATAAAATATGCTCCCTGTGCTATAGTAGATATGCTACCTGCACTAAGTGCCTGAAGATAACTTCTTTAGATAGCATTATTTGAACATTAGTCAGGTATGAAAGCATCTTTGATATTACCACCAACTCTGTTAGCAGGGGTCAATTGATGGAAAATTACCACTTATCGCAAGGTGACACCTAAACATACCCAGTGTTCTATTTGAGTTCTTTCATAAGAATTTGATCTGCTATTAAGATTAACTTAAGTATTCTAGCAATTCCCCTCTGCATTTTCTGCAATTATATGGTACCAAACATCTGAATGTGCTAAACGAAAAATAGAATTCGCTATCCTGTTCTTAACTAGGAATATGCACTGCCTTCTGCCAACCATTAAGTTACCAGTATAAGAATACTAATTTTCTAACAAATTAATCACAAAGAAACTTTTTGAATGCAATAAACTGGAAACTTGTACCACTGACTCATTGTCACAGTTGAATAATATCCTTTTATTTTGGAGCTATAATCAAAGATTAAAACTGCTGACACCATTGGCAGCAATTCCAACAGGGTCAAATTTTGTAGGTACTTCTTACAGCACCCATTCAAAAATCCATCTTTTGTTCCAAATATGCGAAAATCCAACTGCCCATGTTACCTCCAGAAATAACTGTTTCATTAACTTGAACATCTGAATGCTACAAGGAGCAGCCATTGAAAACTTGCAAAATCTTTTTAAAACCTTTATATCATTTTAATTCATGCAAGCACGCGAACAAAATTTTATCTTTGCAGATGTCAAAAACACCCTTCTACCTTAACTCTTCTTACAGGCGAACTCAGACCTGTAAATGCTTACAAACCTAACTATGATTGAATTGTTTTAACAATCAGCGCTTGCCATTGTATTCATCTACATACATACACATAAATACACACACTCACCACCCCTCCCCCGAGCTATATTCAATAATCTTCATGAAAAAACTAACATAGTGGTGTTTGTTTTTATTTTTTTATAACACACATACACATATTCGTTCCCACTATGCTTGAAATGTTGGCATTAGCAGCTGGTCTGACTGCCAAACTCTGAGGCAAGATCTGATTCAACCAACCTCCTTATAATCCATCTAAAGGACAATTGAACCCCAAGGTATTGTTTTCAACTCTAATTGAAGGTAACCATACTAAACCTCTCCATTAATATGCTTCAAGCTTATCTTCTAAATCAGTGGCTCCCAAACAAGACCCCATGACACAGTAACAGTTCAGGTCTCGTCTGCATCCCCATTGAAATAAATCCCAGTCTGTCGGTGGGCCGCAAGGACCGGCCAGGAACCACTGCTCTATATGTTAAAGAAATTGACTACGTAAGCTCAACTTCTTTAGTACCAGAAAACTTTGAAATGTCAAACAATGAAAATAATGTAACTCTACCTTGATCTTCTTTAACTTTGAATATCAATATGGCATAGCTTTTTTTATTATTATTATTATTAAACTGCTATCTGCTATTAACTGCTGTGTGTCAGGTTGCAGATGCAATTCTTGGAAACCAAATGTTCACTCACTATGACCGGGCCCACATTGCCCAGCTGTGTGAGAAAGCGGGACTTCTGCAGAGGGCGCTCGAGCATTACACTGATCCGTATGATATCAAGCGAGCAGTGGTGCACACACACCTTTTGAACCCCGAGGTAAGCTTCACCTGGCTCATGCTCACTTTCACTTTTTACATGGGGAACCATTACTTTGCAGAATTGGCAAAAGAAGATCAGTACATTTGTTGAAAAAATGTGGATGTACAAATATTGTAGTTAAACACGTGATCCCACAACCTAGAATTGCTTTTTTTTCTTTCCCCAGTGGCTGGTAAATTTCTTTGGTTCCCTATCTGTGGAGGATTCAGTGGAGTGCTTACGTGCCATGTTATCTGCAAACATACGGCAGAATCTTCAACTCTGTGTTCAGGTGGCATCCAAGTACCATGAGCAGCTGGGCACACAATCCTTGGTTGAACTGTTTGAATCTTTCAAGAGTTATGAAGGTATGTGTTTTAATTAAGTGGTTACAATTAACATAATTCCTCCTCTAATGTACAAATATGTGGTTGGGTCTAACATTGTATTCTGTAAGTGGGCATTATACCCACGTGTTTATATTCTGGTCAGTTTAAAAAAAACACAACATATTTTTCCAGATGTGCGATTATTCAACTTTTTGCTATTGTACTTTTTATTTATTATTTTATCAAAGAAAACTTGCTAGTGAAGTGGTTATGAAAGTAATTTAGAAGCTGCTGTGTATTTTCAGTATATATTGGATCAGCGTAATAACTTGGATAGTGTAATAACTTTATTCACAAATTGATTTGTCTTGATTGAAAACATAATATAGGATGCACTTTTTTTTTTTTTTTTTAAATATTTTAAACCTGTTATTTTAAGCAACTTGGCTAATAATCACAAATGTTGTGTTCTTTCCAGGGCTCTTTTATTTCCTCGGGTCCATTGTCAATTTCAGTCAAGACCCTGATGTACACTTTAAGTATATTCAGGCAGCCTGCAAAACAGGGCAGATAAAGGAGGTGGAACGGATCTGCCGGGAAAGCAACTGCTACAATCCGGAGCGGGTCAAGAATTTTCTCAAGGCAGGGTCCTTTTGTTTATTTTTGTTTTAAATACAATATATCTAAAAGCTACAGGCAGTAAGAGAAAAGGGAATAGATATATAAACTATGTTGCTGTTTCGAACAGTTCGTTTTATTTTGTGACTGTGGTTGTATAATTTGTTTAGAGGTTCTTGCTAGGCTTCATGGACATGAATAAAATGGAAGTCAGTTACATTTTTCTTTTTAGGCTTTATGAACATAAAGGAGTGTAATTACAATTTGCTCTATTTATCTCAACTTCTGTCTTCTTAACATTAGGAGGCCAAGCTTACAGATCAGCTGCCATTGATTATTGTCTGCGACCGTTTCGACTTTGTACATGACCTGGTTCTGTATCTTTACCGCAATAACCTCCAGAAATACATTGAAATTTATGTGCAAAAGGTTAGTCGGAGATTGTGTGTTGTGTGATTAATCCCACCCTTAATCTGCTTCACCACAGAAATTATATGTCTACAAGTGATACAGGTTAAAGTGTGTGTAGTTTGTTCTTGTTTGTTGTTTTTTGTTGTTTTTTTGGAAATGTAACTGATGGAAAGTCTACATTGAAAATAAAAACTTTATTTATAACTGGACTTTTAAAGGAGAATCTTTGGGGGAAAACTCATGTAAAATGCATTATATAGATAATTAAAAATGCATAAATAAGCAAATTGCTATAATATCCTGTAGTTGCATAGCTGATAGAGACTGTACAGCTACAAGCATGATACTATGTAAAAATGGAGTGTGGACAGTGAAAACTGTCAGAGAAAGGAAGATTTTTTTTAAATTTTATTTATACACATACACATAACTTCCACTTTCCCCCAAACCAGGATGAGGTGCCACCATTCAGGGATTTCTTATTCTGGACCTTATCCAGTCCAACAAGAGTTTATTGGGTAATTGTTTATCCCCCAGATGCAGGTCTTCTCCTCACATAGGTTGTAACCATTTAAATATTTGAATTTGAGCAGAAAGCGTTTAATGTATTTGACAAAATATGCCATTTACAGTCCCTAGAAAACCTTTGGACAGTACCATTAAATTGGGTAATAGTAACCCCCTGGATGTTGGGCTAAGGTAACATCCCCAGGACGTACTTGAAAACCAGAGTAATCTGAATGTACCTTTCCTGGTTAAATACTTTGTTGTTATTTACACATCGCATGATATTTAAATTGCTATATTTTGAGCAGTAAATACACATATAATTATTACACTGAAATACTCTACCAAATGTGCTATAAGGCTAAATAGGAGTCCAATTAATTAAGAAATTGGACTGTCATCTTCCAGTCCAAAGTGTATTAAGATCTGCCAGTTCTTTGATAAGCTCCTAGCCTCAAAATTGTACATGTAGTTATTTCACATTTTCATACTAATCATATGTTTTCCTTTTATCCTATTCCAAAACACTAAAGGTCCATATATCTAAAATACAAACATATAGCAAATAGTTTGTGTGGCGTTATATAAATAAACTGTTACAATTTGCTGTGTCGGTGTGAATGCTTTGCCGTCCATGACAGAAATGTTTGTCTGCTTGTAGGTTAACCCCAGCCGTATTCCTGCCGTGGTGGGAGGACTCCTCGATGTTGACTGCTCGGAGGATGTTATTAAGAACCTGATCATGGTTGTACATGGTCAGTTCTCCACAGATGAGCTGGTTGCTGAAGTGGAGAAACGGAACAGGTGGGGAGCAAGAATATATAAAACAATACTTGATGTGCACCTGCTGGTTTCCCATATTAAAGGAACACTATAGTAACAGGAATACAAACATGTATTCCTGTTGTTAGAGCTGTGAAAACATTATTTGGATGTCTGGCCCGCTACACTCCTTGGCTGATATCATCAAACTTAACAATCTCAGCCAATGCAGGCTGTGGAGACGCTAAACGTTATTGCTGCACACTGTCTGTATTTGCTTCATAAAACTACATTCATGAAAACATATGAATAAAGCTGTACGTAAGACTAATAAAGGAAGCAGTGTGGTGGCTTCTATTCGTATATTACATAGGTTAATAATATTAGTTGTGGAACTAAATAGCTTTTACACCCCTGTGCAGGCCCTCATGTAATATCGGCAAGATTCCCTTGATGTTTAGAGCTGTATGTAGCATATGAACAGAGCTAGCCCTGTTTTGTGTAAGTAATGAGAGGGCCAGTATGGGCAGAGGAATGTCTGCAGCTTTTTAGTTTCAACAAGGAGATTCAGATGTGTAATTTTTTTTATTTTTTAGCAGGTTTGTTTTTGTTTTCCTCTTTCTTATACTTTATTTCCACTGATAAACTCCCAAATGTGTGGCCTCTCGCTTCCTTTCTTTGGCAGGCAAGGTTACCTGGCATTCTGCATTTTTACAAAAGAATAATACTAATACTAGGGGGCTGACCTTTCTTCCACTCCCCCTCCATCCCCCTCTCCCTGTTCCCACCGCCTTCATTTAATTTTCCTTTGTTTTATATTTATATTTATTATTTTTTTATCCTCAACCTGTCTTCCTTACAACAATGTGTATACTCTTGTCAGGGCTAAAAAGTCCTACACTGTTAAACAGCCATACAAATTATTTACCATTGCAAGTCTGCAGGATCCAAGGATTCTACTCCCCAATGGCTTGTGGACAAATGGAAATTTTGAGCTCTGCTGTTGCTTGAAACAAAGTTACTCCTTTTGTCTTTCTAGATATTTACAATCAATGAACAGTATAAAAATAGGTATAAGAAAATATATTATCAGAAAAAGGGCAGCTACATATAACTTCTAGCGACTTAAAGGACCACTCTAGCCACCCAGACCACTTCCGCTTAATGAAGTGGTCTGGGTGCCAGGTCCTTCTAGGGTTAACCCATTTTTTCATAAACATAGCAGTTTCAGAGAAACTGCTATGTTTATGAATGGGTTAAGCCTTCCCCCTATTCCTCTAGTGGCTGTCTCATTGACAGCCACTAGAGGCGCTTGCGTGCTTCTCACTGTGATTTTCACAGTGAGAGCACGCCAGCATCCATAGGAAAGCATTGTGAATGCTTTCCTATGTGACTGGCTGAATGCGCGCGCAGCTCTTGCCGCGCGTGCGCATTCAGCCGACGGGGAGGAGAGAAGGAGGATCGGAGGAGGAGAGCTCCCCGCCCAGCGCTGGAAAAAGGTAAGTTTTTACCCCTTTCCCCTTCCAGAGCCGGGCGGGAGGGGGTCCCTGAGGGTGGGGGCACCCTCAGGGCACTATAGTGCCAGGAAAACGAGTATGTTTTCCTGGCACTATAGTGGTCCTTTAAATGAGTAATAGACTCAGAATAAACAAAGTGGTATGTGCGCTCCTAATTATGAGACAATGAAAATAAGATAAATACAGTAAATATAAATGTTACTATCAATGCCTTTGTCTTATTCTTTCCCCACTTGGCTTGCCTAATCACTATACCTTCCTGATAAATATTGTTTAAACTTAAGTAAAATAATTTAATTACAGAAAGTTAAGGGGTATTTTTTTCCCAACTATTTTTCGTGCAAGAGAGAAAAGTCACTTTTACAAATATCCTGTTAAGTATGGGTTGAAATGTGGATGTTGTGTTTGTCATGGTAAAACTGAGAATTCCTGTTTATGTGAGAATAAGGTTTACCAATTTCTCAAGTTATGTTTTTCATTTGGTTTAAACTTGTTCTGAAATTCATGTGATGGTTCTTTTCCATATGGTCAGGTTGAAGTTGCTCTTACCTTGGTTGGAATCCAGAATACATGAGGGTTGTGAGGAGCCTGCTACACACAATGCTTTGGCTAAAATCTACATTGATAGCAACAATAACCCTGAACGTTTCTTGCGGGAGAACCCATTCTATGATAGCTGTGTGGTGGGCAAGTACTGCGAAAAAAGGGATCCTCATCTAGCTTGTGTGGCTTACGAAAGGGGGCAATGTGATTTGGAACTCATTAAGGTTGGTGTATTGGATTTGCAATGGAATGTTATGTTTGTTTGCGTATGTATGCAGTTATATTGATTTGTTTTCTTCAATTTGTTTGTCTACAGGTGTGCAATGAGAACTCCTTATTCAAGAGTGAAGCCCGTTACCTGGTACGTAGGAAAGATGCTGAACTCTGGGCCAGTGTGCTTGAGGAAAACAATCCTTTTAGAAGACAACTGATTGACCAGGTGAGCTGATAAGAGTGCAACAAACATAAAATATCCTTGCAATAGTGTCTTATGTGAATGGTTCTTTGTTTTGTATGCCTACAGCATATAAACATTTTACATGTTGGGTGCTTGGTTAAGAAAAGTTAAACTTAGATGATCCAAACCATTTTTGCAGTGCCTACTTTTGTTCATTCTGACCGTATCCAATCAAATGCTTCTCTAAAGCGAAGTATTGTGGAAATCATATATATATAATACCCTTTTCACATCACTAGACTAATACGGCTACAATCTCTACTTGAACAATATAAATCTGTATTATCTCAAGCCCATGTGATGCAAGTGATCAAGGGCTTCATTAGTTGCACCAGGTGTGCTTGAAATAGCGAATGCATATGCTACATCTTTCACTTTTCTTTACCCTTTTTATAAATTTATGCAATGGTTTCAAATTCTTGTGATTGACCACTGTCAGTATTAGTAATTCTTGCTGGGTTTCAGACATTGTTCTAATCGTGGTGATAAGATTATTCTTTTTAGGTTCATATTTGCAACTGCTAAAAACTGTTTAGATAATAATTCCCCTTTTTTTTCCTGCAAGTAACTGTTCCTACATTTTAAATATTGCCACTTCCTCACCTCAAGGGAATACCTGATACATTGGGAAACTAGCTATTTCAAGTCATTTAATAGGATTTACTTAATTATGCATAGAAAAGTGGTGCTTGCTTTTGTAATTAAACATGTGTTAAAAGCTTACTTTAAAGGACACTATAGTGTCATGTATGCAAACAGGCCCCCTTTAAAGAGTCATGAAACAGTGATTTTACTCATCTTTTTACGCCTCTGTGGCTGAGACGATCAATTTTGGTTATCTAAGCCAATTCACTGCTTTTCCATAGGAAAGCATTTAGAGTCTTTTGGGCACACACGACAAATTGCCGCACTGCACCAATCAGCATCTCACCATAGAGATGCATTAAATCAATGCAACTCTATGGAGAATGTTCAGTGTCTCCATGCAGAGTGTGGGGACGCTGAATGCCAGTGCTGCGGTTTCCAGGCACCATTGTAAACACGGTCTCTAAAAAGGCAGCATTTACATTGAAAAGACTGCAGGGACAGGTCATAGACACAAGAACTACTACATTATTATTATTATTATTGCAATTTATAAAGCGCACACAGATTCCGCAGCGCTGTACAATTAGTTGAGAAACGTACAATATACACAAACAAATACAAGAGGTAAGAGAGCCCTGCCCGTAAGCTGATATCTAGCCATTGGAGCTCTTTTATACAAAGTGCTTAGCTAGATGGCCCTTGAGCTTACAATCTAAAGGATACCAGGGGGATTTGAGACAAAAGGTAGCAGGGGAAGTTTGGAGGTGATGGCTGAAAGAGTTAACAGAGAAGCAGCTATTGGTAAGATGTTAGGGGAATGAACAGGTAATTGGGTGAGAATCTCGAACAGCTGGAGGAGCATGCTATATATTTAAGGGGAGCCTGGGTGGGTGGGAAGTGGGGAGAAAAAATGCAGTCTTCACTGAGTTGATTGTGAAGTGAGGCCTGAGGAATAGAGATAGAACAATTAATGAAGGTATTTACGACAGGGGAGGGGAAAAGGAGAGTGTGAGAGGGGGAGGGGGGGGGCAGAGTAGGCATGTGTTATAGACTATTGAAAAGTTTAGCAATCAAATTCTATCACCCAAAATATTAATAACTGTCTACATGAAATATTGGTCACAAACATTAAATGACAGTGGTACACACTGCATGCACATAACATTACAGTGGCAAACTACAGGTATCAATTGTAACAACTCTATAGTAACACATGAGAATTTTGTAGCAATCCAGTAATACGGGAGGTGGAGTATCTTCCAAGCTTCAGTCAGTACCTGAGAGTGATGGGTGTTTCTGCAGGATGGTAAATGCAGTCTTCACTGAGTTGATTGTGAAGTGAGGCCTGAGAGTGATGGGTGTTTCTGCAGGATGGTAAATGCAGTCTTCACTGAGTTGATTGTGAAGTGAGGCCTGAGAGTGATGGGTGTTTCTGCAGGATGGTAAATGCAGTCTTCACTGAGTTGATTGTGAAGTGAGGCCTGAGAGTGATGGGTGTTTCTGCAGGATGGTAAATGCAGTCTTCACTGAGTTGATTGTGAAGTGAGGCCTGAGAGTGATGGGTGTTTCTGCAGGATGGTAAATGCAGTCTTCACTGAGTTGATTGTGAAGTGAGGCCTGAGAGTGATGGGTGTTTCTGCAGGATGGTAAATGCAGTCTTCACTGAGTTGATTGTGAAGTGAGGCCTGAGAGTAATGGGTGTTTCTGCAGGATGGTAAATACATCAAGCTGTAGTTGTTTTTGTGACTATAGTGTCCCTTTAAGGGTGTTAAATTCAGTTGTGTGAGATGCTCACTAATTCCGTGTGTGATTTATTTGGTGATCTCAATGTTGTCTATATTTCTTAATTTGAGGTGTTATTTTGTTTTCAGCTGCAGGCTGTCAGCGGTCAGGATTAGCGAGCATTTTCGTTCAGTAGGTTCGATTGACAGGGTTGCCATTTAATGATGTAGTAGTTCCAATGTTGATGTTTGGAGATTTTTCAAAACTGATCACTTAAAGGTACACCATACTCACCAGCATCACTACAACTTAATGTAATTGTTTTGGTGAGTATAGTCAATCCCGGCAGGCTTTTTAACCCCTTAACGCCGTTACTGCGTTCTATGCCATCCCGCATTAAATGGGCTTTCAAGCCGTTGCGGCGGCATAGAATGCCGTAACGGCTTTCAGCCCCAGGAGGTAAGGTTTACTTACCTCTGCCGCTATCCTCTTCTGGAGGGCTGCCTGACAGCCCAGGCAGCCCTCCCCCGGCAAATATGGCCCCCTATAGCTGGCTGTGGATCTGCTAGCAGGGGGGACTGTCTGGGCTGTCAGACAGCCCCCCCTGCTGGTGGGAAGTATTAAAAATAAAAAAATAAAGATGTTAAAATAAACTAAATGCATATATATATCAATCATATATATGTAACGTCATACGTAATGTATTTTAATATTAATTTTAAGTACATATACTAGTATTAAAATTCACTTTGAATGAGGCGGAGTCTGACTGCTGGAGTGGACGGTCGCATGCTGCCCGAGCTCCGGGCCCAAGACCAGCAAATCAACAGAATACCAAGCCAAAACTATTGACAAATTGTTCCACTCACCTAATGGGCACTAGTAAGCAGTCCGGGGACACGGTGCATGCGGTAAACCCGCCGACGGACAGCTACTCCACGATGAGGCAACTGCGCGGCCTACGGGAGGCCGAGGCGGGGGGAGACGGCCGCTCTCCTTGCACTCCGGTTGACCGTGGAGCCGATATTTGCTCCCACCCTCCCCCCTATGGACCGGCGGGGGTCATCCCGGTCCCCCAGAAGGTACAGGCATGCTCACCCCGTCCTAGCCTGAGGGGCCCTGCAGAATCGGATTCCCACACGGAAGGAGCCAAGATGGCCGCCGGACCGAAACCCATCTCACCTCAAACCTCCAAGATGCGGGCCACCCAGAGGGACGGTATCGCCAGGGCCTTTGATGAATTCTGGGCCAAATACCAAGAACTAACTCTACAGAGCGAGGCACAGCGTGCTACCGAAGAACCGACCCACAGCAATAGATGGATTGACATGAATCTGGGCCAGGCAGACCCTAAGCAAGCCACGAGGAAACTGGAGGGAAAGTGGAAACACCACAACAGGTGGAGTGCCAACCAGGGCCTGACCCGGTCTCACCCACCAGTCCGACCGCAGCCTACCTCCAAGCGCACTTCTTACAGCACCTCAAGAAATACACTTAAGGCACAGAGGCCTCTCTCCACACATAGATCACGAGACCATCAGGCCGGTCATCATCACCATCCACCCAAACACCCACCGAGAGACCCGGGGAAAATGCCACGATGGAACAAACATAAGCAGCAGTCTAAACCAGGATGGGGCCAAACTACAGCATGGAAAGCAGGGAGGAGAAGGCGGGAAACCCGACGCAAGCCCCTGCGGGTCAGCAACAGCCCACCAGCGGTGAGTCACCTAACTGAAAGGAGACAAACCCAAGGACTATCCACCCAAACCCCCCCTCCCCGCGCTGTGATCACAACCCCACCTGGGCAAAGTCACCATGGCAGAGACCACCAGACTCCCAGGCACAGCCCAGCCCAGTACAACTACCTAAAAGTGCTGTGGCGCGATGGGGGACCTCCTCATACTCACCAAACTGCCTTAACAGAGGATACCAATCACCATAAAACCCACTATCCCCACCAGGGACAACAAGCCCACGACATGCTCATCACAAGACAGGGGACTTATGCAACCATACCCTCTGAATACACCTCGGCTGGACACTGGAAGAGCACTGACTGGGAGGACCCCCACCGCCTACTGCTCCGGGCACTAACCCGACGGCTGATGGGGATCAGTTAGACCACACAGGCTGGACATTACGTTACTTAGTACAGATGCAGCACACTAAGCTAACACAATATGTGCACTCAATTTTTTTTTTTTTCTATACCTGAGCTTATATTATATGTGATTGTATTATAATTATATATAATTATTAGCACTAGTGGAATCTTAACAATCTAGAAATCGCTAAACAAATGTCACTATACCTTTCACTCATGCATAATATGCATTAGAAATGCCTTAATCTATAGTGCTAAATGTATGATCCTTCGCTATGTCTATACTCGTATCTTACCTTTTCTGTTGAGCAGCATAGAAGAACTCCTAGATAAGCAACATTACTATATAAAAATGTGCAGTACTCTTTCATGCCTAACTAATGTACCTATATGTTAGCAAACTGCTTACCCTAGCTGTTGTGGCATTGTAAGCCTGATGTGATATATCCGTGCACAAATAAAATAAATAAATAAATAAATAAAAATAGTGAGCCATGTAGAGATGGCTCCATACCTTCGAAACATAAGCATGACAAGCAACGTTTTATTATAGAGTTTTACCCCTCATGCCTAGCCAGCCTCTCTGAGCTACCAAAACAAGTTCTATAGCTTAGACATGAGGAACAAGCCTTTATCCCATAGTTATCTACTTGAAGCTTGTCGTATTTTCACCCAGTATAGCACATTTAAAATTACATTAACATAATGACTCTGCATAGGCAGACACCGCGATACATGTGTTTAGCTCAGTCATATAATTCCATGTCTTAGCCTGTTTTCCTTTTATTGTGACTACTGGGTAATGCTTCCTAGTTAGCCAAGAAAAGTTACCTTTTGTTTTTTATGAAGCCCAGGGGAAAATCCTGTTTACCTATCTGTTAAAAAATGTGTGCAGTACCTTTCTATTCCACAAGCCTGTTTTAACAATGTCACCCACTCTACTTGTTATTGCTATTGTGGCACAACAAGCGACTGTATTAACTGAATGCACCACAAAAATAAAGAATTTAAAAAAAAAAAAAAAAATTCACTTTGAATGCCGTTACATATATATGATATATTTATTATATATATAATACATCTATATATATATTTAATATTTATATATACACGTATAATTACAATAATAAATAAAATATTTTAAAAAATAAATTATATATACATATGTAATTTCATTCTAACTGTATTTTGTTATATATATATATATATATATATATATATATGTGTGTGTGTGTAACAAAATACACTTAGATTGACATTCTATATCTATCTATATATAAAATACAAATAACTGCAAATATATATATATATATATATATATATATATATATAATTACCTAAATAACTATATAAGTGTACACGTAGTCTTTAAATACATATATGTGTATATTTAATATTTTAACATAATTGTGATTTTATTAGTTAAAATTTGATTGACATGCCCGAGAATTTGAATTGCAAGCACAATATTTAACCCTGTAAATTGGGAGACTTCCCTGAACACAAATATTAGTGTTTCAAAATGGTAACTTGTATTCCAACAATTATATTTTTAGTAAAAGTGACGGTTTTTGCATTTTTCACACATGAACGGCACTTTTACTGACAATATTATTGTTGTAATACAAGTTACCATTTTAAAACACTAATATTTGTGTTCAGCAAAGTCTCCTGAGTAAAACAGTACCCCCATGTACAGGTTTTATGGTGTTTTGGAAAGTTAGAGAGTCAAATATAAGGCTTGCATTTCATTTTTGTCACATTCAAATTTGCCAGATTGGTTATGTTGCCTTTTGAGAACATATGGTAGCCCAGGAATAAGAATTACCCCCATGATGACATACCATTTGCAAAAGTAAATAACCCAAGGTATTACAAATGTCCAGTCATTTTTAGTAGCCACTTAGTTACAAACACTGGCCAAATATTCGGTTTTTTGCTTTTTTCACACAAAAACAAATATGAACGCTAACTTTGGCCAGTGTTTGTGACTAAGTGGCTACTACAAAAGACTGGACATACCCCACCTGCAATACCTTGGGTAGTCTACTTTTGCCATCATGGGGGTAAATCTCATTCCTGGGCTATCACATGGTCTCAAAGGTAACATTACTAATCTGGCAAAGTTCAATGTGAAAAAACTGAAAAATGGAATGTGCTATATTTGACCCTTTAACTTTTTCCAAAACACCGTAAAAACTGTTAATGGGGGGTACTGTTGTACTTGTGAGACTTTGCTGAATCCAAATATGTGCTTTTTTTGCAGTAAAAGCTAACAGTATTATGACATTTACAGCTAAAATGTGAGGTGGAACTATAAATGTTTTTAAAAATTTAAACTTTCTCATTTTTTTTTTTTAAATTTTATTCATAATAAGTTATGTTTCATATATAAATATTTGATATGAAATGAAAGCCCTGTTTCTCCTGAACAAAATTATATATAATAAGTGTGGGTGCATATAATATGAAAGAGGTGAATTACGGTTGAACAGACATATAGCGCAAATTCTAGTTTTTGTTTACATTTTGTTTTGATCAGAACATGTACTATTGCCTCCGTCCTGAAGGGGTTAATATAAGCACTGCCTTTTCAGAGGCGGGGGTGTCAAAAAGTCATCCTCAGGGTTATGTTATGAGCACGAACTTGGTTGTAAATGGTATGAAAGGCAGTCAGGTCATCTTGGACTGACTTGCAATTTGGTTATGTTTAATAAATACAGTGTACAACATTTTAAGTTATGTTATTTGGTTAATCATTTTAAAGTGTATGATAAGCTCAATACAATTTAACAATGTGTGTCTGTTTTGATTGTGTGGGCTCTATATTAATATATATATTTTCTCCTCCTTCTCCTATCCCACCAGCGTTGTCTAGTTTTATTGTTTGAAGGCTTGAAAGCAAGGTTTCTAGTGACCTATCTAAGCCCTCTTTGTCAGAGAGCTGGGGTTCTCACTTTCTTGATTTCATTCCCACACCATGATGTCAGCATAGCCTGCTGATATTAATGGAATTTGATAAATCTAGCGCTTTCAAGATCTCTCACAGCCACAGAAATCTGTGCAGGGGAGTAAGAGAGGAGGTTCTTCACTGACTGGCCTGGATCCCCCATGGCACCAGTAGATATATTTCATGTCCACTCAGCATATAACAAGTAAAACCTCTTTAGAAAGACTAATCTCATAGGCAGGGCCTCCGTACACTTCACACAGAGCAACTATCTGGGCACAGATACTAGCATGCCCGTAAAATTTAAAGCTCAATCTAGCTCTCCCTAGATTGAAGGCTCCCAAATAAAGGATTTGTGAGCAGTTTGTAAATGTGCACAGCGTTCATGGCTTCTCATAGAAAAGCATTGCATTCAATGATTCTAAATGAGAAACATTTGAATGGACCGATGTTATCTGACTTGATTACATCAAATGGGGTGGAGCTGACTGAGGGAACTGCTGTTGGTGATGGAATAGAGGTAAGTATATTCATTTAGAAAATGTTATGTGAAAGGGTTTCAAGACACACAAGCTATGCAATTGATTTAATAAAAAAAAAGTGTATTAATTAGTGTTCCTTTAAATAATAATTGTTTACTAATGAAATATTAATTGTGATGGAATAGGTCCAAAAATATGCTTCTTTGATGCAGACAAGTCTGTAGGTTTCAAAGAATTATGGTTTCTTCTTGCACAGTTTAGATTTTTTTTTTTTTTCTTTAACTTAACTTTCTGTAAACTCACGCAGGAGTTTACTTGACAGAAAATTAACAGAGAACGAAATAGAAGATATATTTATATAAAAACACTATCCTGAGAGAAGTTTGAAAATGAAACTTTTTTTAGGAGGCTATGTTAGTCATAACTAGGTGTGTGGTAAGGACTGGCTAGGGCTGAAGAAATAAATTGATTTAATGCCTAAATAGCAGAGAATTGAGCACAGAGGCTGAAGGGACATAACTTGTGCAACAAACCTACCTAAGTTAAGCTAAAATTGTTTAGAGGCAAGTGTCCTTTTAGGATTTAGTGATAAGAAGCAGTTGTCCTTTCTTGGATTTTAGTTTTTGTTTTTTTCTTTAAAAGTAAGCTCATATGAACCTCACAACGTGTTTTATATAATATAACTTTCACAATGTGTCCACTTCTTTTTAACATATGAAATCTATTGGTCATGATAGAAATTGATTGATAAATGCCATTGCTTGTCTCTTTTCCAAAGGTGGTGCAGACAGCCCTTTCAGAAACTCAGGACCCTGAAGAAGTGTCTGTGACTGTAAAAGCCTTCATGACTGCGGACCTCCCTAATGAGCTCATAGAGCTCCTGGAGAAGATTGTGCTGGACAACTCTGTATTCAGTGAACACAGGTTAGAATGAAATTTAAAGGAGCGTTCGTGAAACTGGGTAATTGTGAGAGGTGCCTTATTTTGTTGGGATTTTTATTTTATTTATTTTTTAACAGAAATTTACAGAATCTACTGATTCTGACAGCCATTAAAGCTGACCGCACACGAGTTATGGAATATATCAACCGCTTGGATAACTACGATGCCCCTGATATTGCCAACATTGCTATTAGCAACCAGCTCTTTGAAGAGGCTTTTGCCATCTTTAGGAAGTTTGACGTAAACACGTCTGCCATTCAGGTATGTTAAACAGCACTTATGAATATACTGTGTGCCCACATTGTCCTATGCTTATCATGCACATCTACTTTTTCGATCTATCACAATTTGCAGGTTCTAATTGAACATATTGGGAATTTGGATCGTGCCTATGAGTTTGCTGAGAGGTGCAATGAGCCTGCTGTATGGAGCCAGTTGGGTCGAGCCCAGCTGCAGAAGGACTTGGTGAAGGAAGCCATAGACTCTTATATTAAAGCTGATGACCCATCCTCTTACATGGAAGTGGTACAGGCAGCAAGTAAAAATAGTGAGTGCCTTTGTTTATTCACTCTCCATTAACCACATCTCTTTTTGCCTGTGGGTTTTGGCATAATCACTGCTGTGGTATTATATTCCATCTAAATTTTTATTTTGTATTTTTAAGCATATTACTTTATTTGGTTTTCAGATAACTGGGAAGACCTGGTAAAATTCTTACAGATGGCAAGGAAGAAAGCCAGAGAATCGTATGTGGAAACTGAACTTATTTTTGCCTTTGCCAAAACTAACCGCCTGTCTGAGTTGGAAGAATTTGTCAGTGGCCCTAACAATGCACACATCCAGCAGGTACTATACTGACGCTTATTTCTGAAACAATATTCATGCAGAAAAGTTCAGTTTTGACTTGACCCTTTCTCTCTATTGCGTTTTTTTTCTTGTTTTGTTTTATTACACCTGCAGGTGGGAGATCGCTGTTATGAAGAGAGCATGTATGATGCAGCCAAATTGCTATACAATAACGTATCCAATTTTGCACGCTTGGCATCAACATTGGTACATCTTGGAGAGTATCAGGCTGCTGTGGATAGTGCACGAAAGGCTAATAGCACACGCACCTGGAAAGAGGTAAAGTATTCTATAAATATTTGTTTTATTTAATAGTTAATAGCATGTACTCAATCCCATTTCTAGGTGTTGTACAGACATACACCCTGGCAAAGTAAAGTTTACATAGTCTTTCTCAGTTATTCACTTTTGCCATTCTTCCATCTCTCTAGGTGTGCTTTGCTTGCGTGGATGGCACAGAGTTTCGCTTGGCCCAGATTTGTGGCCTGCACATTGTTATACACGCAGATGAGTTAGAGGAACTGATTAGTTATTATCAGGTGAGTGTTTTGGTAATGATATTTTGGGGGTTCAGGATTCTTGATAGCTATTCTCCACACTTGTCATCAAATTCTGCATTACTGAATTTTACTAAAAGGAAACCGTATATTCAATTTTTTTATGTACAGAGTGCAGTGTCAGAAAATTACTTTCATTAGACTCGAGAGCCAATATTATAACAACATAATTAAAGCAAATGTATTAAATGTAATCGTTATAGTTTTGAATTGTAACCATGTTTCTTAATAGGTAGCCATTTGTTTCTACTTTTGATCCATTCTTACCATTTTCTCTCTTCAAAGGATCGAGGTTATTTTGAGGAACTTATTGCTCTGCTGGAAGCAGCTCTGGGGTTAGAACGTGCACACATGGGAATGTTCACAGAGCTCGCTATTCTCTACTCTAAGTTCAAACCTCAAAAAATGCGTGAGCACCTAGAACTCTTCTGGTCTCGCGTGAACATTCCCAAGGTAAGTAAATCAATCCTGTTATTATCTGGTCAGTGACGATCCCTCTTACCAGATTGTAGGCACTGCAATTCTTCTGGAGATAAATAATTGTCTATTTGGGAAATGCATAATTAAGTAAATTGTAGTCCCCTTATATGTTTCTTTGTCTGGAGGCAAATGCACTGAGATATTTAACTTAAATAAGTGTTAAAGGGACATGCATAACTTTGAGACAACTATTTCAAAAAACCTTACAGATAATGGAACAATTTCCTTGCTCTGCAGGCTAAATAAAAGCAGGTAAATATGTTTTTTTTTTCCATTTCCATTTTTACCTGCTTCCCCTATTCTATTCTTTCCACATTAACTCCAGGAGGGTCACTAATCTAACCAATCGGTGTCCTATCCCTAGGAATGCTGGAAAATAGCACAGGGCGTGCCTGACGGAGTTACAAATGTGCTTTTGAAAGATCATTAACCTTGCAACATCCTGACCAGGGAGAAGAGACTGGTCAATAGGATTCATGGAGAGCAGGCTCCAGTGTCTGGTTTCCTTCTCACCACTGTGTTAGTCAGTGCAGGGAGATTGAGGAGCTTGCTGTTGCCACACCATGATGTTTTATTTCTGTCATAAGTGGTCTTGTCTGGACTGGATTAGTGGGTGGGTAAGAGGCATAGGCTAAAGAAACTCCCCTAGCTGTAAGGTGTGCCTAATAATGCAATCTGACAGAGTTTCAAGTGCGTTTTAAAAGTTTTTCTTTATTTTGGTTTGTAGATTTTTCTGTAAAAGTGTTTGTTTGCTGCTTTAAAATGTCAAGTAATGCATGTCCCTTTAAGCAATTAAGACATTTCAATTTAACCCCTTAAGGACACATGACATGTGTGACATGTCATGATTCCCTTTTATTCCAGAAGTTTGGTCCTTAAGGGGTTAAAATAGTCAAACCAAAAGCTGTTCATATAAATGTAATATCTTCATCCTATGTAACCTCATTTTATATGGTGAGATTTACTGTTGAGAATTTCAACTTGCTTTTCCCTAAGGTAAGGTAAACTATGATAGGAGGGTGTCCCCACAATACTTTCTAATTCAGTTTGTATACTAAAACTCTTTGTATTTTATATTGTCATTCATTAAAAACATGTAAAAGTTCTGCAATATGCCTGTTCTGTCAGATGAGTTCTAACCTCTGCTTAGTCAGGTTCCAATGCTTAAATTCAGCAGGTAACAGAAGTTTTATTTGCACCGTAGTTTGCAAGTCTGAATAAGGGTTATAAAGTAGATGGATTAGTGGGTTTTCAAAATTACTTTTTGATTCAGGAGGGGGAGTTTGTCTAGTAATCCTTTCCTGTGACTCTTTCTAAGACATGCCTAATTTTAGCTTCCAGGTTCACCTCCCCACCCTACCCCTACTTGTAAATTTTACACATTCTTTTTTTCCTTTACTGACTTGCTTAAACCGTAAAATAAGATTTCCAACATGGTTCTGCTATTTCAAAAATAAGATAAAAAATATAAGTGGTAAAATGAATTTAATAAGCTAAATATCTCATTGTTGGTGAGTTTACTAGAATCTACGTATATGGATTTAAGACTTTAATGTAGAAGTAGTAATAAATTACAATGTATAAAACTGCCATTAAACTCTACTAGAGGTACTTGAGATGTGAGATGACAGTGTTCAGGATATTACAGGTAGATGATAGGTTCTTCAGTGCATGAATATGGAGAATAAGTGCCGTGCAGAGGAGTCGGCATAACATCGGTTAGGAGGCCAACCTTTATAGCTGTGTCAAAGGATTACTATAGGGTCAGTAACACAAATATGTATTCCTGACCCTATAGTGTTTAACCCACCATTTTGGTGGCTTGTCCCCCCTATAGCCCACCTATAAAAGTTTAAAACTTACCTTATTTCCAGCACCGCACGGGTCTGCTGGTGCTGACCCCGCCCCCTTTGTGACATCATCAAAATGGCCGATCTTTAGCCAATTATGGGAAAGCATTGGATAGGCTAAAATAGGCAATGTCATTTTGGCCAATCAGGACCTCCTCATAGAGCTGCATTGAATCAATGCATCTCTATGAGGAATATTCAGCATCCCCATGCAGACCGTGGGGACGCTGAAGGGCAGTGCTGCTCACTGTGCAGCACTGAGCCAGGAAGCCCCTCCAGTAGCCATCTAAGGAGTTGCCACTTGGAGGTGTCCCTAGGGGCAATGTAAACATTGCCTTTTCTCTTAAAAAAAAAAAAAAAAAGGCAGTATTTACATGAAAATGCATGAGGGGAGTTATTATACTCACCAGAACGACTACATTAAGCTGTAGTTGTTCTGGTGACTGTAGTGTCTCTTTAAAATAGGAACACATTTAACCATTGCTACCTAGGCCCTGCAATGGTTGAATGTAAGTTACAGTTGGCAACTCTCTCCTACTCCGTAATTTTTCTTTCTTATCTCTAGGTCCTGCGTGCAGCAGAGCAGGCCCACCTATGGGGCGAACTTGTCTTCCTGTATGATAAATATGAGGAGTATGATAACGCTATTATTACTATGATGAGCCATCCCACCAGCGCCTGGAAAGAAGGTCAATTTAAGGACATTGTCACAAAGGTAATGTGTGTTGTTGTTTTTTATTTTTTTTAATTTATTTTTTTAATTTATTTAGTAAAGGTAATGTGTCATAATGTATTGTTGTAGAATTAACTTTTCTCTGACTTCTGAAGGAATTGTTACTATTTCTTTTTCTGTAGGTGGCCAATGTGGAACTTTATTACAAAGCCATGCAGTTTTACATGGAGTACAAACCTCTGTTAATCAATGACCTTCTTTTGGTCTTGTCACCGCGTCTGGACCACACTAGAGCAGTTAACTACTTTTCCAAGGTAAGTGTAACTAAGCTGTATACAGAACTAACTGACCTTGCTCTATGAATGCATATAATCTGTTCAATCAACTTCGCTGCTTTAGTTCATAGTCTGGCTATTATGCCATAGCAGTTGATCTACTCCTACACAAGCTGTCTGCATTTCTTGTTGCAGTAAATATGTCTTCACTACCTCAAGTACCGGAGAATGTCACTTAAATAATGAGCTGTTATTCTTTTTCAGGTCAACCAGCTACCTCTGGTTAAGCCGTACTTGCGCTCTGTACAAAACCACAACAACAAGTCTGTGAATGAGGCTCTGAACAACCTGCTCACAGAGGAAGAGGATTATCAGGTAAGTGAACATGACTCTGTTTTTGGACAGTTCTGTCATTCCTCGAACAGTCACTTGCAATTGTAAGGCCAAAATAGTCACAGTGGAAAAATGATCCAAGTCAGCTATGCTCTGTTTGCCTACTTTGGACTTAAATGTGAAATTCACTTTGAATTTACATCTCCTATTTACAAATGACCAATACAGCAATAAATTGAACATCAGAGAGTATATGAGTCACAGCATATCTTGTTATCCATGGAATAAATACAGAAGCAAATTAAGTGCTAGAAAATATTTAGTTAGTTTCTTGTTACATTTCCAGGCCAATTAATGCATATTTTTGCATCTGTCTTGCTATTTATGTAATTTGAAACCACCCCTCTGACTTTTTCTGAAGGAGTCAAATGTGTTACAATGGAGAAATAAATTGCTATATTCTATTTGTATATAAACAATTATTGCACTCCCATAAACTGTTACCCTTAACCCCTTAAAGTCCGAATGATGGTCTTTGCTGTCGTGCAGTGATGGCATAGACAGAATGAGGGTCTATGCTTTAATGCAGTATACGTTGAGTTGTTTTTTTAGATGCACTTGTTTTGTAGAATGTATTAAATGCAAAACTGAGAAAAAAATGTTTTATTATTTTTATTTATATTTACCGTTGTGTTATGTATACAAAAATGTAATGTAACATAATGTGTACAGTTGCCATTAAACAGGGTGAAATAGTAGTAAACGCATGGATAAAGCCCTTGGCTTAATATTGTTGGATACGTTTTCCAGCTAACTTTATATCTTTACATAAACATTTACAATTAATTTTTTTCAACATCTTAAAATATAATATATGATATAAAAAAAAATCAATATATCAAAAATATTACAAAAATTTTAATCTTTTTCATATTACACCATTTTAAACATTTATACAAAAATATTAAATAGATTTCAAAACTTATCCAACACTTCAGTAAAGGATTTGGTCTCAAAATGTGTTGCATCTCAAAAGATAAGCCATAATAATATGGATTAAAGAACCATAATAATATGGATTCTCGTAGTACTTTCTGCAATGCCCATTTAGTCAAACGTTTTCACTTCTTCAGAGGTATGGACGAACTTGGAGTTGAATTTCAGTATGGGCTCTCTTTTCCCTTTGAGATAACTGTGGCACTGAAATGACAAATAGGCAAAAACTTTATATTATTAAATTTAAATATTTGGGAACTAGGTTTCTAGCACTTACAGTTAAAACAGATAGGCAGGTCAAACACCCAAACTGGTCCAATGAATATCCGTGTAATAAGAGGATGACGCTACACACCCTCCTCCTATTAAATGCATAATATTATTACATGAATGTTGTTCACTACAAACTAGTTACAGGGTAGTCTGTGATATACTAGGTGACTGTGAATATTAATGCACTAATTCGTATTCTCCATCTCTGCTCTTAGGGCCTGCGAGCATCTATTGATGCATATGATAACTTTGATAACATCAGCCTAGCACAGCGTCTGGAGAAACATGAGCTGATTGAATTCCGCAGGATTGCTGCATATCTATACAAGGGGAATAACCGCTGGAAGCAAAGTGTGGAGCTTTGTAAGAAGGATCGGTTATATAAGGTATTATACAGCATGCCAGACAGTTGCTAAAACATAATTATTGGTTGAGAAATAAAAGGCAATCTTTAATATTATAACACAAAATCTATTTGGGCTGTGTTGTCTATTGAGCTGCCCATTGTAACTTAAGTATCATTATACAAGAAAGTATACAACGTTTTGGCCTAAGGACTTAATCATGTACAACATGATATTATACATGGTGAAGGCCTTGGGTTGAAAAGAACACATTTGTGTGTTTATATATGATTAAGGCCTTACCAGAAACGTGTGTGTGTGCATGTATGTATTTGTGTGATCGAGTTTTATATACCGGTGTGATATCTATATCTCCAAGGTGCTTTCACTCCAGGTATATAATGACTGTGATGCCTGGGGCAAATCCAGCAAAAATCATAGGTATTCCAAAAACCAGAATGCACTCCAGGGTCTTTGTAAAGTAAAATCTAACTTTTTATTCATGTACAAAATAAAAAATTAACATCAATATTTCGGCTCACATCTGTAGGCAGGATGGCATCTCATCTGGAGCCTTAACGTTGATGTAAATTTTTTTTATTTTGTACATGAATTAAAAGTTATATTTTACTTTACAAAGACCCTAGAGTGCATTCAGTTTTTTGGAGATATGGATATCCAAAATGGATATATAGATATAAATCTCCCCGAAGAAAGGCACAGCTGGGCTTTTTGAAGAAAATGATTCGTCTTTAAAACACACACACACACCAATAGACACACACACACCACAATAGAGACAGACACACACACCCCAATAGAGAGACACACACACACACACCCCCCAATAGAGACATATATCAAAAAACAATGGCTGCTCACCGGACTTAAAAACAAAAATCTTTATTGAATAACGTTACAAATCGACCAACGTTTCAGTACCCATTCGGGTTTTTTCGTTTTTAAGTCCGGTGAGCAGCCATTCTTTTTTGATGTGTGTGTGTGTGTGTATATATATATATAATGTGTGTGTTATGAATAAAGACGAATCATTTGCTTCAAAAAGCCTAACATGTGCCTTTCTTCATGGAGATTTATGTTGATTTGGCTGAAAGAGCACCATGGCATTTATACTACAAATGAGTGCAGGATCGTGGATGGAAAATGTATATATATCCAAAAAACTGAATGCACTCTAGGGTCTTTGTAAAGTAAAATATAACTTTTAATTCATGTACAAAATAAAAAAATTAACATCAACTTTTCGGCTGAGAGAGAACAGGAACACAAAAAAAATTATATATTTATTATATATGTGTGTGTGTGTGTTTCTGTTCTATATAAATCTTTATAAAGTACCTACCTTGTAAACTGTGGACTTTAAAAAGATTTATATGGAGGTAGTTGGTCTCCTCCACAGTGTACTAGGCTGGACTTTGCGCCAGTGGTGTATTTTGGAATTGTGCTGCCCTAGGCATGACTAAATTCGGGCACCCTCCTAATTTAAATTTGTCTCACCAATTTGTCAGGGCCACTTTTTTGACTGACAGACACACACCCTCATTGATACATGCACTGACATACACTCACTGACAGATACAGTTATTGGCGCACACACTGTTTAACCAACACACACTTTCACTGAGACACACTCCCTGACAGATGCTTACTCTGATACACATACACTGACAGACACAGACACACACATCCTCACTGATTTGACACGCTCTGACACACACACATTCTCTCACTCAGACACACACTGACAGCTACATGCACTCACAGACATACACACTCACAATGACACTCACACTCCCTGACAGACACACAGACTCACAATGACAGACACACATTCACTGACTCAATCGCTCAAAACAGAAAAAAGAAATCACAAACAAATCAAGTAGAAGGCAAATTTAAATAAAGAAAAAAAGAAACATGCTCAATTGATTGTTAGATTGACTATAAAACACACCCACTTAACAAATGCAGTCTAACCCAAAAAGCTAAAGGGTCCAATAGCCTAGAGTCCCAAATCACATTAAGTTACAGAAGTACTTTAATGTAAAACACTTTAACCAGGCTTAATTACTGTAAGAGGAATAAAAAGATGGGGAGATACAGCGCTAACTCCAAAGGCAGCAGAATAAGGTCTGTTACTTGGATACCCTAATAACCCAAGAGGAACTAGGAAAAAATACAGAAAAAAGACTGCGCAAATAAGAAATACTAGATAATCTTATGCAGATATATGTATACACAATATTATATATAAAAATATTGATATATAACAATAATAGAGAGTGAGTCACAGCATAAAGTCTTTTTTTGGAGATAAGAACCTTTTGATAGTAGTACTTTTTCGGAGGTCCGTATGTTCTCCTCCTTAGTGTTCAAGTAGACAAAACTTTAGTGCAGATGAGGAATTCTGTTGTTGGTGTCTCATATGAAATAAAACACAAAAGAAACCACCAATAGTGTAATAGAGTATATACAGTGTCTTAGGTAAAATTGATATCTGACCGTTTCACCCTCCCATTATTCCCTGAACCCCACCAGGGCAGCAACCACCCTGAGATGCAACACTTCTATACGAATTATAAATTATTTTAGGCACATAATCCACCCAAGTCAATATCTTCTTCAATAAACACTTTTCCTTTCAACCCTCCCTTTCATTGACCAAAGGTCCCTCCTGATTTCTTGCTTCTTATCAACCTCTTTCTTTCTTCAATACTTTACTTACTGTATACTCATTCAGGATTATTTATTGAAGGGAGAAATCAAAGTGAATTTCAAATTGAAGGCTAGAGTTTCTGAATTGAAACCATAGCTGATTTAGATAATTTTTCCAGTTTGGCTATTTTGGAACTAAGTTTGAAATTTTACGTTGAGTTCATTTAGCATTATCACTTTAGTCGATAACTCTTCGCCACATTCAATGCATAGTGACTGTAAAGCATTGCTTCTTGATTCTTCGTAATAGTCGCTGTGTACACTATATACTATAGTTAAATTGTTAAAAAGTACTCCTTATATTGGCACAATCGTGGATACATTTCTGTTGCTTTCGCAATTTTATTTTCTTGTTCACAATGAAAAATTGTCTTGTAGAGTGTACGTTCGTGGGCAGGTTTCTCACCGTCTTTTGTGTGTGTCTACATATTTATCCCGTTTGTATAATTAACAATCTTATTTTTGTATAGTGCTCTGGCTAAAAGCACTATGTAAGAACTGTTCAATACATTGGTATCTAGTGATATCCACAGTGATCCCATCAAAACAAAATTTAAGTAGTGAGTAATAATAATAAAAAAAAGAAAAAATATAAAATGACAAAAAATAATCCAAAACCTTTGTAATCAAAAGAACACTTATAAAGCTGCAACAACTAATCGATAATAATTTTTTTTAAAATAACTGTTAATGAATCTCATTATTGATTAGTTGGTCTGCCAACTAATTGATGAAGGATGTGGAAGAGGACAGACCTGTAGCAATAAACATTGGAGAAGGTTGTTGCAAAGTTTGAGCTTTCCTCTGGAGAAAATCATTGCAATTGAGCAGAACAATGGTACTAATATTTTGTCAGCTGCAAACGTACTGGAGGGGACCAGTATCTGCTGCACCAGCTCCACCTTGCAGCTGGTGATCACTGCTGAATTATGCAAGATGTGCATAATAAACAATCACTGTTAACACTGCCATTTTCTTGTGTGATAGAGATTTATATACCGGGAGTCCAAATGAGAGCCAGCTTTCTGTCTCCTCCACCCGAAAAGTCAAGGGAATTCTTTATTCTTGCATTGAATATGGTGGGAATAGACATTGCATATAATGAGATGCCGCAATCATTTGAACTTGTCTGATAGACTAACATTCTTTGCTGTGATTCTGCATTAGTCCTTTGAATGATTATTATATGTTTAAGCTAGGCTATTTTTGGATAAAATTTGTAGTGTTTTTGCTTTTCGAGATTCACTTATTGTAAAGATTGCTTTTATTATGTACTTCACAAAATTACAGTGGCAAATTACCTTTGTATAGATGGAGTTGGAAAGTATTTGATGTCATTAACAAAGTGATTGTAATTAAATGTTCTAATGACAATGAATATGTGCAAGACATTGTTCAGTCTAATAATATTGTTTCATCACAGGATGCAATGCTATATGCCGCAGAATCAAAAGATATGGAACTAGCAGAAAAACTTCTTCAATGGTTCCTTGAGGAAGGGAAGCAGGAGTGCTTTGCTGCAACTCTTTTTACTTGTTATGACTTACTGCATCCAGATATAGTGCTGGAGTTGGCCTGGAGACACAACATCATGGACTTTGCAATGCCTTACTTCATCCAGGTCATGAGAGAGTATCTTAGCAAGGTAATACAAGTGTTGTGGCTCCCAGGTGTTGTGTAATATGTATAAGTGTACCAGTTATGACAACTGATTTTGAGCACACGTGCTTAATCTTAGACAGAGATTAAAGGGAAACTATAGTGCCAGAAAGAAAAAAAAGTTGTTTTCCTGGCATTAAAGCTGCCTATAGTGCCCCCACCCCCACCTGTGGTGCTGAAGGATTCGAAAATATGATTCCTGGCCGACGTCACTTGGTGCTGGTTCGGGCTCCACCTCCGCTCCTCCCCTTCCGACATCAGTGGCAATTGCCACGCTCACATCAGGACTTCCCCCATAGGAAAGCATTATACAATGCTTTTAGGTTTATGGTGACAATAGATATCCTCATGCATAGCGAGAGGATATCCAGTGTCAATTAGGCGACCAAAAGTCATCTAACTAGAGATGGAGTAAACCCTGGCAGGTAATTATTGCAGTTTATTAAAAACTGCTAAATAATTACTACTGCAGGGTTAAGGGACCTGGGACACTGCACCCAGACCACTTCAATGAGCTATGTTTGGCTGGGTGCCTATAGTGTCCCTTTAAGTAACTGACCGGAAAGTGCCCAGACTGCATTTTCATTAAGCTCATTTATTATACCCTTATTTGTCCTGTCACGTTTATTTTTTTTCAATTTTCCCTTTGCATTTCTGGCTTCTGGGCAACTGCTGTCCTGTGAGGTATTTAAAACCAATAAATTTAAAAATAAATTTAACACAAACTAAAGTATTAAAGTAAAGTCTCTACTTTCCCCCCCACTTCTCAGCCTCTGGGGTTTGCATAGGCCCATTTTTCTCTTGAATTCGTCAGAGCTCATCCTTGTTGTTTAACTTGCTTTACTCCTCTCAGTATTGTTTGCCTCGTCTCTGGTTTTTTCTCCTCTTTATAATGAATGTGACCTTCTAAATGAGTATTTTACTATTGTTTTGCTGCCTGCTTCTGTACCAATAAAGTGCTTAGTAAATGAAGATATCATGGTACAGCAACTGCCTCAGAATGCAACATTTACTTGGGTCTCCAGGATTAATTCATTAGTTTTAATGAAGGCAAACGGTTTATAGGTCCACCATCACTGATACAGCAGACAATGTGTTGGAATTCTATTGACAAATTGTAACAGAACGGTTTCCACAAGTTTAAATCTGTTCTTTTTTTTTTTTTTTAATAGGTGGATAAACTGCATGCTGCAGAAAGCTTGAGAAAAGAAGAGGAGCAAGTGACAGAGCCAACCCCTATAGTATTTGGTGTGTATGAGGCGTTTTAATTTTAGAATCGAACTCCAATACACATTATTACATATAAACCTCCAGCATGTTCCACTGAGCTCTACATGACTGTATGATGTCATGCTATAAATATAATATATTACAATTCTAGCCCCACCCCCTCCACGGAAAAAAAAAAGAACATTTCACACAGACTGTTATGAAAATTCACTGAAATCCCAACCCAGTCAAAAGAAATAATAAGACAAATAGGGACTAGTATTTTTTTTTTACGCTTGGAAAAAAGGCGGAGCTACTTTCTGTCGCGCACTCGTGACAGCTGAGTGGAAAAGGGCTCTTTCTGTGGTGGGTCTTGCGGGATTCTCCATATACATCAGTGTTGTACTCTCGCGCTAGTAGTGGAAGAAGATGGTGGTGCCCACAGAGGACAGGGACTACTTTTCCCTGATCTTTATGGCCACTGGAATTCACGTAGAGCAGTCACCATATGGGGTCTTTGCAAAACCCCAAAAGGTGACAGAGCCACTTTAATGCAGGTCGTTTTGACAATTTTTTTTTCTCTAAATCTTTTAGTAGACTGAAATATTGATTCTACAACCTGTTTCATTATAAAGAAAGCATTGTCGACTGTGTAATACCAACCATTTCCTTCTCTTTACAGGTCAGCAGTTGATGCTCACAGCTGGTCCTAGTGGAGTGGTACCACCTCAGCCGAATTTTCCCTATGGATACACCGCTCCCCACACCTTCACCCAGCACCCCCCTCCTTCTGTCTCTCCTGGCTATGCCTTTAACATGTAACCTCCTGTCATCCAGATTATACCTGAAGGGGGATACCTTAGTCCCCATATTCTGGGAGCTGACTGCAGTTTATCTTGGACATGTTTATTTATTACATTTGCTCTTACAGACGTTGATGCGGGAAAGGCAGCTTTTCAGCCAGTCACTACCATTACTCGTTAAATTTCTTTTTTTGTTTGTGGTTTTTTGTTTTATTTTAATTATAATTATTTTTTATTTATGTTTTTTTTATTTTGTTTTTTTTTATGGATGGGAATGGCCGAGAGCTGTCAGCACTGATTTCATGGCTATCACACATGCTAATGGAGCAAATGTTCTGTACAGTACTGTAAACTGCTGGACATGATTCACGGCAGCTCCATATCTGTGCACAAGCCCTTATCAACCGCTGCCATGTTAAGTAGCTAATGGTGAACAACCACAACAAGTTTAAATTTCTTCTCCTTCTCTGATCTTAGTCTGGCCAACAGCAGTCACTGTCTCTGCCAAAGCCCAAATTAGCAGCCTGATACTGTTCTGCCTAATACCTCTCTGATATTGGAGCAAAGAGTCATTTTATTATCATTATTATTGTAAAGACTGTATGCGGGGAGATTAGACTTTGCAATCTGCTACCATTTAGTGATTAGTGATCATAATCAAATATGTTTGAAAAAGACCTGGTACAGTTAGTAATGAATGTGGTCGGTACTTGTTTATGTGTCACATTTATTTTCAGACTGCTACAGTATGCAAATGAAATGCCAAGTACAATAAATGTATTTAATCATATTATCCAGCTAACATTTCCACCCACAGTGTGCTTAGTAAAATCAGTTTGCTTCAGTTACATGACATTTTATTCCTACAGTGAAAGTGTCTTTCTTTCGTACAAAGGCACGCGTTTCTTTTCTTTTTGGTTAGTTACAATATGCTGCTGATATTTTGCTTAAAACATTGACAGAATTGGGTAAATGTATTTCTTTTTCAGGTGCTATTTTTTTTTTTTAACTTTAATGCCACAGTAATTCCTGGTAATGAAATTCTTCGCTATCACAACCTTTCGCTAGAGGTACAGGATTACCAATCCATTGTAAGCAATCTAGTTAATATTTAGTCCCATTACCAGCCATGTAATAATAAACAAACACTGACACAAAGGTCACAATAATGTGTAAACAGTTCCTATTGACTACCCACTGCAGAAACTAACACATTTCCCAAATGTTCCCTACAGCACACAGGCAGAAAACTAGTAACTGATACCAATCTTCATGAAACAAATATCCATGCTCATTTAGCCATGTGCCTAGTGTTGTGCATGGGAGTAGCATGTTTTTTTTTGTTATGTTTTTTTTTTTTTAAACATTCATGAGCTGTTGAAATAATAATAAAATACCTGTTTCACTGAACAAAAGCATGTCCTTCATCCATATCTAACTTGTATTAATGATCTTAATTTTAGTGGTGTTTTTTTTGTTTTGTCTACTGTAGATTTTTATAGTGTTTAGATATGCTACAGGGAAACAAATATATGTATCATAGTAAGACTAGAATAATTCAAGTATCATTCTACTGGTTTCCATGATGATTTGTATCATTAGATATCACTTAGGCCTACAGTTGCACTAGTTTTGTCTAGATGCACGTGGCCTACTATATCTTCTAAAAGCAGTAATTCCGTATACAATATGAACAGATATATTACCAGATCCTTTTCAGGAATACTGCAAAAAGGTCTCGAGCAGTCTGTGGTAGATGCCAAAAACATTATTCCAACATGCATAGGTTTTAGGACATATACAGGGGAAGCTGAGGACCAAAATAGAGCAGCTTATATGTTTTCTACCCAAAGGCACTTACTTACAGACATCCAGTGACGTTTATCTCTCCAAGAGACATGACAACATTTTGAATCTCATTATCCTTCATATATCTTCTACAGCCAGCTGTTTCATCAGTGACACTGCTGTGTTGTTTCAAACTGTAGCAACAGTCTGCACTACTTTGAACAATATGTGGTAAGATTGCTGTTGTGTTTAGAACACATACTGCTATGGTCTCACACAAAATATCAGACTATCAAATAATTAGCATTACAAAAAAAAGCATTGTTTTTCTAATGACAATAAACAGCATAGAATCCTGCCACCCGACAGTGGTTGAACGCAGGAGGTCTTTCTATGGCACGTGTCGTAGTGTATTCAGTGTTGAGTATTAATCTGTAAGCAGCCCTTCGTAAACTGCCCTACTAAATAGGAAAGAAAAAAGTAAAATGTGTTTGCCATTCTTTCACAAATACCTGCATTGTTTAAAAATTTTAACAAAGAGGGTTAATTGGCTAAACGTATTTCAGTGTTAAGAGGGCAGCAAGGAGCAGCACCTTTGTCTTTTCCAGTGACCCCTATGTTTGCACTGATGGGCACAAATCTTAAAATCACAATTATCTTACAAGTACACAAACAGATAAAGAAGGGTCAGAGTTCTAGGCATACTATATCACTAGAAGAAGCATGTTTTAATTCTGTTACAAATGGTGACCTTTAAGGGACCCTACTGGAATAATTAAAAAAGGGTCCACTTGTGATACTGAATTTACTCAAACTGGACAGTTTCCTCTCACCCCTTTCCCGTAAAGCATATCACCCTTTTTGGCTGCAGGCTTTCTGACTCCTGAGTGACTGCAGTATTTAAAATGAGGCAGTGTAACAGACACATTTCTCCATTCTTAGGGGAACTCTTCCACCAATCACAGGGGAGATGAGATTGTCTACCCATGCTGCTGTTTGCATGTAGGATTACTGTAAATCGCCCCATTTTGATGTCTTTTTATTTCTTTTATATGTTTTTTTTTTTCTATGTATTTACATTGTGCTATGTCTCTCTCAGATCATATTTTCCTTAACATTTTATGTACTGAACTTAGTTTGCTATGTATAACGTATGGTTATGAATATTGTGCTAATCATGAATATTATAAAAGAAAAAACAATTATAAATGTGTAAAATGAGATGGAGATGTTTTGTCCCTTTGATTATTTTTTTTTGTGCGTTCAACTTACTAATGTTTAAAATGGGTATCCAGAATTATTATTTTTTAATAAGGTAAGATGTGTGTATGAGTACGTGTGTTTATGTATGTAATATATATAGAGAACATCATCTATTTTATCCTTAATATAAAATAAAAATAAATATTTTATATCACAATTTCACACTGCAGTAACACCATATATTGGCATCATTAGCTTTAAACAAAACCTCGATTTAGTTAGTGCAGTGGTGCGCAAAACTTAAAACCAGATTGTGTGTAATGTATCATATTTGTTATTGTAAAGTAGAAAACAGACTTTTTTTTTTCTCTAACAGGATGTAATCCAGAAGTGCATCTACTTCAATGAGGCAATGCTTGCAGTTGCACCACTTTAAAATGTAATATAGAAATATTTTATGTGTTAAAGGAACACTACAGTGTTAGGAAAAAACAACATGTATTCCTAATGCTACAGTGTTATTCTTAGTTTTTTAGATTTCTGGGCCTCCGTAAATACAATTAAAAAAAACAAAAAAAAACTAGAAAAACTTGTTACTCACCTTTATTTCAGCTCAGAGACGTTACATTAATTCTTCTTCTTGTCCAACTCAATGCTTCAAGTAGGCAAGCATTGGGGATGAGAAGCACATGATTAGCAGAATACTGCTCTATGAGAACATCGATTTAAGAACAGAGTCTGACTTTGCTATTGCAGTGGAAGCACAATCTAGTGGCTAAGTTCCTGCGAAATGTTTTACATTGCAAGTGTAAAACGACAGAGCCACAGAACCCAAACCACTTAATGGAGATCGTTGTCTGGGTACTTATAGAGTCATTCTAAGCATAGCAGTTTACATAAAAGTACGGTAATGCTTTCATCTCCTAATACATTAACTAAATTAATTTGGGGGGGAATTAATTATACATTTTACTTTTTTTAATTTTGGAAATATGTTTGATGTAAACACTCATTAAAAATATAACTCCAAAAACATAAATATAATCCAGAAAGGTTTTTTGTTTTATTGGGGTTTTTTTTAAATGTGGAGGGAAGAAAAAAAAAATGCACGCAATGTGGGTTTTGTTTCAGATTTTTCCTCAATGGATCTGTTATAATTTAGGGAACCTCATCACTGGCTCAATAGATACTCAAATAAGTAGATGCTCCAATAGCCGTGTAATCTTCCTAGGTGTTTGAGTCTTCCTCCATCCAAATATTTACCACATGATTATTGAGACTCCTCCCAAACTCCTCTTTCTTTACTGCTTGCCTCCCAGGTGAGTCAATTCTGATTACATTGGCCTTAGTGCCGTATATTTACCTCAGTTTTTTACCATACCATTGTTTTAATTGTATTTTTTGGTCTTAATTATTATTACATCTTTATTTCTACTTCATTATATAGATTCTCTCCTTAAGGCCGACCTCTTGTTTGCCCAGTGTTTTTTCTTTCACTCCCACTGGCACGTAAGTAATTTTATCATATTTTCCTCAGCTCTAATTATTTCCCCCCCTTTCGGTTTAGGTTTTTTTGCTGATCTAATCGCGGCTTCTTTCTTATCTTCCCGACGCTCTGCTAGTCGGGCCTCACTGCTGCTAGTATTGCGCAGCCCATCTGGCCATTTTTCCCGCCCTTTTCCTGTGACACGGGTGGGAGCCGCCTCCTTCAGAGCTGGCAGCCATTTTGTTTTTTTCGGCAGTTTATTTTCATCAAGTCACCAAGTTCCAAGGTAAGTTTTCCTTGTGAAATATATTTCTCTGCACTACTCTTCCATAATCATATCTTTTAAAATACATTGTAAATTGTTTCTACCTATTTCTCTATTCATCTATTTAAAGTGAAATAATTTTTTTGTCTAAATCATATAAATAAATCCAAACTTTAATCTGCCTAAAGGGTTTATTGTAACAGGTGACCCCTGTTTGCCATAGTGGTGATTTTCTCCACTACTTAGCTACCCACTGTATCTTTGTGTGTGTGTGTGTGTATATGTGTGTATATATATATATATATATATATATATATATATATATATATATATATATATATAATGTGTATTTATCATTTATAAAGTAGGTGACCCCCATTTACTGCTGCATCTTTGGGTAACCCCCACATGCTTTACTTGGGTGACCCCGAAGATTTATTTCAAAGGGTGACCCCCTTTATTTTAACAGGTGACCCCTGTTTGCTATAGTGGTAATTTTCTCCACTACTTAGTTACCCACTGTGTCTTTGTTTGTATATGTACGTGTGTATGTGTGTGTATATCATTTATAAAATGGGTGACCCCCATTTACTGCTGCATCTTGGGGTATCCTCCATATGCTTTACTTTGGTGACCCCCAAGATTTATTTCAAAGGGTGACCCTCTTTTAACATTGGTTAAGCCCCTTTCATATCTGATGGAAGATTCACATAATGGATCTGACCATGAAGGGGCTCCGCACAAACATCCCTGGAAGGGCAACAGTGCCTCAGCCGGTAAAGGCAAGGCACCAGGCTAAATATCCAAGGTTATCACACACCTCCTCGAGCCAACAGATAATTGATCCCCTAAAGGGCTCCACATCCCACTATGACCTACAAGTCGTGGATGAGTACTGCGCAGGGTATTCTGATGACAAATCCCCACTGATGCACTACACGCTAATACTCCTTATGTCAAGAAGTCTTTTGTTAATCTGGTTTACCAAGCCTCTAACACAATTAATCCCTCCAAGACCCAGGATCTGTCTACCTTACTAGATGCTAGTGGCCAACCCTTATTTGATAGCAGGATCATTTAACATCCCAGCTCTGCTGAGTGGCACCCATCCGACCATATAGCCCAATTCTGAAGAAAATGTGGCTCCACAGGCCGCTTGAAAAGGAGATTCGGAATAAGCTGAGAGCAGAATGCCCACGTCACAATACCTAAAGGTGGCACTCACACCTGAATTTGATCCTCTTTTGATAACCTAAGCAAGTTGGGTAAAGACCCTGCAAAGGCCTTGAACATGGTCTAAAAGCAGTTCACGACAATCTGCTTGGCTTTGCTGGCCCCATTATACAAATATTTATACTTGTTCATGAAGCTCTAACAGACAGTACCTTGGATCCACATTTGGTAAGAGAATGGGCACGAGGGGCTTATGTTTACTTGGCAATGCTAATGTAGCCATTTCAGCTGAACGTAAAGCCATCTTACACAAGATTGACGCAATATTGGCAAATTTAACTTCTAAAGAACTCGGTCCAGAGGCTAATGGACCTCAACAGACATGTTTCTGTTTTCACATGTCTTAATAAAGCTTAAACATCCCTGCAACAGAGTGTTCTGCTCACATCCTTTTTCTGGCATAGAGGCCGAGCTACCGGCAGAACTGCCTTCACAAGCTATAGGCGTCAATCCACTGAACCGTAAAACTCTGGTGATACCCACCCCTATCATAGATAGAGGATCTATCAGAGGACATGGGTCTGCTTCACTCAGGGGTCGCACTTTTGCAGGTAATCAACCTACCTTATTTTCTAATAGCTATTGCAAGCCGTCTAGCCCATTTTTTTCCCCACAGTGGTCTCTCCTCACTCAGGATCCTTGGATCCTTCAAACTGTTTCAAGGTTTCACATAGATGCCATCTCATACCTACTACAAGAGTTTCCTTCTCCCCCTCTAAGGATGTCCTAATCGGACACAGCCATTTTACACTCAGAACTCTGCAATCTGAGACAAAGGTGCGATCGAAGATTCTCTATTCACACCCAGGTTTCTCAGTCCAGAGGAAATCAAACGAATTTTACCCATTATCAATTTAAGAAACTTAATCAAAATGGAAAATTTCAGATGGAAGGCATACACATGCTTCGAGACTTTCTCCCGTTTTGATTTAAGAGACGATTTAACCTAAACAGTTCCGGTGGCATACTCTCACCACCCCTTTCTACAATTCCTCTGGCAATTCACGTTCCTTCTTTTTGGTCTCTCTTCCGCCACTTTGCTGTTTCACCAAGTTGATGGAACCACTTAGGGCTCTTCTTCAGTCAGAAGGTATCAGGTCTATCTATCTAGACGATATCCTAATCATGGCTCAAGATTCGTTCACCCTTCAAAAACATACAGAAATGACCAAATCTCTCCTTCAGAACCTCGGATTTGTAATGAATTTCAAGAAATCTTCTCTGATCCCATCTCAGACTATTCTTTTCCTGTGTCTTCAGATCTATTCCATTCTTTAGTTTCTTCAACTCCCGTCTTCAAAGATAAAATCCATAAAATCCATCAAAAAGGTTTTTCGGAAGCTGCTGTCCCCTCAACAGGTTTATCTTTGCGATTTAGCGCTGATCACAGGACTACTTTCTGTCTCCATTCAGTCAATTTTCCCAGGCCCTACGGGGCAATACAACATCTCAAGACATATAATCGTCACAGATCCATGTCGTATGACCAACCAATTTTATTACCGACGAGGTCCGCCTAGAGTTAGCCTGGTGGCTCCACAACACGGAATCTTGGAACAGGAAGCTATATTCGGGTAGCAACCCAATTTTATCCTGGAGCCAGACGCCAGCCTCCAGGGTTGGGGGGCTACCTGCTCTGACCTCTCCACAGGTGAACTCTGGACACAGTCGGAACACATGTTGCATATCAATTGCCTCAAACTAATGGCAGCTTTCTTTGTGGTTTGCAGCTTCGCCAAGGACGCCTACAAATGTCCTTTGGTTCTCAGAATGGACAACGTTTCTACTATCCATAAAGTCAATTTTCAAGGGGGTTCTCGATCAAAGCTCCTGTCAGACCTTACGAGAGAACTTTATCAGTTCTGTCTGGACAGGAACCTCTCTCTTTGAGCAGGATACCTTCCAGGACTGAACAATCTCCTGGCAGACTGGTTCTCCTGTCAATGGCCACATGCCAGCAATTGGCACCTGGATCCGAGCATTTTCCATCATCTACATCTACTTTGCAGGCCTCTCACTCTAGACCTGTTTGCTTCCAGACTGAACTATCAGGCCAATGCCGTTTTTCAGTTGGCTACCAGATCCGATGTCTCAATCAGTCAACGCATTTTTACAGTGACAGTGGCAAACATCGACAGTGGCCTATGTCTTTTCCACCCTTTTTGATGATCTCTTGAACTCTTTATCAACTCAGGGTTCTTGGAGTTAAGATCCTCTTAATAACTCCTGCCTTGGTATCCCAATTACCCTCTGCTTCTCCCGGTATCTAACAACCTCCTCCAAGACTCTATAGGGGACTTCCATTCTCTCGCCATCCAAGGTCGTCTTCGACTCATGGCCTGGGCGATTTCAGGGGATCCTGGTATGTCTCAGGACTTTTTGACTTGTCTCAAAGACTCGTCTGGGATTCATGGGCCCCCGGAACTCGTAGAACATACCTTTCAGCGTGGCTTTTCTGGGTTAGCTGGTGTTTGGAAAGGGATATTGATCCCTTTTCAAACTACTTTGGTGAAAATTATGAACTTCCTATCTTCCCCTTTGACAAAGGAAAGTCTTACTGTACCATAAACATTCTTTGTTTGCTATTTTGGCAGCTCATATCCCGATTGACGCATTTCCGGTTGAGAAACATCCTTCTGTTTGCAGGTTGTTACAGGGTATTTGTCTTTCTCGACCCTCTGCTCCCTCAAAACACCCAATTCTAGGATGTTGCTCAGGTTTTGTTGTTCCTGGAAGCATTGCCTCCTAATTTGGAACTTTCCTTGCACCAACTCTTAACCAAACTAGCCTTATTGCTTTGTTTGGTTTCCTTTCGTCGAGTTTCTAACATCATGGCCTTTGACTTCCATGCTATTGCGTTCACCCTGAGGGTGTTCATTTTTCTGTTTGTCGCACAAAGGTTCTTTCCACTTCCATTTTGTATCCTTACTTTCCGGATAGACCTTCTCTTTGTGTTGCTCATTGTTTACAGTGATATGTCACTCTTATCTCCACTCTTCAGGCTCAATTGAGACCTCTGTTTGTATTTTATATTTGTCCTCATAGCCCTGTGTACTGTCACATGATTACTCGTATTAGATGGCTTCTTCATCTTGCGGGCATTGAAGCTTCTTTTGGTGCCCACTCGGTGCGCGGCTGTGACCTCCACCTTGGTCCCCAGGTGGTCTCTTTCAGACATTCTATCTTCTGCTGATTGATCACGACAATCCACTTTCCATACCTTATATTTCCGACCTGCATCTCACGTTTTATTTCCATTTACTCTCCAGGCGTTAAAACAGCAAATCTGAAGCTTCCTGTCTAAAATTAGGGATTATTCTAGCTTCAGTGACCGAATAATCTAATTTTTATTACAGACAGAAGGCAAATATTTTCCCACCTGTTGCTTCTTTAAATCTTTCAATGTCCCACCCCTTTATTTTGTTCACTTGTGGATACTTAGGTAAGGTCTTACATGCATTTTACTTGCCTTATAAATCTTTTGATTATGGTTTTATTGTAAGATGTTTACTCTAGTTTTCATAATATATGTATATTGCATAATTATTGACACGACTTGTCACATTAGTGTTTGTTTCTGTATGACTGCCAGTCTACCAATCACACCATACTTTCACAAATTTTTTTTTTTGGTTCTTGTGTGGTTTCTTCTTGTCCTTCTCGGCATCATTAATTTGTCTCTTCATTGGACTCTTTATGTCTCGTTTACTTGGTTGACTACGCTTTGTGGTTCGCTGACTATTTTCTGGTTTACACGGTGGACTTCAAGTTTCGGCTGCATCCAGAAAGAGGAGTTGGGAGGAGTCTTATAGCCACATATTACTGTATGGATGTCTTCTTATTTGTTGATTTTGTTTTCAATTGTTTAACTGTTTCTTTGCTGCTGAGAGGATTCAGTAAAGAAAGTAAAGTAAATATTCGCCTCTTGTCTTTAATAAAATTTAGATTATTCAGTCACTGAAGCTAGAATAATCCCTAATTCTGACCTGGCGGAACACACAAGGCAATGGCTGATGACATCACCGCTCTGTGCAGGGAATGAAGCAGGAGCCTAATGGTCCGATTTTACCTCGGTTAGACTGAAGATGTATAAATGTAGCAGAAGGAATGAGTGTTCTGTGAAAGCAAAAGCCAGATTTACAGATATTTTATATATTCTTCATTTAACCAAAAAAGCAATATCTTTTTATTACGTGCTGCAAAAAGAATTTTTTCTAGTGACTTTTTTCCTCTAGATATAAATAATTTGTATAGTCCACCAGAGTGTTTTTTTTTTTTGTTTTTTTTTTATCAAACCTATTATTTTTTTTATTGTCAATAGCTCAATGGGATATATTATTCTTTAACATGTAAAATTTATGTATTGAATATTTCATGTGACACTTGTACTATATGATATTTATCCACACATTTCTGAAAGTACAAGATACAAGAGAAAACAGAAAATATATAGCATATTGGCAAAGTAGGGGGGAGTATAAACAAGTATGTCTCTGGCATAGGAAATCTATTGCTAAAGAGATTGTAAAGGCTTCATGAAGGAAATTGATGCATTCCTAAACCAAGTAATCCCATGATTTTCATCCACGTATGTTTGGTTTGTCTTCAGGACTGTCCGTGTTTGAAAGATTACCAAATTGTCAAGTGTTTTTCCATTTCTAGTTACTTCCAATTAGTGCCCATTCCACCAGGATAAAACTTGCTTTTTACAAATCGGTGACATTTTCTGCAGTGTTACATAAAGAGTTTACAAGACCTACAAACAAAAATAATTTTGACTTGCAGAAAAAGGTAGTGAGCTCAGATGCCATGTAATTGAAATAATTAGGTGTTTCGATAAAGTCCTGTAAACACCCATTTGATTTTTCAAGAAGTGGGCTGTTTTATCTGTGGATCCCAGAACTGTCCTTTAAGAAATACCTTCCCTGTATGCTTGTGTACTGCTTTGCAGATGTAACCAGGAAGGGTTAAATTGCTGAACATAGTAGAATGCCCTAGGAGACATTCTCGTTTCTCCAGATAACCTGTTTTGGTTGCAGTTCTATTATTGCGCTTGCTGATGTAAAGTGAACTAATAATGAGCTGAGGGGCAAAGTCTTCCCTGGAGCAAAGAGTAAAGCACAATTCCTGATTTCCTAAATGTAATCTTACCTGTACAGGCTTTGCAAGGTGATCTATTTATTGCAGGATGTTATGGAAGGGAGGAAAGTCCTTTGAAACTGCAGAGAAAGGGTCAGTAAAACATATGGCTGCAACCATACCCCCAGCTCCTCTTCATAACTGAATCAGATCACTAACCAAATTGTAATTGGAGTATCCTATAGATGCAGGAAAGACCACCTTTTTAAATTTATATTAAGTGTATTGCGTTTCTGTTGGCTGTCATTAGACCGTTTGCTAATATAGAGAAGGCATAATGGTGAATTGTGTATTATAGGAAAATGCCATCAAATAGTTCTTGATAATTACAATTATTAGTTCTTAATAATTACAAGATTTAAGGTCAAGTGATTTCTAAATGTCACTGCTCCCTTGAAATTACATTATGTTCCTATAATGCAAGCTTTGCTGTTTTGCATCTTTTAAAATTACATATTTTTAGTTTAGGGTTAGTGTCATTTAGGCATTAATGTTCAGAGATAGGGTAGTGTAGCGTTGACAGGAGATTTTACTGTAAGGGCAGCATAGGACCATAAATGTCTCAGTGCTTTCCAAGATTAGTAGGAGTTTCTGCCAAAATGGTGGCACGTGCTGCTTGGGAGCTTAACTCCAACTAAACTTGTGACTGCCTCACATTAGGGTCCTCAGCAGCATGGAGGTGATCTGTGCATTATTGCCTGTTAATAGCGTAAAATTGCTAGGATGGCGTCACCATCCTTGCAGTAGGATATTCTAAAATGTGATCTTCATGTTAGATTATATGTTCTGCCTGTTATTTTAAAGGACCACTCTAGGCACCCAGACCACTTCAGCTTAATGAAGTGGTCTGGGTGCCAGGTCCAGCTAGGCTTAACCCATTCTTTTTTATAAACATAGCAGTTTCAGAGAAACTGCTATGTTTATGAATGGGTTAAGCCTTCCGCTAGAGGCGCTTGCGTGATTTTCACTGTGAAAATCACAGTGAGAGCACGCAAGCATCCATAGGAAAGCATTGATAATGCTTTCCTATGCGACCGGCTGAATGCGCGCGCATTCAGCCGACGAGGAGGATCGGAGGCAGAGAGCTCCCTGCCCAGCGCTGAAAAAAGGTAAGTTTTTACCCCCTTCCAGAGCCGGGCGGGGGACCCTGAGGGTGGGGGCACCCTCAGGGCACTATAGTGCCAGGAAAACGAGTGTTTTCCTGGCACTATAGTGGTCCTTTAAGGGTGAAGAGTGTATATAGATAAATGCCATAGAATAAAGAATTCTGAAGGCATGTAAATAATCCACAGGAATTTTTATTTATCAACAATTCATGTTTCATTGTTGTGTATCATTTATATTATATATAGTTCATACAATGTTAAACAAAAATCTGCACACCAGTCAAGCCATAAGACTTGCTTTTCCCACAGAAATCACAAATCTGCAGTGATGTTACTACCGCAAAGGATTCTGGGTGGGCATATGCAAATTAGTTTAACAAAGAATCGCTTTTTTTTTTTTTAACATTCCTTTGAGTCTGTGTTTGCTGTATACAACAGCTTTGAAACACAACTTAGGAAAAGATGCAAAGCCAGTGAACCACACACCGTCCATACATCACTAGAGTTTAGATTAATAAATTATATGGTATTTAGCATCATGCACGCATATGCATGTCTGTTTTATTGTCCTTCCCTTGTTTTTTCACTTGTGGAAATACAGGTGTATGCTTGCACAAAGTTTCATAGGGCCCATATCATTAAAGCTTGAATTTCTATTACCTTAACAAACAAGTTTAGCTATGGGTAATTTTGGTGGTGTTAGTAATTAAAGGAGCAGTAAAACTCATAGCCAATGCTGCACAACACCTTCTACATTCAAAGTAGCAATACTAGTTCTTTAAAAGTTTAGGGATTGGTATGTGAGCAACTGAATTAGCAACTCCGACCTCTCTAGACCTTTGGTCTCCAAGACGGTTTTGATGAAATATGGGTTTGTTTGCAAGAAAGACTGCCCTTTAACACCCAACCCCACAACATGCATACACAACACCCTTTGCCAGCCCTGTCTCTCTTGTCCTCTAGCATCCCATTAATAAGAAATCAGAGACAAGAAACCAGACATAGGCAAGTTTATCATTAAATTTGATTTAAAACACAATATAGTCGGTGCATGGTCTGCCCTGCAGGGGCAATTAATTAAGTAGCCTTTGGCTAGTTTGGGCTTAAATTTGGAATTTAAATTGAATTCCCAACAATTATCACTTTAGTGAATAATCTTGTACAAAGTAAATTGTGGTGAATTTGCAAGGGAATTTCAATATGTCAGCCAAAATAGCCACGCCGGAAACATTCTCCAATTCAACAGTAAGTCAGTTGCTTTGGCCTAGATAGTGCAATTTCCTTTAAAATTCACCTCACTTCACTTTTTAGTGAATAGACCATTTTAGTATACTAGTCTCTTCTTATACAGCAGACATTTTGGTACTCTAATGTCAAAGAACCTGCAGTCAGTTACGGGCATTGAACTAGTTTTGGGGAGGGAGGTGGGAAATTTAAAAAAAAACTTGCCCCCTGGTTGCCTCAAGAATGTGCTACGCCACTGTCCATAGCTTTGCTTGCAGTCTCCCGTGTTAGGTGTGCCTGCTTGGTTTTTGTGCTGTCACAGTAATGGTTAATCAGTCAAATTTTATACCGTAAATGAAAATCTCCTGCTCCATTTCTCCCCCATATTGCTATGCCAATAATGACAACTTAAATACTCTGGATTCACCTTCTCTAAGTGAATGTGACCAGAAGCTTCCATTTTATTATGATGTAGCATACAAATTATAAGCCTTTAAAGCAAAATAGCTGAATGGAGTTATCATTGGTTTTTTTTCTTAAACTATTATAAATGTAAGAAGAATAAAGAAAACCTGGAAAAAAAAATTACATGGGGATATATTTGTGAGATAATGTGTGATAAAAATACTGAGGCTTTATTTCACTAACTATATCAGGAATATGAAAATGTCCTGTGAAAATGGAGTTGGTGTGTGAATAAAGTGGCTAAACCAAATATCTCAATATACGCAGTTTGGAAAACTCATAGAACCCCCAACAAATCACTTTTTCTGGTGTGAAGACTGAAATGGGCAAGTCCTATATTTGACCCTGTAACTTTCCAAAATACCATGAAACCTGTTCATGGGGGCATCGTTGTACTCCCGGGACATCACAGCATACAAATGCATTCCGACAATCACAGTTAAATTACCATACAGTACAAGAAAAAGGTGCTCTGTGCAATTAGGCGCTTAACAATAATATATAAATAGAACAGCAGCTCAAACACGCATGCAGGTATCCCAATCCTACACAAACACAATGTGAAAGAAAAAAGTGAACTTAGTGGATCGTACTACCACCAAAAGATCACTCAGTGGAGCGCTAAATATCAAATTCTTACCCCTATTGGAATAACGTATATATCACTTTAAGGGGCAGACAGCATAATAAAATCTACAACAAGAAAATACACATCATGG